AAGTCTAAATCTTTTCAGAGACAGGAACATAGAAAAAGTAGGTAGTGTTAATAATACATTACACTAGACGTTGATTCAAAGACATTTAAGCAATGCACTATGAGTCCATTGTTCTCATCCTAGTATATCCATGATGCATATTGTCAGAGCAGCTACTTGTTCTCTACTTAGCTCAAGTGAGCTAAATCAGCACACAGGCCAGTGGATTGGGCAGTGCAGAATAGCCCAGGTCTTCAGATAGTAGCTGTTCACAAGACAGGTACTATATTGAACATGGTAACAAACAGAAAATTAGTGGAAACAAGAATAAGATTTTACTGTTCCTGGCAAGGAACTCAAATAGGTATGAGAGCAATCAAGTTACAGAATTATTTCCACTTGATTCAGCAGCAGCTGTACAGCTGCGTTCCACTGTGAGATCACTGGCTTTCCGTTAATGCAATCCATGAGATGGGACTCCAAGGCACATCAGGCATCAAAGATCAGAGGTCCCATCATGCTGCCACCTTCACTACCTTTCAGTGCTGCGGAGGGCAGAGTGAGAGGCAGGAGGCTCCAGCTGCTTTTAGTTGGTTTTTATTTTAATCACTCCTGTACATTTTCTCCTCTTTGCTTGTAAAAGAGATGGACACATGGAGGGCAGCAGCTCAGGGGCTGTTTACTTTACATCTTATCAGCAGCATTAGGTACTCTAGAGACTACCAGGAAAGACCCAGGTATGAGCCACTCCCACTTGGCAGGACTTTGGACCACAGCATAGAGCTGCTGTGCCCAGACAGATGAGGCTTTCTCTACCAGCTCTGCCCCTAGCAACAAGGTTTTCAAGATCTCCAATTTCTTTGTCTGTCCTCAGGAAAATGCTCTCTTTCCTCCTACCCCTCCTGTTCTTTTTTAAATGTCCAATACAGTACTTGCCCAAAGAGCTATGAGCAAGATGCAGTTGACAGTCCAGGAGCACACCTCGCTGCTCTCAAGAGACCTGTTAACTGGGAGTTTTATACAGAGGTATAAAACGTCAGTCAGCGTAAATGCAAAGGGAGACTCCATGTGCTCCAGAGCACAAAGGCTGTTGGTTAATGCGTGGAGGGTAGGGCTTGCCTCTCAGATTGTGCATGCAGGCCAAGCAGGTAAAGCTGCCCAATTATTTTTAGTAGTAGTATATAGAAACTGTTGTGGTGAGGGGTTTATTGTTTATTTTAACTAACTCATGCTGAAGGGAAGCTGCCAATAGCTGAGGCACCATCACAAGTTTGCATATGCACCTCTTTTACCCCAGTGATCTAGATAATTTGTAATAAAATGGAAGATGTTCCAGCTTGGCCCCAGGGCCCTGCTCAGTTGGTCATGGTTGGGGAGGCAGAACAGCTGGGAGCAAGACAGAGTACAGCATCATCTCTTCTTGATGCAGACACATGCACAGGGGCTACCACACCAGAGTCTGACACCATCCAGTGCCCTGGGGTTAAAAACAATCCCCTCATGCAGGCCTGGATGGGCTCAAAAGCTCAAGATACTCTGTGTGCCCCTGCAGTTCCCGTTCGTGCCGTCTCCCCAGGGAGAACTGTCCTAATGCCTTCTCCTAGGAGTGATGAGCTGGAAAAGCAGCTGCGGCCCCTGGCTGTGGCTGTGTTTCCTGTGGTGCTGCAGGAATGCTTCAGGAGTGAGTACTGCAAGAGTCAGCGCTGCAGAAACACAAGAATGCTTCGGGAACCCTGCAGGAACACTGTCAGAGTGCAGGAATGCTGCAGGAGCACTGCAGGAACACTGCCAGAGCACTGCAAGAGTGCTGCCGGAACGCTGCCGGAGCGCTGCAGGAACGCCGCAAGAGTGCTGGCACTGTGCACGAGCACTGCGGGAGTGCTGCACGAACGCCGCAAGAACGCTGCAGGAGCGCTGGCAGTGCGCGCGAGCGCTGCAGAGGCGCTGCAGGAGCGCCACCTGGCGGGTCCCGCCCTCGGGCCGTGCCAAGCCCCCCCGGGGGCACTCACAGCCGGGCATACCTCGAGCAGTGTCCGGCAAACGCTGCTGGGGCAACTCTTGTGTGTTTCGATCATCTCCAGAGGACGTGTAGGAAAGGTGACAGGCTTTTCCAAGCGACCATGATCATAAGGCTTTTTCGGCCTCAGGTGGGCTTTGTTAGGTAAGAGCTGATAAATTAGCATGGAGCCATCTTCTGAGAATCACAACCTTCAGGCATATGATTTCATAGGGCAGGAGAAAGCTAAAGCATATGTGGCTGGTAGAGTGCAACTCATTTTACTCCAGCACCTAACAATTCTAAGAGAAAAGCAAGACCTTCTTGTTTAACTCTACTATCATCACCCCCATTTCATGCCTTTTATAATTGCCAGGATCTCTGTTGTTGAATGTAAAGCAGAACATACAAGCTCATTGTGCATGGCGACTAACTCTGTTAGCATCACTATTTCCTTCCTTGATAATCTGCTTATTACATGAGACCTCAGAAACCATGACAAAGCATTGGAGTGGCAGAAAGCAGCAGAACAGAGTCCATCCTAGCCCTGGTCTCTCTCTGAAAACACCCATCCTCAGCTGCTTCATAGGCGGCCTTAAAAACATCCCAAAAGGAGAAGCTGAGCAACCTTCCCCTATAGAAAGCTCCCCTTGTCTGCTAGCTAGTGCTATATAAATGCATGTAAACCTATCAGATCTTCAGCCTTGCCATCCCCACCTAGAGTCTATATAGAGATAAGAGCAATACAATTACATTGAGCTACTACTCAAGAAAAAATTGTAACTGTAGTTTCAGGGCTGCAGCTTGGGAAGACCGTGGCTGACATGTCAATAAGCACTTAACAGCCATGCAAGAAAAGTTACTGTCCCCAGTTCTCACTGTTAAATCTTTATGGAAGCATAAAGACTTAACTTACTGGAGACTTATTTGCTGGGATACCTGATCCCTGGTGATGAGCTGAGAAATCATCATTTTAGGTATCCACCAGTTACCTGCATGCTTTGCTTTCTTACCACTGAATTAAAACAGGGAAGAAGGACCAGTGCTCAAACACTTTGGTCTGCTCTAGCTCTTTATTTTACCACTCAGAAGTGGCAACTAAGAACATTTACAATGTGTGGTACTGAAGAGAAAAATGGAGACTCCTGTCTTAAGTAGCAGGGGTGAGAACATCATACTACTAATGACATATACTGCCTTGCAGTCTTTAGGCAAAACAGCCCAAGAGCTGGCTTAGTCTTTAGTGAACAAAGATGACTCTTACCCTAAGCAGCTGTGGTAGTCTTATTTGTGGCTTTATTCTCAGCCAGTGTCTCACAGAGGCAGTGTCAAGATTTTTTAAACAGACCTCCTTTTAAACAGACAGAAGCCTCAGCAGAGCAAGGCAGGTTCCCTTTCTCCCTCTTTCACCATCACAGCCTAGCTGTCTTCAGGGAGCTGAACTTTGATCTGGAAGACATGACTCTTCCAAGCAGCTTCTGTTCTAGATACTGCTTTGGTGCTCACAGTTTTATGAGGTGAGTGACCTGGTCCTGCTTCCATCACTCCATAGTCCATGACTTGCTCTTGGTGCTCAATTTCAGCAGCTCTACTTTGAAGTCCCAATAGTGCATTGGACAGTAGCTCTGAGTTCACAAAGTTCCTGGTAACTGGAGGGAAAACACATAGTGTTGAGTGTCTACTATTGGAAGATGCTGGGCAGACAAAAGTAGATAGTTTATCCCAGGAGACAGTATGTTGGTGTTCTCAGTGTGGATGTAACTACCGTTTATCCATGCAGGCACCTACAGGTGGTAGACAGAAGCACAAACCTATGGGTTGAACAAATTAGGAGTCAGGCAGTCCATGAGTATCTTTAGCTAGATCAGCTCCCATGGAGAGCAAACAATCCCAGCTTTAGGTGAAAAAAATACCAGCTCTGCACAGATTATGTGGGAGGAAGGTTTGGGGAGTTTCACAGAACTAAAACTAAAAACTTAGTAAAATATGAAGAATAAACAGAGAAAAGCATTATGCAATTGTATAAAGTCCTTTTAAGCCCTCAATCTCAAAGAATACAACAGAGATTGCACAGATACAGAGAACAGCAGCAAGGCTGATCGAAGTATGAAATGGAAAAGCTGAATACACTGAAATTCTTCAGTCAAGACTGACTGAGGATCTGGCAGAGGTCTATAAACCCCGGAGTTCCTTGGAGAGCATGAAATGGAAAACTGTAGAGTCACTCAATACAACACTGCAGGCACTAAAAGAAAACAGGTGTCAGGTTCAGACCACATGAAATGCAATGAAGCTTGAGAAGTCCGTAACGAGGGAGTATGAATGCTGTAAATTTACAGAGATTTGCAAAGTAAAAAAAAAAACAACCCCAAAAAACAACAGATGGAAAACATTTCTAGAAGGCCCTGCCAAGGGCTATTACACACACGGATACCACAAGTTGCTAAATAATAATGAATTCTCTGGGGCAATACAAGTCCATGTTTGTCACCTTTTTATACGCTTCTTGTCTCTAAAGGCACAAAACACGCAGAGAAAAAGATGCCTCAAAACAAGCAGGCGAGGTGCCACGTATCCAGCACCCTCCAGTGGGGTCACTGCTGCAGCCCCGTTCTGCAGGGAGCCGCAAGGAGCCGTTACTTTCTCCCGTTCCCGTACGCGTTCTGGCGGTCCGTAACGATCCTCGGGGTCCCAGGCCACCGTGGTAGCCGGGGCTCTCTGCGCGCCCCGCACCCGCGCACCCCGAAGGCCTTGGTCGGGCTGCCCGAGAGCCGCACCGGCTGGGTGGGCCCCGGCGGGAAGGAGCGCGGGGCGGCCCAGGCCGCGCAGCCCCTCCCCGCGGGCGGTGGCACGGGCTCCGCGCAGGTCCCGCCCGGCGCTAGGACAGGGGGAGCGCGGGCGGCGGGGCCGTGCCCAGCGCAGCTCCGGGTTTCTTCGCGGCCCGGCACCGCCGTGACCGAGGCGTATGAGGGCGCGCCTGGACGCCCCTTCGCCGCAAGGGCCTGTGGGGCGGGCTGCCGCGGCGGACCGGAAGCGGAAGCGAGCGGCGCCCCAACCCGCGGTACCTCTGTGGCGGCTGGGCCGCGCGGCACGGGGCCGCGGCCCGGCTCTTCCGCTTCCTCCCGGGAGCCGGGGTAGGTCCGTCCGCGCTGGTGGCGGGGGCCGGCGGAGGCGAGCGGCGGGGTGTCCCTCCGCGGCGCTGAGCGGTGGCGCGGCCCGGCGCGGCCCATGGACCGGCACAAAGTGAAGCGGCAGCGGCTGGACAGGATTTGTGAAGGTGAGGCGGGGCGGGCGGCCTCCGGCTGCGGAGCGCCGCGTGGGGCCGCGCCCGGCGGCGGGGAGCAGCAACAGCCAGGGCAGAGCGCCCTTGTGCGGCTGGGCCGCGGGCCCGCAGCTGCTCTCCCCGCCGAGCGGCGCTGCGCGGCGGCCGCCTGTCCGGTCCTGCCGCCTGCGGGCACGCTTCCACCCGGCGCTTCCGCAGCACGCTGCCCGCGGCGGGGAACGCCGCGGCTGTCAGGGCCCGTGAGCGTATGGGTTCTTGTGCGCTGTTAAGCAGGAAACAGACTTTGTGTCTTGGCACGCTGGGGAGGGAAGGGGCTAGTTAACGGGCAGTAGGCCTGAAGCGGCTTTGTAACTACTTTTGAGAAGCTAGGATAGGGAGGCGTGTTTCTGAGCAGGCCAATTATCTCATGATTGATAAAACGCGGCTTATTTTTCTTTTTATAGTGGTGGCAGGGGTTTGGGTTTGTTTGGATTTGTTTGGGTTTTTTTCTTCTCTGGCTTAATGTCCCTGTTTGTTTACTGTTTCTTTTGCGTTGACTAATCCGTTCCGAAGTACTACAGAACTCGAACAGAACTAATGACTTGTTGGACTAGCAAATGAGACTCAGAATTCTTGTCTTTCATGTAATCACTCCTGCTGACTTTTTTAATAGGCATACGGCCTCCTATTGTGAATGGCCCAATGCCAACACGGCCACTGGTTGCACTCCTGGATGGACGAGATTGCACTGTGGAGATGCCCATCTTGAAGGATGTTGCTACAGTGGCATTTTGTGATGCTCAGTCAACTCAGGAAATCCATGAAAAGGTGGGCACAAAAATGTGCGAGCATTCAGACATAGAGCTCTGCCTCTTGGGCTAACTGAAGCAGACTGATTTGCCCTGGTTTTTGTTGTAGGTGCTGAATGAGGCAGTAGGAGCTCTGATGTATCACACCATTACCCTTTCTCGTCAGGATCTGGAGAAATTCAAAGCCCTCAGGGTCATTGTGCGCATTGGCAGTGGCTATGACAATGTTGACATCAAATCCGCTGCAGAATTAGGTATGATGACACCGTTAGAGCTCTGTTGTGATCAGAACTGAATGGGAACTGGAACACTGCACATGTTTTTCTGTTTTATAGCAGAGTACATTTTAGATTTTCTATGTAAAAAGATCTGAAGCTGCTTAATATCGGACATTTTTAGGAAGCTGACGATATCGAAGTTAGTAGGTGGCTTGAACAAAAGATTCTTAGTTCAGATTGCTCTGCTATAGGTGTCAGTGTCTCTCCTGTTGTTTGGGATTCAGAAACCTGAGTACAGCGTCCAGGTAACTTTTGGTGAGGCAGCTTTAGGTTGTTTGTGAGAAAAGAATTTGGCAAACTGACATCCAAAAGCAGCCTGCAAATACTGGTACAGGATAAACTCACTGTAAATACTTGATAAGTGAGTTTTCCTGTTACTTTTTTATATGCATGTAGGTTCTGATTCAGCGCTATTACTGATTCCTTTAGAGCCCTATGTATGTGAAGAGTCTGGATCAAGTGACCAAAGCTGCCAGACAGTGAGACTTTCAGACCTTGTAGTCCCCCAGGTGATGTAGGTCATCTAAGTACCCTGTTCCTTCTTATTTTGGGCTTGTGTAAGTGATTTGAAATCTTTCTTAATGTAATGAAGATTAGATTACGCTTAAATGCATGTAAAATTGATGTAGGTGTGACAAATTCTGGACTGTAAGAGCAGCTGAATTGCAAGTAAAAGAGGAGTGCTTATTTGTCTAGTGCTTGAATTAGGTCTTCTGGTCTGAATGATTCAACTGAAGGCTCAGGAGTTCCTGGCAAGGTCTCTGGTTCTCATCCAGCCATTACGTTTTTGGGCTGAGTTTGGAAACTGATCTACTCTTGGGCTTTTCCACTTTCCATATCTTTGATTCAAAGCCTTCCCCCACTCTACACTAATTAACTCAAAGAGAAACGAATGGGTAAAATTCTTTCACCGTCAAGACTGCTGCTTGCCAGTTTCGCTTTGGAGAGGTACTATGATGACCTTCAGGCATGGCCAGATTTCCTTTATCATGGACAACTAATGGTTATTTTCCTAGTTACCCAGGCCCTTTAATTCATTCTGAGGTAAGATACTGTTCCTTATGTGTTCTGAGTCTTCAAATCAGAACGAAGGGCTATTGTGTGTGCTTGCATTTCTTACATTTAGGCATAACATTGCATGTAAACACAAATTGGTGTCTAGTTGTGTAAGAGATGAATGCATGTGGCTTGTCTGAAGTTGACTGAGGTGGTAACCAGTGAGATTAAAAGAAGTTAGGTTTCCCTGTCTTCTCCTGTCTCTGAGTAGTCTATGTGGTATTACAGCGCAATTGCAAAGGGTTTTGTAGAGATTTCCCTAGTTCTCTTGGGAGAACATAGTCTGAATTTAGTCAAATGTCTCCTCTGTAAGGGGCTTACAAAAGAGTGATGCATTGCTGAATTTTTTGTGCCTTCAACCATTGCCTAGATGTTGTGCCTAGTTTTAGGATAGGTGGTAGACTTTTGAGGGGGAGAGTTTCCTTGGTTTGGCAAGTGGTGATGGCTGCATTTTGGAAGAGACCATTTTTAATCTAATTATTTTTATTTCCCAGCTGGATTGTTGACTGAAGGACAGCCACAACAGGGAAAGACCAGATTTTGCTACAGTGTTCCATCTTTCCCTTTTCTGACAGTATTTTGTGCTTCCAGGACTTTAACTCAGTTTGCATTTGTAATTTACCCAATAGTTCTAGCCATGGGTTTTATGGCCCCTTGTGGTTGTATGCTATTCTAGAGTGGGAGTGTTACATGTTGCCATTTTTGAGTATAATTTCAAATGGATTTAGAGAGGCTCCTGTGGCTTTTTTCTATGTTTAATGAATTAGTTACTTATTGTTGCTCCTGGGGAAGCTGATGCTTGCAGTGAGCATCTGGACTGTGAGGCACGGAAGAGCTCAACCATCTGTCTTAATTCTTCTTCAGTCTGCTGGTTAATCTGTTAGGACTCTCTCTGGAATGAGTGCATCTTTTTGGATGCAGATCTTATAAAAGTCAGTTTCTTGCATCACTAGTATGAACCAGTTTTCTTATTTCAGTCTGTTTTGTTTTTTGTTTTTTTTCTTCTTTTTGTGGTGAGTGTGTCAATGAAATGGACATTTATAAGGAAGGAATGCTATTTCCTTGGGGTTAAAAAGCTGGTGGTCATTTCTGTGTTCTGTGAATGAGTTTCTGAGATGAATCCTGTCTCTTTGCAGTGGTTCTGGAGCACTGAATTATCTTTCAGCACTTATGTCTGAAGAGCTCTATGCTGGTTTAGCATTGTGATGCTAAAAATCTTATATGACCTCTATGGCTTTGTAGGCATTGCAGTTTGCAACATCCCTTCCTCTTCAGTAGAGGAGACTGCTGACTCTACACTCTGCCACATCTTGAACCTCTATCGCCGTGTTACTTGGCTACATCAGGCTATGAGGGAAGGGAATCGAGCCTCAAGTGTAGAACAGATTCGAGAGGTGGCTGGTGGCGCTGTGCGTATCCGTGGGGAGACTTTGGGCATCATTGGACTAGGTAAGTGATGGGAATTGTTAGACTGAAAAGTGAACTGTGAAAGTTTCTGGGAATGTGAGAGTCACAGGCTGAAAACAAGTGACAATGTTACAGTATTGTGAAATGCACTGACTTGTAAGGAATACCAGTGCCCTGTTCTGTGGTATTGGCTATCTTCAAGAGTTAGGTATATGCCATGGGATTGGGGATTTCTTTTCTATTTTCAAATGGCTAGAAGAATTGGAATATTTAGACAGTTCTTCTTGGTGACTGTTTCCCTGAGTGCTAGGCCCTGTGACAAAGCCACCTGAAAGCTACCAGTTCTTTCCCCAGGTTCGTGTAATCAGATTATTATTGCTTCTGGCTAAGGGTCCAGATTTGTCTGGAAAAACAGAGCTCCTTCTAGGCTAAGCTCTGGCTATGTTGCATGGGGAAGGACTAGAATTAGCCATATGGGATCAGCACTGAATAACCTCCTCTGGATCCCTGTGGCAATCTGAGGGGTTTCCAGGGCTGCGTTACCTTTGGCCCTGACAGTAAAGTCCAGTGTAGGCTCCCAGTCTACCCCAGTATCTTGTCTATAAAGTTTGTTTTACCTTTCCTTGATGATTGTGGGTTTTCTTTTGTGAAGGCCGAGTTGGACAGGCAGTGGCTCTGCGAGCCAAGTCCTTTGGCTTCAACGTGATTTTCTATGATCCCTATCTGCCGGATGGAGTGGAGCGATCCTTGGGTTTACAGCGAGTAGGAACCCTGCAGGATCTACTAATGCACAGCGATTGCATCACATTGCACTGCAGCCTGAATGAACATAACCATCACCTCATCAATGACTTCACTATTAAACAGGTGCAGCAGGAGCTTGATTTCCCCCACAGAACACTGTGGAAATGAATGCAAACAGAAACTGCTGCTTTCACAGAGGCTGAGAGCATGTGAATCCTGCTGCCTCTGTCATGTGCCTCCTGCTGCTGCCTCTCGGAGGCTGGGAGTGTGTGGATCCGGGTGCTTGTGCTTTGTGCTGTATAGAATTTCACGTTAGGAGAAGAATAGGATTGGCTCTTCTTGCCCAGCAACTTCACCTATAAAAAATGCTTTAGGTGATTCAATAATTTCAGATTACCTTTAAATTGCATAATTGACTGGCTTTTAGAGCCAGATGTGCTGTGGCTGGGACTGTGTAAGTTTCTTTACACGGCTCTGCCAAAGCCTCTCTGCCCAAGCCCACTGCAAAATCAGTCTCGGGCTCTGCTCCACTAGTCTATGAATGTTTATCAGTGCTTTCATGTGAGACATCTGGATGCTGTAGTCCAGTTTTGTATGGTTCTGAGTTACCGGCTGGGCTTAAACCGTGACAAGCTGGATACTTGATTCATGTCCTCTTTCTTTTTTAATTTAGTAGGATGAATATGGAGTGCAGAATTTGAGAGTTCCACTTTTGCCCTTGTGATATTGTTTCTACATTTTTAAAGCAAATTTCTCAAGCATTGCTTGCAGGCATTTCCCTTGTGGTTAACTTTGCAGTGAGAGCACCCCTAGTTCATTCAGGCCTCATCTAATCACTGCAGGCTCCTGTTCATTTCCAGTAGACTTCAAAGATTCACCTAGCTTTCATGAAAAGCCTCATTCTCAAACTACTTAATATTTTTGTTCTTCCAGATGCGCCAGGGTTGCTTCTTAGTGAACACAGCCCGGGGAGGGCTGGTAGATGAGAAAGCCTTAGCACAAGCCTTGAAAGAGGGGAGAATCAGAGGAACAGCATTGGATGTGCACGAGTCTGAGCCTTTCAGGTAATGTTGCACCTGCATGCCTACTGCTAGCATGCGACTCACCTACACTGGATGACTCTTGCTTTTTGATATTCGAGTTACAGTGATACCCAAGAGTACAGATGGGTTATCTGTTTTTTTGTTTCCCTCCTCCCCTCTCCCATGCAGCTTTGCTCAGGGTCCCTTAAAAGATGCGCCTAATGTGATCTGCACCCCTCACACTGCCTGGTACAGTGAGCAGGCGTCCATTGAATCCAGAGAAGATGCAGCTAAAGAGATCCGCAGAGCTATTACAGGTAATGAGGAAGACTGTGTGCTCTGCAGCTGCTACTGCAGAGTGTTCTTTTGTTAGTTCACTGCAAGGCTTACACTCCTTGATCTGAAAACTTAGGCTCAGTAACTGGTATCTAAAACTGGCGTGTAAGTTGGTAATTGTCTTGTAACTAATGCTGGAGTGGCATTTTCCCTCCCTGGGAAAACCTTATACCTAGTACATCCTTTGCAATAATTCCTTTGACAGTTATACTGTACACCATTTTTCTGGAGCAGTACATACTGTCTCTTGGGGAAGGTGAGGCTTGGCAATTGCAGTTTGTGGCAGATAATTTCTGTAAGATCACAGAAGTGGGAAGGAAGGATCAATTCCTTGTATTCTCCAGAGACTAGCTGTTCAGAAGAATCTCTCCTGCCCAGTGTTACCCTGTGGAGATAGATGGAAAAAAACTTTGTGTTTCCTTTTTACTTTCCTTTCTAAATGCTTCAGGGGACTAGCCCTTTCCAATTGAGTCCTGGGTTTTTTTGTAATTCTTGGTACTCTTGCAGGTCACATACCTGATGCTTTGAGGAACTGTGTTAATAAGGAGTACTTGCTGCTAGCAGCTCAGTGGTCCAGTATTGATCCTGCAGCTGTCCACCCAGAACTCAATGGAGCTGCAGCTTACAGGTGAGATGTGTATTTAGGTTGTACAAGTTACCGCTTTCAAGCCTATCTCCTACTGAAATAGGCCAGAATCCCTCTTTTGGTTTGAGAACCCAAACTTGTAGCTGCAAGCTGTTTCTGTTTCTATATGCTCTGTATATGAACTCTTTCCAGAAACTTAACAGCAGCGCTTCTGAAGCTGTACTAGGATCTAACATTTACTTGGTCATATTTAGTTCCAGCTGCATACTGGTTTGTTTTTCCAAATCCTTGCAAGACCTGCCCAAGAGATCTCCTTATATAAGAAAGCCTGTTTGGTACCAGAAAAAGAGGTCTGGATCTTGAAGATTAGAAGTTGTGTGTATCATTAGAGTTGTATAAACAAAGCACACTTCTCAATTCTAGCTCATATATGGAGTATTAAAGAGTCATTGTCTGGTGGATTTGGGCAGTGGCCTAAATAAGAGTATATTTCAGTTTATTTGTCTTACAGACCTGCCAGGTGATTCTGGGCAGGTTGCTTCCCTTCTGTTTTTCTTCCACCTGCAAAGTAAGACATACATTCTCTTCCCTTCTCTGAGACATACAGAGGTTCAAATATATTTCTGGAGAAAGCATAGGGAGGCAGAATGGGAAGTAATGGAAGAATGGTTCATTAGCAATTAATGACTATTACTGTCCTATTTCTCATCTCACCTGTAGCTGTTTTTATTAGTTCGGTTCCTTACTTTTTCTGTCTTGGAGTCCAGTGAAGGATAACTGGCAGCTTGTGCTCCTCCAGCTGATGGAGAGGGAATTTCTAGCCCTTCAGAGTACCTTCACACAACACCTTATGCTGTTTTCCACTGGAGATAAACTTTGTACCAGTTTTTAAATGCTGAATACATGACCCATCTATGAACGGGTGTCATTAGGATACAACTGCTACTCTTCAGCTCTGGAGACTTCTCCTGTGTTCTGTCACAGAGCATTTCTGTTAGAAAGATGGGTTTGTATCCAGCAGGCGCCTGAGGGCATAGCTCCCTGCCCCTTGAATAACTGTTGGGCAAGCTTGTAATTTCTGTTTCTGTTGGTTTTAGGTTTCCTCCAGGAGTAGTGGGAGTAGCCACCCCTGCACTGCCAGAACCGCCAGCAGTGGAAGGGATTGTAGCTCACGGGATCCCTCCTGTTTCCCACCCTGCACCGCGTACCCCTTCCCCAGGAGAGACAAGCAAACTGGATGCAGACAGAGAGATTCCTGCTGACCAATAGCAGCATCTTTCCTTTCATCTCACAGCAGATAAAAGTAGGAAAGCATCTCTTCCTAGGACCTTCTTTAACACCCTACAGAGACTGTTTCCTGTTCATGCAGGACAGGAGAATGCATTTCATTACTGGCAAACTTTAGCTCTTGCCTTTATTTTTAACCCGTTAGTTTTAAACCCTCAATCTTTCCCCTTCCCTGGGGCAGGACAGCAGTGACCTTGCCTCCTGTTGGAAACACTTAGTTTAACAAATGAATTTTCCCATGTATCTACCCCGGTTGTCTGTGACAGGGAACTGTCCTTGTGGGGTCAAACACTGAAGTGGAGCTGTCTGATCAGGAGTGGCCCTCAAGGTTCCCAACACCAGACTTCAGTGCACACCTTTCAGTTGTGACTTGTAGCTTACATTTAATTTGGTTGAACCTCTCAAGTGTAGCCATGGGGAGTACAAAGAAAATACTAGTGAATTGGAGAAGTTGTGACTACTGTCTTTATTATGCCCTTGGTAGAATGCAGCCTAGGCTCAGCTGTATGTGTTACTTTGCTTGTTTTAATTAAGGTTTCCTGTGAGAACAGGCATTGCTCATTGTTGACCATACAAAGTTCAGTCTATGCAGTACTACGCCTGAGGTTAAAAGTAACAGTCTCAAAGCCAGCCCTGTAAATAATTTGGAAGGGCTCAAACTGTCATCAGATATATTGTGGTGACCACTGTGTTTGTGAGGCTTCAGAGTAGTTCACCCTGGAGTCTGTCTCACTCAGAGAAGAGTTAGAGAATCCAGAAGTGGGAAAAACTTGCCCTGGGAGACAGCAGGTAGCAGTAACTTGCAACTGCAGTTGCTTGTTCCTCGCACACAGGTACCTCACAGTCTGACGGTGGTGGTTAGCCACAAGGTATCAAGGTATCTCTTATGTTAGAATTCTAAGCTTTGTGCTACAGTTTGGTTGTGGGTTGTTTTGGTTTTTTTTTCCATAACTGCATCAACTAGAAGTAACATAGCACCGGTTCCTGTGCTGATGGAGAAGGCAGCTTTCACTGGTTGAGCAAATTACGCCAGCTCTCCCACAATACACTGCATCTCCAACAGTGGGCAGGGCAGGACAGTGGTGTTTTGGTTGGGGTTTTTGTTTTTTTTTTTCTTTCTTTTTTACACGAGTAAGCTTTGGGATACTAAAGGAGAAAGAACCCTCTTAGCTTGTCACTGGAAGCCAAGGCAGGATTGTTGCTCTCAAGAATTTTCCCATTTTCCAAATAATCAAGTATGAATCACTTCTTTGAGGGGGATGGAGCAAAATGGGTTCCACAGGAGAAGATTATCCTTAATTCCACATCTTCCTTTAATTTTACCTTGTTACACTTTAGCTACAGCCTTTCCATGCACAACATGTAACAACTCACAATTGATTTGTTCATGTTGTGTGGGCCTACTGAAGTCGGTGCTATGTGGGAGGCATCCCCCCTGTGTGGGTTGGTCTGCCTCCCTGTTGTGTGTCTGTGACTGGAAGCTGAGCAGCTGGGAATAGACTGGAAATAGAGTTTGAGGTGTGGACACGATCCTCTCGTTGGGCTGTTTGGGAAGCTGAGGGAAGCTTTCACAGTCACTAAGTTTTCAGGGTTTTGATTTTTTTTTTTTCCTGGTTTTAAATTTTTCTCCAACTGCCTTCATATAATGTCTTGCTACTGATGCAGTGAAGTGATTAATTCCTTTCCCCTCCAACCGTTCACACCTCACAATTCAAGAAAGGAAAACGAAGAAGTAAACTTCAGGTGTTTTCTTACAGATTTTACACTTTAACTGTTTAGCATTAGTGAGATGGTATTAGTTCTCTAGTGCTGAGTGTCTTTTTTGATAAGGTGTTTGTCTTGGTGAAGGTTCTTCACTTCTGTGTTTTCATGGATGATGCTGATTCTACTTAAAATTCATATACCTCCTTGGCAGCTCAGGTTTAGCAGATGAGACTGGGACTGGTGGAAAATAACCAGCAGCACCTTCTTGAGTTCTCTAACCTCTAAGAAATCTAAGTTTTACATGCTAGTAGCTCAGAAAGCTGTTCTGCCAGGCAGATGGGGAATAGTTTTCAGGGCCTGAGAGCTCATCCTCTGTGTATTACCACAATCTGTCAGCAACTGCTCTTTCATTAATCGCTGCTGAAAATTCCTGCCCTGCTTAGAGGTTCAGGTCTGAGATTATTCTGTGGTAAGGGGCTTCTAGTTACGAGCTTTGTGACTACAGAGAATCGGAGTACATTGACCGTGTCTCTTCTAGAGCACAGTGCAAGATAGATTTATTTTTTTTTTTTAAGAGGCAGCAATTTATTTCTTTTTTTCTCTTCTTCTCTTAACTTCAAATTTCTCTATAGACCAATCAACTGAGCAGAGGAAGAGTGGAAAGATCTCATCTAAGGGACATCTGAGTTTCTCAGTTCTCACTTTTGGTGCCTAGACATACTGGTGGCTAGTAATTCCCTAGTGGGAATTGATTGATGTAATATTTCCAGCTATGGGTACTATGGAATTGAAGGTGGCAGCACTGATAGTGGCTCTGCTCTAGCCAACACTCTGTAAGCTTGTGCTTGTATATGAAGGCAATTTCCCCCCTGATTAAAGCTGCAGCAGAAAATACTGAGGTAAAAACAAACAGAACCCTTATCATGACCTCAAAGAAGGACAAGGGCTCTCTTTGTGTGTCTAGGATTACTTTGCTTATACAGCATTTGTCCCTCTACCTATAGACTGAATCTGTTATTACCAGACAAAGGTTATTCTGAACAGATAGCACACACAAAGAAAGGATTTCCAGTACTTAGGTACTCTGTGGTCTTCTCCATCCCCCGAGTGCCCGGTCCAGTGTCCACGCTCTCATGTGTGACACTTGGATTTGCAGCTTCCTTCCCAAGCTGTTGCAGGTTAGAGAAGTGGAAGGACTGATGTTTAATTTGTTTGTTTTAATGCCTTCCTTCAGAACTAGTGCAGAGCTTTAATCCCAAAGAACAGAAGTCTGCCACGGTGAGGCAGGAGTGTCCTAGCTGCACTAATCTGCTTACAGGAGGTGCTCACACTGTCCTAAGGTACTTTCTGTTTTGTCAAGGTCACTGCTGCTGACCTGCTTTTTTATAGAGGATTCAGAGTTTCAGAAATATATTTTTGTAGACAATGACTAAACTGTGAAATATTGAAATAAAGCATGTAAACTAAACCTTCCGGCACTGTCCTCTGTACAGCTGTTTTTCTCACTTCAGTTCTCTCCTGCCTTGTTAGAAAATGTTTGATTACTTCTTGGATATATTTTAATAAAGTTCTCTAAAGAACATGACTGCTGTCTATGGAAGGGGTGGCCTTACCTACAGAAAGTCTTTTGAGCTGCCCTTGATGCAGGTCTTAGTATCTTATCTGTGTGACACATCAGGACTAAAATCACACTGTAAAGAGTAGAGATGATGAGATGAAATCATGAGATGCACTGTGAGGACAGGCGCATGGTACAAATCGGTATTTGGTGCTACCTTGCCCATTTCCCAGTGAATTTTGCATCCCCCTAACCAGGAATTAACACAGATAAAATGTTGTCATCTACTTAAAACTGCCTGGTACAATCTCTTTGAATAAACGAAAGTGAAAGAAAGCAACTTGCCTTTGCTGCTGTTAATTCAGTGTCACGTGTGGCACTTCCAGAGCATACCTTGTCCTGGTATGGAAGATAGCATCTGCTCCCGATTCCAGTGTCTGTCAGTGCTATTGTGTCTTCACAGTGCAAGTAGAGAGATGTAAAGTTGTGTGTCATTTCTCTAAGTGTTGGATCCTGAAGGATTCTGTGGTTGCCCAAGTACGCCAAAAAGGGTTGGCTTTAGGGCATTGTGCTGTTCTACATGAGAACTGTTCACATGTATCAGCTCACCACGACAGCCACATACCATTAGCAAAACAATTCTGTATCTTAATCGCCTCCTAAATAAACGCCTTTTCAAACTCTGCCTCACCGACAAGCGAAGCCCCGGACCTGTGAGGCACTGCTGTCACTCTGGGCCGGCAGCAGCTCCTCCTGCCAGCCCGCACCTGGAGCTGCCGAGCGGGGTTTTGTCTGCGTTCACCTCCGTAACAACTCCTGGGGTAATTCCGGAGCCTGAGCTCGCCGTTACGAGCGTTCCTGCGCCTGCGGCGGCTCCTCGGGGCCCGGCCCGCCCGGCTCCCTCAGCTGCGCCACTCTTCCGGTTCCCCTGCGCTGCCGCCGCGCCCGGCACCGCCTTCGGAGAGCAGGACCTCAGCGCGCTCCGGGCGGGGTGGCGCGGGGCATTGTGGGGCAGAGGAGGGGAGGGGGGAGAAGTGCGGCGCGGTGCATGCCGGGAACGGGGCGGGCGGCGCTCGGAGGCCAAGTGCGGGGCAGGCGCTTCCTCGGTGTCTCGGTGCGGCGGCGACTCAACGGCGGAGGAGGTTCCAGCCCGTTGGGGATGGCGGACGCGGCGGCCTCCCCCGTGGGGAAGCGGCTCCTGCTGCTGCTGGCGGCGGGGCCCGGCGAGGGCGAGGCGGTGGGGCCGGAGCCGGGCCCGGGGCCGGGGCCTGCGCTGCCCTCCCGGGCCTGGCGGAGCGGCACGGTGCGGGCCATGAGCGGAGCCGTGCCCCAGGACCTGGCGGTGAGACCCCGGCGGTGGGGGCGGGGGGTGTTGGGACTGGGACGACGGGCAGCAGCAGGCGGGGCGCTGCGGGTCGGGCCGCCCGCGTGGGCCGCGGCCTCCCGCCGCCGTGCAGGGCTGCGGGCGAGGCGCCGGGGCCGCGGGGCGCCGCCTCTTGTGTGCGGGTCGTGGCAGCGCCGTGCTGGCTCTCCGCGGTCGCCCCGGACTCCCCGCTGGGCCTGCCGCGACGCGCTGCGGGCTGAGGGGCGGCGGGGCCGGTCTGCGGCGGGCGCGGTGGCGGATCGGTCCTGAAGCTGCCGGGACACGGGTCTGCTTGGGGCGGAGCGGACCCAGTGGCTTCGGGTGCGGTGGTTGGAGGTAATCGACGTGTGAAACTCGTGCCTGGGAGGTTTCTGCGTTTTGGTGCTGATCCATCTGTATGTAACTTTTGAGCGTTGGAGTTTATTTTTCCTCAGTAAGATGCTGAGTTTTCTCGAGCAGCCCAAGTGATGCTCTTGTTTGAAGGTGTACTTTTGAGTGGGGATCATCAGTTTCATTCTGTCTCAGATTTTGTTTTCAGCTGTAAGAATTCGTGCTTCATATAATGTGTTTAAACAGTCTTTAGCACTTACTTGTTTTGCTTCTAGTTGTCCTGAGTTCAGGACAAGATAACAGCACAAGTATAGCTCAGTGAGATGCATGTGTGGAGATCTTAAAAAGAGCTCTTCAAAAATGCCTGAGCTATGTATCTCTTTGTGTATGCCAATTCTGCAGATATTTGCTGTGAGCAATGGTATGCTTCAGAGACCTGGTGGTATGCTGCTGAGAACTGTGATTGTTAAATAGACCCACGGGGGGGAAGGCATGAAGTTCTGTGTTTGTGAAGAGTCTTGTTAGTTCTCTTTTTGATGACCTTTATTAAACATTTGTTGTTACTACTGTAAGTTCTTTGGGTTTCTTTGCAGAGTTCCAATTTTGAGAAGTTGCCTTGACTTCTGCAGTGATGCTGATTTCTTTGGCCTTGTCTTAGTACTTCAACTGTGCCATCAGTGGGAAGGGGTGTGCTGGATTTAGTTTGGTGAAGCCAGGTGCCCTGGCACCCCGTGTCTGCAGTTGGGAGCTGTGGTGATGCACTCTAGCTGCTCCATTTTTTGTTTAAGGAGGGGAAAGAAAACCTTAACATGCAGAAAGGGGGTCTTCAAAGGAAAATGGGGCAAGTGTTTGAGACGAGAAACGTCAAAATGTGTTGTCTCTGTTCTGGAGAGCTACTTTTGTAGCAGACTGCATTTGACAAGTGTATTGTCAGCACTCTTGCATTCTGGAGTAATCCATCCCAAATCTGAGTATGATGTAGGGAATTTTTGGTGTGTTGGTTTTATGCTCTTTTGCTGGAAGAATTGGTGGGGTGTTTTCCTTTTTTTTTTTTTTTTTTCTCCAGTGAATCTGTTCAATTAAAGGTAAGAGTTTGTTTCCTTGTCAGTCATTGTTGACCAACCTTTTAGACTACCCTAGGAAGGTAAAAATCAACTAAATAATGTCTCCTACTGCTGCTGTTAAAGGCAGAAAACTAGGGTGGGTGGATGTTGTTAAGACCAGTAGGCATATCTTTAATGCCTTTTGCTGTAAAAGAGATGTTTATGAACAAGCAGCATGTTGAACATACTTTATTTGCAAAGCAAGTAGAAAAGTATATTAAAAATATATAAAAATATATATAAAATACAGGGTTTTGGAAAAGCAAGTAAAATGCAGCTCTTCAAGGGAAAAAAGTTCATCGAATGAGAGCTGACTGCAAAAGTAGTTGATGTACATTCCCTCTGCTTTGCAATACTTTGTAGAGTAAGCACAAAGTGTTTTATACTTAAGTACAAAACACTATAAATTCTTGTTGTGCCAGAAGGTTTTTTCTGATAGCCTTCCTGTGTGTGATAGACATCCACACTGAAAAATTTTCATTCATATGGTGAGCAATGTCTTCTGTGACTCCACTTACACTCTTCTTGGGTTGGGGCTCAACAGGGTCATGAGGGATTCTGTAACTGTTTATACTACTGAAATGCAAGGAGTGGGGATGATGTGTGAGTGGATGGAATACCTCTTTGGTTTTAGCTTATGTAAGTATAAGTTTACATGATTTATTAAAAACGCAGTTTTGGCATTTTTTGCAGTGTCATTGCAGTTAGAGGTAACTCAGTGTGACTTGTAAAATTCTCTGAAAGGGTCTTGGCAGATCTGAAATGGTTATGAAGTTATAGATGAGGACTGGAGTGGAGACTCAAGCTGAGGAACATTCCCAGTCTTATGCCATCACTGGTGTCCATGTGTCATGCCCGCTGAATAGCGAGGGGCAGGGCAGATGGTGGCTGTGGAGGGAATGGTAGGACTGATCTCAGTAGTGGCTTTATCAGGGCTGACAATGGGATTGGGACTGTTCCCCCAAAATACAGGTAATGGAGAAGGAACAGTAACAACTTTGCAGAGCTGTTCTTATGCAACACAGATTCTGTTTGTACTGGGTACCTTCTCAACTGTGCTGTCTCCTGTCTTTCTGTTAACCAAGACACTCAAAGTCCCTGTCACTTCATTTTTTTTCCCCCCTTTTCCTTATTTGAGGGTACTTGTTGTAATTTCTTGACACATGATAGCAATTACAGTACATGGTCAAGAGGTTTAGTTGAACTGCCTTACTCCTGAGGGTTATGGAAGTGCCCACTTTGGATGTTCGCTGTGCATATGTAGTGTTTATGTGGCGCTTCTGATATTCCAGAAGCGTCACACTATTGAACACATGCTGTGCTAATCTGCACATGTGCAGTAATTTTAATACATATTAAACCTATTGGACTTGTTTGGGGAAGTCTGGGTAGAAATATGGAAGCTCTAGATTGAGAAGGTAAGCTTCTAGGAGAGCTGCTGCCTCTAATACAGCAAGTATTAGTAAATGAGTATTTTACTTTCGTGTCAGTGAAAGAGTATCTGTACTGGACAAGGTCAAAGGCCCACCCAGTCCACCCCTTTGCCTTGCCCAGTCTTGCACTGGTGAGATGTGGAGATCCCTGTGCATCTGTTGAGGGAATCAAAGTTGTTGAGTGCTGCCAGGTGAGTTTTTTGAAATGATGTTTAGCTGTAAAGTCATGCACAGCATGACTGCTCTATATTTGCCAGCAAAGGGATATAAAATAAGTTTTTGCTCATCTGATAGTGGATGCTCTGTAGAGCTCACTGACCTTGGATTGACTTTGGAGGGTTGGCCTCTTCCTCCTTTGCGGTGTTTGTTGCAGCAGAATCAAAGATTTCAGATTCACTGGTTCAGTCTTGGTGAACCAGGGTTATTTGGCTTTGAAAATTGCTGCTAAAATAGACTTACTGTTTAAAATCGATATTCAAGGAATCTCTTTCTAGAGTTAACCCATCTTTATATTTAATTGTAATTGCATCTACAAGTTTTATTTATACTGATATAAGTGATAGGAAAAATTGTAGTGTTAAATTCTTAGCAATATTCAGATCCAGCTTTTGCAAGTGAAAGCTGGGAAGTTACTGTGCACTGGCAAAGTCTGCAGGGAGCTCCTTGTGTTTGCATTTGTGGATCAACCTTTCTGCCTTTGAAGAAGTACCAATTACAGGCAGAAGAGATTCAGACATTTCATCAAAATTACTTGTTTTGACCTTTGTGAGTATTGTTTTGTAGTGTTGAAATGTAACAGCCAAAACAAGGAGAAAAGGCTAGGAAACTATGCTTTGGCAAGACCTTAGTTTTTTTCTCCCATCATTGTCAAAACACAGCAGTTTGGCAGTCTGTTTTCATGGGTGGACAATGTTGACATGGTATGACCAGGGCTTGCATTTTACCAAATGAAATGCCATAAGCTGGGGAAGCAGAAACCATGTTTTATGATCTGATCAGTGAATATATGGTCACCTCATTTAGCTGTAATTTTAGTGATGGATACAGAAAGCAGTAGACTCTGTAAGAGCTGCGCAAATAGAGTAAAATTCAGCAATTGAAAACTAGTACATATAATCATAATGTAGGTGCCTGCCAACACATTTGTTGGTATGTTTTTCTCTAAGGTGTTGTATGTGTTACACTTCAGATAAACCCAAAAGGCTGAATGGTACATTTGTATGGGGTAGTTCAGTATGGTGACAAGGGGTTTGAGCTACAGGTGGGCCCCTGGGAGTCCATTTCATCATTCAAATGGCTGCAGACAGTCAGGTTTCTGTAATATCCATACTAAGATGATTTCTCGGTTTTCAGTGGCAGTATCAGTGGAGCTACTTAGAAGTTTGAAATGCATCGTTTATTGATGCCTCTTGGTGTGACTGCAGGGCACTGCCTGATGCAGGAATTCTGTCGGATATGTGCTAGCAGTTGCATACTCTTTTCTGTCAGGTTTCAAGTGTACTGATTATTTCATAGCAGGTAAAAACACATGGACTTGTTGTATATGGAGAAACTTCTACTTGAAATGCAGATGATTATGGGAAAGTGGGAGTTTTGTCTTGAGTTATTACTGTGTTAATCTCTGATGGCATTCCATTTCCTAAACACTTTGGATGAAAAGGGGAGGCCAGTGTTCTAATCAAGCAACTGCTTCAAGAAGTCTGTTCTGTAGTTTCAACTTCATAAGACACAAGGCTTGCTTTTTCTTCCCCCCCCGTAGGAAAACAACTTTTTACATATTCCTTAGACAAGCTCTGTGGGTCTCTGGCCTGCATAAGGGACTGTTAGATTTGAGGCAGGAATGTGTGTAAAGAAATCTGATACATTTTATGCCAGTTTTATCAGTGACATTATTAATATCTTGAAATAATAATTCTACTGCTCCAATACTTGCCATTTTAAAACTAATAATTTTCCATCCTGCTTTTATCATTGCTCTTAGATGCTTGTAAATTCCGGACGCCTTCATTTTCAGTGCAGTGCCATTTGGATACTCAAGTTCAGGTTAGATGCAGTACGGAAAAGTCCTTCATATCATACGTAAGCTATGTAGTTAAAACTTTCTTTCACTTTTAACTCCTTCCATTTATTGACATTCTTGTTTTCTGCAGCTCCCTACCTCATTCCTCACCTGAAATTTATTCTGATATTTGGCAAACCACTGGTGTTGTTTGAATAGACTAATAGTTACCAGTTTTTTTCCTTCCTTAGTTTCAAATTCAGGTGTTGTATTTGCCAATTATGCAAGCACCAATTTTAAATCATTTGAAAGTCTGGCTATCAAACCTGCAGTTCAAGATGTTGCTTTTTCTTCCTCATCTTTTTCTTGCTGATAATTGGGTTGTAGAATCCTTGGAATTAGGAATAGCTTTCTTTGTTTTCTAGTTGGTTTGTTTTGTGAAACAGCAGATACCATCATCTCTGCAGGTGCAGAAAGAAACAGTATTCAAAAAATTGTCTTGCTATTATTTCACTGAAGTCGGTTTTTATGATACTTTGATTGGGATGCAGGCAGACATTAGGTAAAGAGGTATTTTAGATGGATTGAGGCCAAACTAGATTGCTGTCACATTCGTACCTGTGGTAATTAAGGTTGTGGGCTGGCTTTGTGTTGCAGAGGCATTGACAGGGCTGCTCATAGATGGTTCTGAGCATTGCTCATTTTTGTTACAACAGGAGAGTGGCAGTTGCAGTGTGCTCTAAAATGACTCAAGTGACACTTGTGCAAAACGGGGTAGGCCCTTCCCAAAGATGATGCTTCTTCCCTTGCATGTTGTAGCTTGTGTGTAGATTCCAGCACTGATTTTTAGCTGTGGTACTCACATTTGTGATACTCCTTGACATCTTCCTCCATGTGTGTGACCAGTGTGAGGGTCAGTAATGATGCTCAAGCTGGGACTGCTCTAATGTTGAAAGAAATGAGATACTGACAGAGTGCTGTGCAAGATTCTCTTGTTTTGGCACTTTGTCGTTCTTTTCCTACCTACTTAACCTGACTCATCTAAATACATGTCTTTTTGAGCCACATAAAGAGGTATTGAAGACCAGTATTTTCAGGAATGGTTTTCTCTACTATTTTTTGCTGAAATATAGTGTGGTGTTTGTTTTGTTTTGGTTTTGTTTTTTTTTTTTGGTGGAGTTTTGTTTTGTTTTACGTTAATAAACTGGGTCCTGCTTGGAACTGCCTGGGGTTTTAGGATGATTACAGAATTTAGCTACGCTGGTGTTTTGTGTTTGCTCCTGATACCCGCTATAATTCTGTTACTTATTAATCTTGAAATGTTTCTTTTTTGCCCTTTGTTAAACAAAAGTAAAAATACCCAAAGAAAACAGAAAACCCCACAACCCAACAATAAAAAAACAACGTGAAACTTTATCATCTTTGTTGTGTCAAATGAGCAATGTAAATAAACTCATATTTTTTAGATATGCTGTATTTCTGTACTTTAAATTTTACTGTAGGGCTTGCTGTATGTTACTGTGGTGTCAGAGCATTGTTCAGGCTTCAGATGTAATAATCATAATGCCAGGCAAGATATTTAAAATTCTAGGAAGCTCATTGTTTCAGTAGTTGTTTGAAATGGCTGTACAAATAGTTACTAATGCACTGGCCCCAACAACTTAATTCGGTTTGCCATGTCATACTGTCTTCTGTCACTTTTTGCTCATAGAAGTAGCCACCTTTGAATAACAGTAACAACACATGTCGTCCCCCCCCCCCTTCTCTCTGTGTTATCATTCCATTCTCTTATATGAAACCATCATCAAGTCTACCAGTGCCATTCCTGACAAGTTTCTGGATCCTCTCTTTTCCTTCTCTGCTAATAGAGGTTTTTACAGTGTTGCTGCATAGTCTCCTCATTGCTTCTGGTTTTGCAATTCTCATCCAAGCAAATTTTCTTACCCAGATATTTCTAGTTGAATTGTAATCCCAATATTGTCTTATCTCTGTAGTAGACAGATCAAATGGGATTCACTGTCTTTTCTGGCAGGCCTTTCATGAAGAATATATTATTAATTTCCCCTTTCAGTCTCATGTTTTCTTGATAAAGCAACCTAATTTGACCACTCCAAAGTTTCAGCTTCTTAGACCTTTAGTCATTCTTGTGTGCTTTCTTCTGCTGCCTCCTGTTGTTCTGACCCAAACTGCTCATAAGTATCTTAGCAGCGAAGCTAAGTAGAGAGACAGTTGCTTCAGGTGTACATAGACATTTATGTACATGTCTGTCCTCTTTTTTAAGCAGGTAGCTGAATGTATACCACCTCATGACCCATTGTACCTGCTTGCTTTTATTTTTCTATAAAACTGATGCTTGTCCTGTCACTGGTGGTTTCTGCCTTTGTTTAGCACCTTGTGCTTATTTGCATGATTGTATTGTGCTCTGATCTGAGGCAATTTCTCAAAGTTGTCAAGGTAATTTGAGTTCTGCCTTCAAGCGTGCTTGCAGAGCTTCCCAGCATATGATCTTTCTGGGGAACTTGGCAGTCCCGGTGTTGGTTACAATGTTTAATGACTGTTCTCAATCAGTTTATTTTCTGGAACATATTCCTATGAAGGCCCTCAGTCAAATGAATGTTTTATCAGAGAATTGTTGATTTTTTGCGCTCAGTGTGTAGGCTGTCTTTTCCTGGTGTGAAATGTTATACAGAAGTGTTCCAAGGTATAAATTAAAGGTGTGAGACCTGTATTTCTCTATTTGGAAGAGATGGTAATCTTTTTTTCAAGCAGAGAATGACAGGGCCTTAAAGTATCTAATCCATATCTACCCATGGATGTTTGTAGGTAACTTTTAAACGGGAAGGTTACTGCTCTTTCTTTGTAGCAGTGGATTAGCAAAGCTTTGTCATATTTTTTGTGGAAAGCTTCAGTAGTAGTATTGTAGCAGCTGAAGAATATAAAACCTGTAATAAAAAAACCCCCACAACCCAAAACTGTTCTTCACTGGCAAAGGCTCTGACCACACCACTCAATTCTTGGAAGGAAGACGCAGGCACTGTGAGAATGAAGACCCTAGGCCCACTGTAGGAGAGGATCTGGTTCAAGACTGTCGTAAAGACCTGAACGTATACAAGTCCATGGGACCTGATGAAATCCATCCACAGGTCCTGAAGGAGCTGGTGAATGAAGTTGCTAAGCGACTGGCCATCATATTTGAAAAATCATGGCAGTCAGGTGAAGTTCCTGACGACTGGAAAAAGGGAAATATAACCCCCATTTCCAAGAAGGGGAAAATGGATGACCCGGGGAATTACTGACCAGTCAGTCTCACCTCTGTGCCTGGCAAAATCTTGGAGCAGATTCTCCTGGAAGGCATGCTAAGGCACATGAAAAACAACAAGGTGCTTGGTGACAGCCAGCAGGGCTTCACTAAGGGGAAATCCTGCCTGACCAATTTGGTGGCCTTCTATGATGGGGCTACAGAACTGATGGACAGGGGTAGAGCAGTTGATGTCATCTACCTGGACTTGTGCAAAGCGTTTGACACTGTCCCACACGACATCCTTGTCTCTAAATTGGAGAGACATCAATTTGATGGATGGACCACTCGGTGGATAAAGAACGAGTGGTGTCCCTCAGGGGTTGGTGTTGGGACCGGTCTTGTTCTCCATCTTTGTCGGTGACATGGACAGTGGGATTGATGCACCCTCAGCAAGTTTGCCAGTGACACCAAGCTGTGTGGCTCGGTTGATATGCTGGAGGGAAGGAATGCAATATTCGTAGCCATTTATTAGTGGTCACTACCCTTAATGTAATGACTTTAGCAGAGTTACCATTTCTGTAGCTGCTGATGGTTTAATACTATTTATGCCCTCTAGGATTTTTCCTGTCAAAGGTGGTTTAGATTGTTTTGCTTAATAATCAGTATGTGCTATGAGCATAGGAAAGTGCCAAGGAAATATAAAAACAGGGTATATGTTCTAATTTTAATAATATATTTAATGTCTTCACTAAATATATAGTGACTTAATCAGTATCAGCCTTTAAGCATAATTGTTCTAATAACTGTGGTTTCTTGGTTATGTGATGAAATCTACTTTTTATCTGCCTTGATACAAATTATTTTGGAGGAGGACTTTTCTCCTTAGTTTCTTTTTCTAATTTTCTTGGTTTGGGAATCAGCTGCAATGAAGCACCTAGTGTGTTTGTGTGTCTGTATATACTTCAGATTGGATTTTTTTGCCTTTGCTTGTAGGAAATAGTTTGAAGCATGATTACTGGATTGGAAGGTAAAAGTTTTCTAAGCACTGATGTATCTTTGTTTCATGTAATGAATTCCAAAGTAATACCTTGACTGCATTAGAAAACTACAGTAGGTTTAGTTTTCTTTTTTAATCCCATTTAATGATGGTTCTAGCTGAATGAGACCTCAGATGTCTCCCAAGGTCAGTCTCAGTGTCTACCCTTCCGTTCCTTCCTCTTTCACATGTTGATAATGTAGTTGTTTTTGCGTCATGAGTAAGAAGTCATGAACCACCTTGTTACCTAGTTTTACTTGATAGTCTGCAACAGACTCCTACTAGTGCCTCCTTTCTGGGCATAAGTACTATTATTCCAATTTACAGATGGGGAAACTCAGCCAGTGAGACTAAATGGCTTGACCAAGGTCATGCAGGAAGCCTCTGATGCAGCAGGGAATTGAACCTGGGTCTTTGGCTACTCTCTAGCAACTGATGGACCATCCTTCCTTTCAAAACTAGGTAAAATTTAAGACCATTTTAAGGGATATTTTTGAACTTGGATTTTTTGCCATCTTCTGCTTTTTGTAATGTATAAAAAAAATGTAAAGATTTTGTTTTTCATAGATGGCATCTACATTAGACCTTTGTACAAATTCTAATGCGATAAGCTGCAATACTTTTTCCTATTATAAAGCATGTTTAGAACCTGTGTATCACATGATGAAAAAGACCAATATGTCTATTTTACCTACATTATGGTCTTCCTGTTGTTGCTGCTTTTACAGTGGAACTGATGTTGGAAAACTCTAGAGGATATTCCATTTGAACCAGACCATAGTTCTCAATAGTGTGTTAAGGCCTGAATTTTAGCATAGTGGCTAAATAAGAATGTGTTTTCTGGAAAAAGCACTTTAGACTTTGTAGATCAGGTAAAGCAGCTCTGCTTTGTAGTATTGCTTTTTATTGGGAGAATTACAGGGCTGTTCTGTGTTGGGGAAAAAAAAAAGTGTTGTAGATTTAAACAAACCTAAAAGCCAAACATAAAAATCTTTTCTTGTTCATAAACAGATGTTGCTTAGAGAAAGTGTTTTTTCCCTGTAGGAGAACTTGGGAAATCTTTCAGGTACATTTTTGTCTAAGCAGCATCTTTTTCTTTTTTTTTTTTTTAATATGATACAGTCATATCTGCACTAATTCAATGTCTAGTTACTATCACCAGTACCACTGTTTAGAACCATTAGTATTAACAAAGCACCATTGCTGTTCTTATCAATGACTCATCTAAACTGATTGTGAGCAGAGTTAGGAGAGTCAGCAGAAGATACTGTTTGTAGATGTGACCATATGAATTGTGGGGCCATTGGTACATTTGAGAGGTAATATATTCTGCTGTAGCCAGGGTTTTAGCACATAGACGTTGCCCTTTTGACTCAGAACTGCGCAATTTCCAAATTAAGATGAAACACCCTCCACCCCCTGGAAATTCTCAGTCATAATGCAGCCACTTTCCTTAAGGCTTTGGGGTTTTCAGCAAAGGTAGACTGTTCCTGTTTACCACTTTAAATATCAGAAGACAATATGTCTAGTCACTCTCAAGCATGTCTAATCTGCCCATACTTTCCTTGCTTTAGGTATCTCTTTCACAACTCTCTTAGTTTTTTTCTCATAGAATTTAAGCATACTGGGCATCAGTTCACAAATATGCTGTAGTTATTTTCTGTAGTAATACAAATTAGTATATGCACAAAGATGTGGTGTGCTGTGCAAGTCAGCCTCTGCTTCTTGCGTGCCCAGTACACAAGGTGATTTTTATTGCACGTTCTGGAAACAGAAACTGAGAACATAGCTGTTATTAATGAGGGTTTCATGCTTTTTGTTGCTGTGTGATCTGTTGGAAACTACTGACAATACTGACAGTATCGTGTGGTGCTGCATGGATCTGGAGCAGCTGCCTTGCATATGTGTGTAAGAATAGTCTGTTGGGTATTGACTTAGAATTAGTAACACCTGTTGTAAAGGTTGGAAGTCAGAATTTTGCAGGACTCCATTGCTTCTGTTGATGATACCAAGATGGAACAAAACAGAATATTGAACGTAAAGTGTGTAAAACAAACTTGCCATGACTTCTCTGTTCTGCAGGGAGGGAGATGATCTTAGAATGGTAATGTAAGTCTTTTCTCTCCTTTTCCCTCAGTTCATGGGTCTGGGGTTTTAGAAAGGAAAACTGTGAAGTCTATTTTCTGAGTTACATGATGGAATAGAGTAGTTCAGTTGAAAGGGACCTACAACAGTCATCTAGTCCAACTGCCTGACCACTTTAGGGCTGTCCAAAAGTTAAACTAAATTGTTGAGGGCACTGTCCAAATGCCTTTTAAACATTGCCAGGACTTGTTTTGCCCTCTTGGTTGCCAGGGTACACTGCTGGCTTGTACTGAGCTTCTTGCCAACCAGCCCCCCAGGTGCCTTTCTGCAGGTTGCTCTCTGGCCACTCATCTCCTAATTTATACTTCTGTCCAGTGTTGCTCCATCCCTAGTGCAGAATCCAGCATTTGTTCTCATTATATTTCATGGTATTAATGATTGCGCAGTGCAGGATCCCTGTGCAAGGTCTCTTCTCACTTGAGAGAGTCAGCAGCACCTGCCAGTTTGATACCATCGGCAAACTTTCTAATGGTGCATTCAACTCCTGCATCCAGATCATTGATAAAAATCTTGACCAGCACTGGCCCTAGCACTGAGCCCTAAGGAACACTGCTGGTGACTGGTTGTCACCCACATGTAGCCCCATTCACTACAACCCTCTGAGCCTTGCCAATGAGACAGTTCTTCACGCAGCACACTGTGAACCTGCTTATCTTGCAGTTGGACAACTTGTCCAGAAGGATGCCATGAGGGACGAAACCTAAAGCATTATTAAAATCCAGAAAAACTGTATCCACCACCTTCCCTTCATACACTGGGGGGGTGGTCTGGTAGAAGGAGATGAAATTTGTTAAACAGGACTTTACCTTTGTGAACCCATGTTGATGGTGCCTGATGATTGCATTGTCCTTCAAGTGCCCTGTGTGATTTTCATAGCTTTTCCAGGTGGCTAGATAGCAGGTCTGTAGTTCCTGGCTCTGCCTTCATGCCTTTCTTGTATATTGGAATAATGCTGACCAGCTTCCAGTAAGTGAGGATCTCCCCAGACTCCCAAGAGTCTGGTGGGTGATTGAGAGAGGTCCTGCTGTAATGTCCCCTAGATGTAACATCCTAGATGTAACATCCCCTAGATTAGAGATGGCATTGCTACTGCTTTGTATATGATGGGTACACGGTATTTGTCAGAATATTTTGTGAGCCCCTTAAACCTGGAACACTCATCTTAAAATTCATCACTGGCCATTTCTTGTAGTATTTTTTAAATAGGAAGTAATTTGTTAAATTTGTATCTAAAAGTAGAACTCTTCCACTTCATCAATTTAGAATGATTCATGGAAATGTGAGATGTCTTATAGGTTAAAACTGGAAGAAGTTTTGTTATAGTCTTATTTCTTGTGTGTGTCAAGGTGAATTGACTTAAGTCTTGTCTGAAGGAGTAAACTAAAAAAAACCCTAATAGCTGTCCTTATTTATCTGGGATAGGTGGTAAGCTTCCCTTTGTTGCTTGCTTGAATTTGCCTCTCTTTAGCGATCCTTGCCAACTGGTTTAAGGGGACGTGCTAGTGAGAGGTCCTCTCTGTGTAGCAGCTTATAAAATCTCCCCTAATTTTCACCAAATTCTTCATTATGTTGCAAAAAAAGACATATATTCCAAAGTCAGCATTATTCTAATAATTCTTTTTGACAACCTTTTTTCATGTAACTGCACAGTAAGAGGATCATAACAAGATGATACTGATACTGATACACTGATACTGTACATATAAACAGCTCCATTTTGTTATTCATACCTGGTAGTCCTCCCTTTATGTCACGTGCTACTGCCAAGAAAGCTACAGGCCCACTGAAACAGAAAAAGTGTTCAGTCAAATTTCCACTGTATTGCTGAAGCTTGTTGAATGGAAGGGAGGATATCTTGAAAGGTCCATTCTTCTTTCTCTGTAGGGCAGTGTAAGCAGTAATTGAGTTCAAGAATTCATTGGGAGAGTTGCTTCATATTCTCTCCCTCTGCCCTTGGAGTTTGAGCTTTTGAGTCTGGTGTGTGAAAGAGGAGTGTATGAATGGTCTCTAATACCTCTTTTAATAGGAATTACTGGTAAAGCAAAGAGAGAGCTGGCTTTGGTTAGTGCCCTGTTATCCCTAGTGATCTTGTAATGATTCCAAAACTCTGATTTGACTCTCAGAGCTTAACGTGTTTCTTAACTGATCAGAAATTTCTTGCTGTTTACCTGACATATTTGATTACATTTGTGTAGTTCTGTAGGTGAAAGATTGGAATGCAACTGCTTTAATACTTACTAGCTCTAGTTGTCAGGATGTGGAATGAGATTTGTAGTCAGCATTCCTGGTCCTAGCATTCTTACCATGTAATTTCATAGGGCTTTAACATTTGTCCTTTGTGACAGAAAAAATGAGGATGATATCTCAGAGTAGTGATTTAGACTTGCAGTGTGAGTTGTATTGTCACGTTTGTAGATAAGGTAATGAAAAATCTAGTGAGTAGGTATTTCTGAATAACCTCATGTCATCCCAAATATTTGCATTTGGTTCAGTGAGTTTAATAGTGTACAAGGCAACATAAACTTTCCAGGCTGAAGCATTTAATTCTGTGAATGTCGGTTAACTATGCTGATACAGGTCCTGTGTTGAAATAAGAGTATCTAAATTCTCTACGGTACCCCAATGTGAAAAGGCTTGCATTGAGGCATCAGCTGTATTTTGGGATGAACAGTTTTCACATATTTAATTTTGTAGGGGAAAATGCGGCATGTTTGGGATAAATAATTTTTCATAGGTCAGTAATTACTGTGAATTTGATTCCTGTTTCTTTTTTCATGATTGGTAGTTATGTAGATGGGATGCTCTCAGTATTACCATTACAATACTTATACTGGTTCCTCTGACTAAAGCTGCTGTCTCCTCATCCATAAGGATTGTAGGTTCTATTTGGTGTCTGAAAAGAGCTGAAATGCCTTCTAATATTTATTTATTTATTTTTATTTTTTGATCAGATCTTTGTGGAATTTGATGGCTGTAACTGGAAGCAACATGCCTGGGTGAAAGTCCATGCTGAAGAAGTTATAGTGCTGTTGCTGGAAGGATCATTGGTTTGGGCTCCTCGAAATGATCCAGTTATGCTTCAGGGGACTCGTGTCTCACTGGCACAGTGGCCTGCACTAGTGAGTATTTGGCCAAAACCTCTCATATCTTCACTCTACTGTGAAACACACGGTTGGATATTGTGCAGAGCACCAGTTTGGAGATAGCAAAAATTGCTTGGGGATTGATTTTTTTTTTTATTTTTTTTTTTAAATGGTAAATAGAGCAGTTGACTGAGAATTATAGTGTCTTCAGAAAGGCATATGTGAGGCAGCATGCTTCCAGTTCCTGCCCCAGGAGTTGAAAGCTGTTACCTCACAGAAATGAGATACTGTTTACCAGTGGGTCTCTGAAGAAATGTGCTACGTATCTGAAAATACTGTTTTTTTCCCTATTTTAGGCTTTTCTGAATTGTGAGATATTTTCACAATCCAGAAAAAAAAAAAAAAGTGTTTTGATTTCTATGGTCTCTCCAGAGCTCTGTATGGTAAAGGTTGCTGCGTAATTCTAACAGGCATTCCTTCAAGGCATTTTTAGGAGGTGAATAGACTGTGGGCTTTGTCTGACCCAGAAGTTTGCCACTCCTCATCTAAACTGAAAAAGATTATTGAAGTGTTATTGTCAGCATTAACTAACTTAATATGCAAAATTTTCTCCTGGTTCTTGAGGTGGTTATCCATGTTGTTGCTTACATGGCAGTTGTAAGTCATGATGCTTGAGAACGAAACCAGTCTGTTTTAGCTGGCATATCTGAGTACACCCATTCTGGAGACATCCTGGTGAGTGGTGTGTAGTGAAGGGCATTTCTTATCTGAGGACACCCATTCTGGAAACATCCTGGTGAGTGGTGTGTAGTGAAGGGCATTTCTTACATCCTTCTTTTTTCTCATAGTATCTTCTGAAGAGGAAATATTAGATGTGAGAATCCTACCTTTGTTTTCATGCTGTCTTATTTTTATTATTTTGCCCTTTTGCTTCTTTTCTTCTGCAGTCCTTGGACTGCTTAGGATCTGACTCTACTTTTTAATACTACACTTTGTGCATGGACACATTAAAATGTTTTTTCTAGTCAAGGACTTTGTGGCTTGGTGGAATTTGAATTTAATGTTTTAAATGGACACTTGGGCTCAAAGCAACAAGCTCAGCCCTGCATCTTTCTCTGAAGGTTTCTTTATTGCATTTGTCATAAGGCAGAAGAAAACCAAGTCTTTACAGCAGAGAATCTGTACACAGTGCTTGTTCCATAGGTGGAGTTTCCTTTCGGTGTATTTACAACTTGTTTCTGAGATGGAAGTCCAGTTTAATTTTACCTGGGGAAACTGTGTTTATACAGGATCAGTTTATTTCAGATGATTCCCAAGTATCTGTATCTGAGTGACCAGCAGGTTGAAGGAGGTGATCCTGCCCCTCTACTCTGCTCTTATGAGACCTCACCTGGAGCATGGTGTGCAATTCTGGTGTCCTCAACATAAAAAGGACATGGAACTGTTGGAACAAGTCCAGAGAAGGGCCATGAGGATGATGAGGGGACTGGAGCACCTCCCGTATGAAGACAGGCTGAGAAAGTTGGGGCTGCTCAGCCTGGAGAAGAGAAGGCTGCGTGGAGACCTCATGGCAGCCTTCCAGTATCTGAAGGGGGGCTATAGGGATGCTGGGGAGGGACTCTTCATTAGGGACTGTAGTGACAGGACAAGGGGTAACGGGTTAAAACTGAAACAGGGGAAGTTTAGGTTGGATTTAAGGAAGAAATTTTTTCCTGTTAGGGTGGTGAGGCACTGGAATGGGTTGCCCAGGGAGGTTGTGAATGCTCCATCCCTGGCAGTGTTCAAGACCAGTTTGGACGAGGCCTTGGGTGATACGATTTAGCGTAAGGTGTCCCTGCCCATTGCAGGGGGGTTGGAACTAGATGATCTTAAGGTCCTTTCCAACCCTAACAATTCTATGATTCTATGATTTGGGGGTGTTAACCATAGTCCACACATTAATTGTGTGATGAGTTGTGTCAGAACCTGTTAGAAGACTGTTAGAACCAAATATGGGTCCACTATGATCCCAGAATATTTCCACTGTAACTCAAGCTAGATCTGTGGACTTGCTGAAGAAATGTTTCTATCCCCTGTGCTCTGGATAGCCCTGTGAGCACTCAAGCTTCTCAAGAGTTCACTAGGTACTAGAGGCCTACCCACATAACTGCATGGGGGTATAGACTGGGGTTAGCCAGAGGACCAGAGCAGGTATGTATAGACAACTCTGGGAAGCCAACTCCTTAGCATTACAAAGTTTGGGGTGTGGACTCAAGTGTGGTGGTGGTTTTGCATGGGTTTTTATGGTAGACTGGAGTGTGGTGGTGGTGATTTTGCATGGGTTTTATGGTAGTGTGGTTTTGTTGTGGTGGTGGTGGTTGGTTGGTTGGATTTTGTTCTTTTGAGATCTGTCACGAATGTATGTTCATCCTTACTTCTCTCTTGCTTGTAGTCCTGTTCACTTTTATTTAGGAAATAATTGCATAAACTGAGAAAATACATTCGTGCTGTTATGTACCGGAGAATGGAGTGTGAACAAACTTGATGAGAGCTGTTAAGGGGAAAATGTTGTGACTACTTGTGTGTTAAAATCAGTTAAGTGTGAGTGTGAGACAGATAACACTTTTCAGAGACCCCGGTGGTTGACAACTTTCTCTTCCATCACCAAGTTACGTTATAAGTTTATCACTATGATTTGACTAGCTGTTTTGTGATTTGTCCTGCAGCTTGAATACCATTAGTACACCTGTTAGGAACTTTAGATTTGCACAAAGCATGAGCCAAAACAAAAGCTCCCCTTTAATAGTATGCCTGTAAATTACTTACACCTGACTTCTGTACAGGAATAAAACCGCTCCTTTCAGGGGGTTGTACACCAAAAATGTAGGGTAGTTTGAACCATTATCCAAAGCTTGTTAGGTTTTTTATTTTGGGGGGTTTGGGGCGGTTTGGGGTTTTCTAACCTGAGCATCAGAAGGTACCTCTGAAAAAAACAATACCATGGAAGGTATTTTCAGTTACGCTTTAATTTCTAATGAAGAAGTGGAGCCAATTTTATATAATTCCTTCTTGTGATGTGCCACATTTGCAAGAAAAGTCAGATAAGTGGTGCAAGTTGAGAAATGAAACTTACTCCTTGTCATACTTAAATAGCATGTGAAAATAGCTATTGTTGACCTGCATGTGTGCTTAGTCATTTTTATAACCTTTGATTTTTGTTGTCCATCACAGACCTTCACTCCTCTAGTAGATAAGCTGGGCTTAGGCTCTGTGGTGCCAGTAGAGTTTCTTCTGGACAGACATTTACGTTTCCTATCTGATGCCAGTGGATTACGGTTGTTTCAGGTATTTGAACTGTATTCAGTTAAAGTGCAAATTTAACTTTGCTGTGCTTGTCAGATAAACTTATTTTTTTCCCCTGCTTTTCCAGATGTTTATACTAACCTCCATCTGCATTTGAAAAGTTCTAGTTCCTCTCTGTATTGGTCAGTGGGAGAGCTAGCTGTCAAGCGCAGTGTAACTGATAATTGCAATGAAAGTTTTGCAACAGCTTTTGCATAGCTAGTGCTTTTTTTCCTCCAAGCATGTTCAGCTGTGCTTTCCTTAGTTTTCCTTTTTTGTTTGTCACTTTCTGAGAGCTGTCCATTAAAAACTAATGAGTCTGCTGCCTTAAAAGACTATACTTTTATGTTAAAACCGTTTGTTCTTGGCAGATGGGAACAGAGAGCCAAAATCGGATTCTGCAGGAGCAGTCTTCACTAAGAGAATCTGTCAATGCATTGATCAGTGACCAGAAGCTTCAGGAGATATTTAGTAGAGGTGAGACTGTGTTTTTCTATCTCAGAGCTACTTTGTTGTGGAACGGTTAGGCCATGCTGGAATTTGTGAAGGAGAATTAGTAATAGAACTTGTTACTGCTTGATTTGGAAGGTCAATTTTCCATATTGTTTTGAAAGTTCTTTACAAAGAAACATTATTTTGTGACAGATACAGGTGCTCAGTATAGATTTAATAACTTAACTGTTGTCCGGATTTTGTATTGGGTTTAAGCCTGATTGTAGCTTTTTTCAGATTGGGGTCTTCAAGTGCTAAAATGATTTTCTATCCAGAGTTTGCGTTCATGGGGCCAGGTGGCCACCCTAGAGATAGGTCACTGTATTACACTGGGAGGACGATGTAATCCTTAATGGGGATTTAGTGCCTTTTGGTTAAATGTTTGCTGATGAAAATACTATGAGGTCAGTACTTCTTACATGAGTAAGGAGCTTCAGAATTTTCCAGTTTGGAGCCTTCTTCTGAAGTGCCTGGTTCTAGTTGCATCAGATACAGGCTTTTTGATTGTGTGGATTTTGATGACCTAATGTCAGTAAAGGTGTTTTTGTCTGGACTTAGGGTAGGAGGAAAGGTCTGCATGCTGATGTGGAGAGTGACGGCAGGGTCAGAGGAAGCCTTTCTGTATATAATCTGTTACCTGTGTCAGAGAACAAAGACTGGTTGGTGTATAGACATTGGGTATTTGTGCAATTATATTAAATTTTTCAAAGTTACAAATGATGTGTTTCTGTTCTGAACTGCATGCAGTTTATACTGGGATTTCATGCATATGAACTGAGTTGGAATGTTGTGACTGTCCACTGGATTGATGTTTCATAATTACTGACTTGTAGTTTAGAAAGCAAAGGGGTTAGTTAGCAGGGAGCCCGTGTCTGCTTTGCTTTTGTCAAAGGAGTGAGTTTATTTTGCTGCTTTTTTGTTGCCTTTTTTTTTTTTTTAACTTGTAAACTGTATTTTGTCTTTAGCTTTGAGTGTTCACTGATACTTTACAATAGAATGCTTGGCTTTTGCAGGATTTGCAGCAGAAGCCCTAGTGTTTTAATTTCTTTCCACCTGAAAGATGACTTTTCAAGCTCTAATTGTGTGTACAGAACTTTTTTTTTGATTGTATGACTTCTAACTAAATGACACAAAACTTGTCTGGAAAATTCACTTAGAGTCCTTCTTTTTTCCAGGTCCTTACAGTGTCCAAGGCCAAAGAGTTAAGGTTTATCAACCAGAGGATGAAAATAGCTGGCTCTGTGGTGTTGTGAGCCATCAAGACCCAATAACTCGTCTTATGGAGGTGTCTTTGACTGAGGTAAAAACATGAAGCAGTGCTTTGGTGTTTCTGAAATACCAGACTTCAGTAGCTCAAGCAGAATGACAGCGTCACAAAACTTACACTTTGGCTCTTTGTTATTTGTTTTAAAATATGAGTAATTATCCATGTTGCTACTCACAGAATTATTTTTCTTCTGTTATGGTGACTTTCCACAATAAATGATGATGCACAGCCCACTGCTATACAAGAAGATGCAAGAATTTCTTTAGAAATGAGCACTATATGAAAAAATATCAAAAGTGGCTTTCTGTATGGGAGAGAGTGCTGATGTACAGAGCTGCCTTCTGGCTCTGTTATGCTGTGGTCTTCTTGTGCCTTCTCTCAGTTTCTGTCTGGTAGGCTGTACAAGTGGTTTGAAACAAGTTTAGCATAGAAGGTGAAATCTTAGTCTAAATAAAAGTGATTGGTGTATTTTAGCTTAAGCTGTTTACTTTTGTCCTATTCCTATCAGTAAACCTAGTAAGAAAATCTGTACAGTGCTAGAGTTAACTGGTTTGTATTGTGTGCTGTGTGGTGTGACAGGTAGTTCAGTCCTACCAGCAGCCTGCTCCCAATGGCTCCTTTTTTCAGGAGCATCTAGGAAGAAGTCTGTGGTGCTGTGTGTAAATTACTATAGCAGTAACACTCTTCTCAGTTTTTTTTTTTTTGGGTCCCATGCCTATGCCACCTACCCTCATAGCCTTTGCCTTGTGCAGTAAAATATATGTGCAGAATGAGTGCACTGAACATGTCCAGTAAGTCCTATGTATACGTGCAGTACTCCTGCACTCTTGGATCTATTGCTGTTGCACAGGAAAAAGGTTTACCATGTACCATAAACGAGTGCAGTGCTTTGGAGAGGCACTGAAATTGTGGAGGATGTGATTTCAGCAGATACGTGCCAGGAAGCACCCAACTTAATGCGCGTATACCCTGAAATAAAAAGGTAACCTCCAAATGCAATTGCTTAGATAAGGTATTCATTGCTCCTTTTGGGGAGAAGCTGATAAAGATAACTATCATAAATTGATGTGCTTCCAGTAGCCTTTTCTACATCTATCAGTGTATGTGCAGGAGGCTAGAACAATACTAAATCAGACTTAAGAAGAGGTGTGTTTAATGCAATGAATGCATTAGAGATGCTCAGTAGAACAAATTTACAAGGAAAAAGTAGTAGGGATGAAGTCTGAAAGATGTTTAAATAGGGAAGGAGCAAAAGGATAGAAGATAAACTGGAAGCCTGTATTATTACTAAGGAAGTGTGACAGAAATAAAAGACAAATGCTGCAAAGTAGCCCTGTGTTTAAGGTCTCTTGTGTTGATACTATATATTCTGAATTAAAAACTAACCTCCTCTTTTTTTTTCCTACTACCTTCTCAATATCAATCTGCATGAAAATTAAGAGTGGTGAAGTTAAGTCAGTGGATCCTCGACTGATTCATGTGGTGATGGATAATACTTCTCCAAGTGAGGTATGGCAGCAGTTCAGGTCTTGTATTTACAGTGTGAAACTTCATAAAAATTTAGATAGAAAACATGGAAGAAACTGAAAACTGATGCTGTGTTCACTGTGGGCTTTTGATAATGCCATTGGCAAAGGAGAATTTTAATGACCACTCTGAGGTTCTTTAAAGGTTTCCTCAAACAGTCTTTTTGTTCAGGCCTGTTTTACTAATTTCAACCATGGATCCTGGGGGGGGCAGTGGTTGTTTTAATAATCATGGCTCCATTTTAAGAGGAAGTGCTCTGATAAAAGGTGTATCTATGCTCTCTGCCTTTTTCTAATGGGATCACTCTGCTTCTTCACAGGCTGTTTTTTAAAATTACCATCTGGCTTCTCTGAAGCAGGCTTGTGTGCTTGTGACAAGCATTTCATTGCTTCAGTTGAGAGGTTCCATGATGATCTTTGAATCTCTGTTTTTAACCTAGGCTAAGGGGCAAGCTATCTCCTGTAGTTAAATATTGTAGGTTTTTGGTAGTGGACAGAAGGTGTGCACTTCAGAAGAACTATGGGGATTGCACTTGTAGAAAAAATTACGTGCAGATAGCTTTCATGTGTTAGCAAGAACTGTGTTGGAGGATGGCCATGTTGCATGTTTCCCAAAATCTGCCATGATGTGGTACATGCTACAGCAAAGCAGCTCAGCTACAAATCTCATTGTGAAGATCCTCTTTTAGTACAAAAAAGACAAGACTGCATTTATGCTTGTGTTCTATGATCACATGGTATCTTTCCTTAGATGTCTCAATTTGTGATTAAGTGTTCCTAAGCTTAAGAGCAGTGTAATGTATTCTAATGGAAAAATGTTCTTTGAGTAGGTATCCTTATTGTTCTGTTTAGCGATTGCATGATGTTGTCTATTATAGGGAGGGGGCCTAAAAGCAGCTAAATCATCTAAAGGGAAAAAGAAGAAAGAAAGTCTGGAGGGAAAGGATGGACGGAGGAGGAAAAATGCCTCAGATTCTGGGTGTGATCCTGCAACAAAGAAGCTAAAGGAGAGGGGTGAGGTGGATAGCAATGGTAGTGATGGAGGTGAGGCAAGCAGAGGTCCTTGGAAAGGAGGCTCCAGTAGCGAAACAGGACTGGATCCAAGGGCCAAGCAGTTGCCTTCATTCATTCCGCAGATTAATCGCAATATTCGCTTTGCCACTTACACCAAAGAGAATGGCCGAACACTAGTAGTCCAGGATGAGCCAGTTGGTGGTGACACACCATTGCCCTTCACTCCATTTTCCTCTGTGGCTGGACAAGCTTTGCTAGCTGGATCTGGATGTAAAGAGGCAGGAAAATCACTGGAACAAGTTGGCCAAGGCACGGTGACTTCTGCAACTGCAGTTACTACAGCTGCTTTGACGCCAACAACTGTGAGAATCTCTGATACCAGTTTGCCACCTGTTACTGGGCAGGAGAAACTGAAAACAGGCCGATCACAAGCCCAGGGAGAGGTGAGTAGCTCATGATCCATCATATTCAAGAAAGACATATATATCTGCAACAGGTGTTCTGCAGCACATTCCTGTTACAAAATGTGTCCGTGGAATTGAGAAAACTACTTTTCTCTGGTGAATCCCTTCCCTCCCAAAGGAAACTTGTTACCTGATGTAAGAAAGAGCTCAAAATTAACATTTTTGATGGCGTTGTAAGAGACAACTTTTTAGCACTCTTATTCAACGTTAATATGAGAAATGCAGCCTTAAAGTCACTTTAATCACTGTTGTGTCATGTGGAAAATAACCTACACCTGCATAGTATCTCTTGCCTTCATAAAAATAAATATGGATGAGAACGTTCACCAAGTTGAATGTTTAAGTTACTTTAACAAAACAAAAGAGCACCTCAAAACCAGAAAAACAATGTGACTACATTTAGAGGACCTTTTACAGGTGTCTAACTTGTCTGTTGCAGCTATGATATCTCTGTAGTAGAAAATGTGCCGGTCTCATCGTATACTATCTTTGGAAACAAAGAAATAGTTAAAACATTTGAGATTGGTACCATTAGAATAAATGTTAATAAAGAACTCAGTCTGGAAGCAGCTTGAAGACTTTTTAGTTACGTGTTTGTATTTAGGGGAAGAAGTGAGAAAGTAGAAGGGAAACACTGTTAAAAACAAACTAGAAGACTTTTTAAGTAACCAAATGAAGCCTTCATCAAAACAAAAGAAAACCAAAACCTCACCTCAGTAAGTATAGCAAAAGTGAAGTAACCTGTAGTCTACTGTATAAAAAAAGTTAAGAAAAATGGGAGGTATATTAGGGAGTCCAAGGTGGTTGCCACAGGGTCGAATGGATTTCATTCTTGTCTTTTGTATTAGCTAATGGAATGGGGGGAAAGCTGAGATGTTTACTTTGGGATAAGGATTCCTAGATGGTAAGGTGTAACAGAGAAACGGAATTGTAGAATACTGGAGTGTTACCTAATGACATTGTTATACTGTAGCCTGCTCTCCTCCATCCCACCACCCCCTGCGAAAAGAAAAATAAAAGGAGGGAAACAAGTTCAGACTTAGGAGCAACTACAAATGGTGCAGGTAAACAGTCAAAATTGTATCTGTCATCAGTGGTAATAAGGGAGAACTTGAGTTGTACTGAGAAATTTTGGTACTGCATCTTCCCTCCCTCTCCACAACCCCAAATCATTTGGTTTACATCATTATTAAATAATCTGGCTTCAGAATTTGCAGGCAGATCACTAATCCATTTCCAACTGTATTTTCCTCTAGGGAACCTGACATAAATCAGTAAGAGTGTTGTAGATAGTTCACGCGTGTTGCTGCTTTAGACTGTCCACTTCATCTTGGTGGTTTTGTCCTCGAAATCACTTCATAAGCTTACACTTTTAAAAACTGTTAGAACTCAGTTTGTGAAAATCTCTTTGATTCTAAAAAGAGATACCTGAAATTCGAATATCTGGAAGAACTGTCATGGGGGACATGAATAGGTTATTCAAGTTGTTACAGCTGGAGGTTGATACCAAGGAACAAGCTAAACATTAGTTTGTGGTGTAGTAGGTGTGCAGTAACCCTAATTACCAGTAGGATGTGTTGCACAGAGGCTGTGGTTGTATTTAACGTGGCCTTGGAATAGTGTATTAATCATGAAAAGGTTTCTACATGGAAACTCAAAGAAAAGGGATAGAACCAATGACTTAGTTGCAGAATATAATCAGTTACAGTAGGACTGGGAGGATTGGAAAATCTGAGTAAGTATAAATTGAGAAGAGAGCAAGTAAATATTCCATATCACAGTTATGAGTCTACTAAAAATCTGACAACTTTCCAGTATTTGAAGGTCATAAAAATTAAGCTTGTTGTGCCTAACCTCTACTGAGTAATCCCTGGAAGGCAACACGTCATAGGCGTCTATCTACCTGTTGGTAAATGCAGCTTGCTGTGACCAGAAACAGTTTGTTCACTAACTGCTTCTTTGTGGAATTAACTTCACAAACTAATTATTTCAGGGGTGCTGGTTAAGTAGGAGAAGCTTATCAGGATGATTTTAGGTGAGAGTAAAAGATGAGTTTCAGTTAAAAACAGTCTCAATTTTTAATTGAAGTTTCAGTTAAAGTTTCGATTAAAATTCCCTGCTTGCTAATTTGAATGAAAACACTCAGTAGTTTAAATAACTTTTCTGTGAATTAGTTGACCTTGTCTTGTGTTTCACTTTCATTCTAAAGCATGGTAAGACATTAAGTGTTCATTTTCTCTGTATGCCTTAGATATGTAGTGGACACTGTTAGCTCATTATTTTCAATAGCTTGTGGGTAGGAACAGTTAGGCTAGCAGAATCCTTAAAGAAGTTTCTTCACTGTAAATAATTCTGCTAGAAGTTTCTGTTCCAAGTGGATAAGCAAAATGCTAATTGTACAGGTAGATGAACCAAAGTATTGCTGAATCAAGCAAGAATCGTTTAAGAGGCTAATGCTTATTTTGTTTCAGAATTCCCAGAATTCACTTCTGGCTTCTGGATTTGGAATCTCGCTCCCAAGTGCTTCTCAGTCCTTGATTTTTGGGGGTGGAAGGAGCCAATCAAATGGAGTGGTGACTACGGAAAGCAAGCCTTCTGGATTTCCTTTTGGCTCTAGTACTGGACAAGAGGCTCAGAAAGATTCTGATCTATCCAAGAACTTGTTTTTTCAGTGCATGTCCCAAAATCTACCTTCCAGTAACTACTTTACGGTCATTTCGGAGAGCTTGACTGAAGATGCCTCTAGTCGGGACTCATTCAAGCAGTGTACAGAGAGTGTGGGTGCTGGCATCTGTAAAGGCAAAAGTCTTTCAGTGGACACGAAACCAGGAGCCCAGTCTGGTGGTTCTGTGGAGCGGAAGCTGCCTGTGGAGTCTATGCCTACGCTTACTCCAGCCTTTTCACGAAGTGTGTTGAATACTCGTCCCCCAGATAGTCACGAAAACCTATTTTTGCAGCCCCCAAAGCTATCAAGAGAGGAACCCTCAAACCCTTTCCTGGCATTTGCTGAGAAAGCAGAACTTAGTCCTTTCAGTGGCTTTGCATCTTCATCTCAGACAGGGGTTTCTATTCCCTCTACACCTGTGGGTCACAAGGCCACTTCTGGCTGGCTGGAATCACTCACCTCTGCAGACTCCTCCCTATCTAAGAAGAAGACCTTGTTTATAACAACTGACTCTTCAAAGATGATCTCCAGTACTCCCGGTTCAACAGTTGCTGCTGGTGTTCAGAGCCCTTCCACTATAGGGAATGGCTGTTCCAGCTCACCAACCAGTAACTTGACACAGCCTATTGAGATGCCCACACTTTCTTCCAGCCCAACAGAAGAAAAACCAGCTGTTGGGCCTGGCCAGCAGGACAATCCTCTTCTGAAAACCTTTTCTAATGTGTTTGGCAGACACCCACCTGGCTTTTTCTCTTTGCAGGCAGAATTTCCACAGGAGAGCAAAGCCCCTTTTGAAGCTGTGAAAAGGTTCTCTCTAGATGAGCGAAGCTTGACGTCCAAACAGGACTCAGACTCCAGTACCAATAGTGATCTGTCAGATCTGAGTGATTCTGAAGACCAGCTGCAGGCCAAGGCTTGTATGAAGGGAATCCCTGACCACTTGATGGCAAAGCTAGGCCCCAATGCAGAGCGCAATGCTGAATTGCTGCTGGGGAAAGGAAAAGGGAAGCAAGCCCCAAAGGGCCGTCCCCGCACAGCTCCCCTAAAAGGTGATGACTTGAATTCAGGGTGTCTTGAAGCACAAGGAGGTGGGATGCTGGGATATCTCCTGTGTGATGAACTATGTGAACTATCCACAAGTATAAACCTCATTTATGCTCAGTAGGCAGCACACAGGATGTTTACAAGGCTAAAGCTTAAGGCTTCTTTAATGTGAATGAACATGTTCACTTCGAGAAATGTTTAAGCATTTGTCAGGACAAAAGAACAGTATGCTGCAGACTTGAACAGTCTTACTGGTTTTGCATGCATATGATCATACAGGTTTCTGAAAATACGTTTATTTGGGCCAGTATCCTTTTGCTGTTGCAGTTATCTAATGAATTTTTACTTCTACTTTGCCTCAACCAGTTGGTCAGTCTGTGCTGAAAGATATGAGCAAGGTGAGAAAGCTGAAACAGTCAGGTGAGCCTTTTCTTCAGGATGGCTCTTGCATCAATGTGGCTCCGCACCTGCACAAGTGCCGGGAGTGCCGTCTGGAGCGGTACCGCAAATTCAAGGAGCAAGAGCAAGACGACTCAACTGTGGCATGTCGCTTCTTCCATTTTCGGAGGTGCTCAAATCTTTCCTTCCTTCAAATGTAGTCTGTGTGCAGGCTTGGACTGTGCCCAAGCACAAAGTAAATATGTTTTACTTATTTAATATGCTTGGGTACAATAATGAAGATTTTGAATGTCTTGCAGTTCCCTGTATCACCTGCCTGTAATTCCCTCACTGGGGTGGTAAGAGTTGCTGTTGGGAGATACAGGTATATGGTACTGAGCCTCCAGGTCCACCCTCAGGAAATTGAATTTGCTTTATTGGGTAGAATTTACTGCTGGGTAGCAGTTTGTGTGGAACAACTGTTGTCTCCCTCTTTCATAGAGAGTTTAGAACAAAGATAGAATTTTACAAGTTCACAGGTAACGAAACATTCTAGTATGAGGCTAATGTTTGACTAGGTTCTGTTGAGAACAGAACTGATTTTTAGGGGTAGAGTACCGCCTGTATTTTTTCTGTCTTCTGTACCTGTCTTACAGTTCTTTAACCTCTCATGCTTTTCTTCATCTTTCTTAACTGCCTATTCTAGCAAGTGCTAGGTGTCTTTTTCCGAAAAGGTGTTTGTTCACTTTCTGACATGTAAAGAGTGAAGTAAATTTTTTAGTGTGTGCCACCCATGCAGTAAGGATTATAGCTGCTTTTCTTCCCAAACTTGTTAAAAATTAATCTAGCTTTGAGGTTAAAGACAAGATTGGTTTTGCTCAAAAATAAAGTTACCTTTAATATTGGCATGAGACATTCAGGGTTCTATAACTTACACCTTCTGTTGTTGCACCTTTTACCACACAAAGACAAGGAGGGTGAACAGCTACTGGTAAAACAGCTGTGACTTGCCTCTGTGGAGAGCAGTGGCAAGAATAGTAGTAGTACAGTAAGGATTTTTATGTCTTGTAATGTGGACTGTTAGAACAGTTGCCAAGTGCTAGCGGCCCTAGCCAGAACTGAAATATTGGTTTCCCCAAAAGTGGGAAACAACTTTCTCCTGAGTAGAATGAGAACCATGCACAATTTTACAAGCAGCATCATTCAGGAGCACAAATAAATTGAATTTTGTCATCTCTTTCTGTCAATAATATAGAGAAAAGTGACTTACTAAACTGTAGCCATTTTCTACGTGTGGAATTTCCCACCAATGCTTGCTGGGCCCTGGAGATTCATTCTAGTGGTTTTGCGGATGTTGCCTTTGTGTACCTTATTCTCTGTTATTTGGATTTGCATAATAATTGTACTGGCAGATTATACCACCTAGTTCAAGCCCTTTTCTCCCTTTCTGGGTTAATGTTCTGACATAGATAGCATTATAAGTTAGTTAAAGGTGGTTGAGCAGCTTCTCGATTACTCCGTCCTGTTTTCTGCAGGCTGATATTTACCCGGAAAGGTATTCTACGAGTAGAGGGTTTCTTGAACCCACAACAGAGTGACCCTGATGCCATGAGCCTGTGGATTCCTTCTTCCTCCCCTGCAGAGGGGATCGATCTGGAAACTTCCAAATATATCCTGGCCAATGTTGGGGACCAGTTCTGCCAGCTGGTTATGTCAGAGAAGGAGGCAATGATGATGGTGGAGCCACATCGTAAGCTGGGCTTTTGACGTGTTTTTTGTCCATCTTCTCTGTGTAATATGCGTACAATGCAGTGGAATAGAGTTGAAAGTGTAATAAAATTTTTTTGTTAAAATGCTTCTCTTTTTCTTTCAAAGAGAAGGTTATATTCACCTTTTTTTTGGGGGGGGGGGGTGTGTGTAATTGTGGGACCAGCATTTAGGATTTTTCTTTTGGATCAGTGCTAACCAGGAAGCTAACATTAACTTTCCCAGACATCCTTAAATTATTTTTCAATAAATCAGGAGTTGGCTGGCCCATGCTTCTAAGAAAATAGAAATAAGTTCAGAATGCTTATCATACTGACCAGCTATGCTTTAATGAGCAGCTTTTCTTACGTATTCCTATCCTGTTATGTTCTAGGGTCATCACAGAAAAGCTCAGGGTTTTCTAGGGTTTGAGCAGTACCTGCGTTCACCCTGCAAGGACTCAGCTGAGCAACTGGTTGCCAGCATTGCCAGTACAAGGGGAAGTAGGTTTAGAAAAAATTTTCCAAAGGTGTCTAGTACAGCCTATTGCATGGGGTAGTTCTGGCTGTCTGATTTTTCCCATTAGCTTCTGGAATGTACAAGGCCAGGCATTTGGAGAGGGCTTCCCCTTCCTCAGTGAATGTGTCAGTTTAGAATCTGCAGAGTTGACAGGCTTCCAATTAGTAAAGTTAACTATGCATTCTTCATAGTTTTATAAGTTCACATTATCTGTTCCTAAAAACTAGCAGAAGTTTTATATTTTTGCTCTACGTTCTGTAAGTGCTCCTTGAAATTCAGCTACTGCAGATTTCTGTGAGGTGCTTCATTTCTTTGTAGCATGTATGTTTTGGGACTTGACCTTACCTGCTCTTAGAAATGAGTGCTTTAATACTGTCGGAAGACTAGCAACTCAAAGAATGTGTCTCTGGATGTACAAAGTATGTGTTCCTATACTCTGCCCTCAATTCACGTTTCTGTGAATTGTTTCTTTATCAATGTTACTGCGATATTCTCAAATTAGGCAGAAGAAATGAAAAATGTCAGCAGTAATTCCTACTGTTCCTTCTCTTTATAGAGAAAGTGGCATGGAAACGAGCAGTACGTGGCGTGAGGGAAATGTGTGATGTATGTGAGACAACACTCTTCAACATCCATTGGGTTTGTCGCAAATGTGGTTTTGGGGTCTGCTTGGACTGTTACCGGCTGAGGAAGAGCCGTCCACGTAGTGGTAGGTGCTGGGCTTTTTTTCCCCCCACTGTAGTCTTTAAACTGGCTGGCTTTCAGTGGGGATAGTTTCTGGGAAGTTGCTGGAGGTCTTGTGGCAGAGTAAGTGAGTGACTTTGGTGCTGCTGTTCCATTCTTTAGATACTTGTGTTTTATCTGTTTGATTAGAATTTGGTTATTAAAATAACAACATCAGCAGGCATAGTCTGTCTGCTGAGGCTACCGTATAGTTCTGACTTTTCCTCAGAGAGTATAAAGGAAAAAATTAAGTAATACCTTAACAGATTGGAACCATTGCAAGATGAAGTAGTAAGCAAACATTGCAGAGAATTCCTTTCTATAGCAAGGAGTTAGAAAGTTTTTTTTGATTCCTTGGTGCACTAGGGTTTATAATTCAGGAAAAAGCTCAGTAAGTTCAATTTCTAACAAAGATAGGTGCACTGTTTACAAAAGTGAGTACCTGGTTGTTTTTTTTTGTGGGGGTGTTTTGTTTTGGTTTGTTTTTTTTTATTGTATTGAGACTGCTTTGGTAGCATGCACACTGGCAATGGGCAGTCAAGTGTAAGGCTATTAGTGACAGTTACTTTATTATATGGAGCAGATGTACAAAATATTGGATGTTAATAAGCGTGAGTACTGCTGTCTATTCATTATGATAAAGGTGCCAGAGACCATTAAATGAATTATGAAGTCACCTGTTTTTAAATCGCTGTTGTGGGTTAACCCCAGCAGGCAGCTGAGCACCATGGAGCCACTTGCTCACTCCCATAGCACTGGGACTGGGAAAGAGGAAAGGAAGAATAAAAGCAGGAAACTTGTGGGTCAAGATAAAAATTTTTTAATAAGCAAAGGAGGAATAGAAAAAGAAAACAAAACAAAGGAAGCGATGCAAAGGCAATCACTCACCACATCCCAGGGGCAGGCCATTTCCCAGCAGTTTCCCAAGCAAAACATGGCTAGCCCCCTCAAACTCTGCCTCCGCTCTTTGTTGCCGAGTGTGACTTGTATGGCATGGAACATCCCTTTGCTGAGTTTGGATCCCCTGCCTGGTGGTGTTCCATTCCAACCTGTTGTGCATCCTCAATTTGTTTGCTGCTGGGGTGGGGCAGGGGAAGTGGGTAGAGAGAGAAGGAGAAGACCTGGACACTGCAAAGGCTGTTCAGCAATAGCTACAACATTAGGGTGTTATCAGCATGGTTTTGATCATAAGTCTAAAACAGCACTGCAAGAGCTGCTATGAATAAAATTAACTCCATCCCAGCCAGACCCAGTATAATAATGAAGTCTATGAAATTATTGCCAGAATATACCAGAAAAGAGCATAACAGTCTTATTATGTGGTTAACCAGGGTACAGTGGATATAGCTGAAAGTCAGTAGAATAGGGTTTCTTGTGTTGTAATTATGTTTTATTAATCAAGTCTGAAATTTTAGAATGGACCAAAATGTAGAGCCAAGGCATTACTTAAATACAATTGCATGCTTTGAGGCTTCTGAACATTGAACTGTAGAAACAACCTACACAGACACCAAGTCTAAAGGACCCTGAAATGAAGTTTTGTGATCCTTCTCATATTCTCACACTCATCCTTCCACCTCGCCTTCTTTTTAAAGGAAGAGAATGGCATGCATTTTATGCAGCTACGTATTTGTAAACCAGACTTGGTGTAAAATCTGAAGAATTATAAATCTGTCAGGCTACTTTTCAAACTACTGATTTTCTACTTTCTAGCTTTGTAAGTAAATAGGCTGACGAGAGCTTAGTTTTCTCTTCCTGGAATAGATCTTCAGATACTTTCTTTGTTGAAAAAGCTTGAGAGATGATGACAAGAAAAGATAGAATTACTCTGTACCTTAGGAAAGTATAATGAGAGCAAAAGTATGATATTTAAAAATTGAGGCTGGAAGTCAAGGTTTTTAGCTGACTGAAATAAGCAACTAGAGATGAAGAAAAAATGACTGTGGTAGTTTTATAATCCGAAGAGGCAAAGAAGTTGCTGTAGATCCTGGTTTCATGGCCTGTATTTTATAGTTTATTTCTGAGATAAACAGGTTAATCTCTGCACTGTACAGAATAAAAATAAAAATAAAAAAAAACAAAAAACAAAAAAAGGGAACAAACCCCAATATTGATGCAGAAATACTCTGGTAAATTTTTAGTGAATTCTGTACAAAATTTTACTTTTTTTATGTGTCTTTATTCTAGAGACAGAGGAGATTGGTGACGAGGAAGTCTTTGCGTGGCTGAAATGTGCAAAGGGTCAGTCTCATGAACCAGAGAATCTTATGCCTACACAGATCATTCCTGGTACAGGTAATGCTTGAAACCTGAAAGAAAAAAATTCCAAATCTTGTCTCAAGCAAAAGTGGAAAAACTACTAAGATGGTTGGTGTTGAGGCTGATACCTTTCCTACCATGGGTTCAGAGGAGTCTTCCACTTGTGACAGTGGAAGGATTGAAGGGACGATAAATTAAGTCAGATCAAGCTGTGAATTTAAAGTGAACACCCTGCTGATGCTGGCTGTGACTTCTTGTGCTCAGCTGGTTTTAATTTTATCAGAAAATTTGGTTAACTTGCAAGAATTTTTATTTTTTATTCGGGGAGAGAAGTAAATTGTCAGTGCTGACCATTTACTTGACAGTTTGCATAACTGGTCCTGAAAATTATCGAATCACAGACTGGTTTTGATTGGAAGGGACCTTAAACTTCATTCAGTTCCAGCCCCCTGCCATGGGCAGTGACATCTTCCACTAGAGCAGCTTGTTCCCAGCCCTGTCCAACCAGGCCATGATGGGGCAGCCACAGCTTCTGTGGGCACCTTCCTCTGGCCAGTGCCTCACCACCCTCATTGTAAAAAAAAAAAAAAAAAAAAAAAAAAAAATAATAATATGGAAAAAATCTTCCTTGTGACCACTCTAAACCTACTCTTGGTTTAAGACCACTGCCTCTTTCTGTCACTACAGGTCCTGGTAAAAAGTGTCTCTCTGTCTCTTTTATGATCCCCCTTTACATACTGAAAGACCACAGTATGATCTCCAGGTCAAACCACGCCAGCTGTCTCAGCTTTTCTTGACAGGAGAGGTGCTCCAGCCCTCTCGTAATTTCTGTAGATCTGCTCTAGACCTGCTTGAACAGGTCCATGTCTGTCTTGTACTTGGCATCCTGAGCTGGACAAATGTAGGACTGCAGGTGGGATGGGGTGAAGTGGGATAGACTAGAGAGGAAAAATCGCTTCCCTTGACCTTCTGGCCATGCTTCTTTTGATGCAGCCTAGGGAACAACACTGCTTTCTGGGCTGTAAGCACACACTGCCAGCTCCCATCCAACTTCTTACCCACCAGTACCCCCAGGTCTGCAGGGCTGGTCTCAATCCATTCATCCCCCCAGTCTATATTGATACTGAGGATTGTCCCAACCCAGGTGTGGGACCTGGCCTAGCTGAGACTATAGTCTCTGGTTCAAAGTTGCCTCATTGCTCTTATCATTGGACCCTCTATAGAATAATAGGAGCAGATGATAATCTGTAGGATTTGCCAGGCTTGACAGCCTCTCAGTGACATTGCTAAGCTGGTGTTAGCACAGTTATACAGGCTATCCAGAGACAAGTGTCTTGTTGTAGCATGTGATCTTAAAGATACTTAGCAGTAATACTGGGGAAAGAAAAAACCCCAAACCATTCATCTGAATATATCTTATAGTTAAGGCCTTGGTTTTAGATTTCTGTACATGTGATACTGAAGACTTTTAACTTTATTCCCAGCACTTTACAATATTGGAGACATGGTTCATGCAGCGCGAGGCAAATGGGGTATTAAAGCCAATTGTCCATGTATTAACCGGCAGAACAAATCCGTGTTGAGACCGGCTGTCACTAATGGAATATCACAGGTATGTAATATGAGCCTGAAATGCCTTGTTTGACATTTACATTTTTAAGATGTATTAAAATGTTAGATCCTTTAGAATAATCCATTGTGAAACACAAACTTTTAATTTCTCCATACGTGTTCTGAGTGGTTTAGCTTAGCAAAAATCTTCTGGGGTATTTTTTGGAGATGTGTGCTGCAACATTATTTATCAAGTGGATATTTGGGCTAATGCTCTTATGTAGAAGTTGGGTAAGAAGCCATTCATGTTAATGCTGTATCTTAAACCAAACCACTAAGTAGCTTGCAATGTATGCATTTATTTTGTTATGGTTCCTGAATTTTGAATTTTGTGCTGAATCTCCAGCAGTTCTGTTACTGTTCACACCAGAAGTTATCCTATAAAAAAAGAAATCAGAAAGCCCAGTCTTACGTTAAAAGATAACTGAAAGATGGCATGGTAAGAATTCATGCAACAAGGTCTAATGTACTTGGAGAAGAAGCTCCTGTACTCTGATGCAGTGTAAGCATAAACGAATTCTACTGTGTGCTTAAAGCAAATGATCAAATAAAATCAACAAACAAAATCCACTGCATTAGATGACTAAAATATCTCCCAAGTTGAACTACTCCCTTTATTCAACATTTAGCAGTTGTTTATATCTTTGTTTTAGCTTCCGACTGTAAATCCTAGTGCATCAGTCTCTGGAAATGAGAACACCTTTTCCACTGGAGCAGGGACAACAGGAGTGGGGCAACTAGAAACTGACACCGTTCCAAAATCTGAAGCAACTGATAATAGGATAGAAGAATCTGCAAAAGCAGAGACATTACCAAACAGTAACACTGGTGAAATAAAGACTAACAGACCGCTTTGTCCAGAAACAGCTCCATCGTCAGCCTTACACTGGCTTGCTGATCTAGCAACGCAAAAAGCAAAAGAAGAAACAAAAGGTGAGCAGAAGACATACCCTCTGGTGTTGGAATTAGAAGATACTGTTCGGTTGCTATTGTTTGTGAGAGTGCTTAGCCCTAAATAGAAAAGAACAAGATGATATTTTTCTCCCTTTGCCTCTTAGAACCAGTTTCTTTTACAGGTTTAGGAGTACTCAAAGCTGGAAAGAAGATGATACAGCTGAAGATAAACATACTGTCTTGTCACTCCTGGTTTATTTCAGTGCCAGTTTTTGTATTTATTTTCTAAGTAATAAGCAGCTGGTATGTGATGTAATCAATTTCAGATGCAACTTTGTCGCTTCATTGAAGTAAAGTTGTTTTGTGTGCTGTGTGAAGAGTGCATTTCCAAAGAATTAAGAGTCCAATTGGAGGCTCAGAATGAAAGCTTAGATTTTTTTTTTTTTTTTTTAATACTCGGTAGTTTCAGTGTGATTCTCAGTATGAAATAAGTGTTTACAAAATACACCTCCCAGTTGTCAAGCGGTAGCACAACTAACACAGGATTTATTCCTGTCCATGTGTCTAGCAGGAACTACTTTATATGTCAGTATTAAATGTTCATGACTCTCTCTCTAGTTTTTTAGGGCTTAGTCACTAATAATTTTGACCACAGTTAAAATATTTCATATTTCATATTGAAACATTAGTTCAGAAAGTCAAGGAAATGTTTATTTGATTGAGTCTATTACCGAGTTGTGGTTTGTTGTGTATCAGAGGCACTCGCATCCACTGTGCTATTCAAAACATGAACAGCACATGAAGGGTAAAATTTATCTGAAGTATATGATGACTGTGAATCATTTTGAGATGCCTCATTCACTGTTACAATGATAATTTACCTTTTCCGCAAGTTTCTATCAATACCCTATTTAATGCAAGAGCAAATAACTCCAGAGAACTTTTTAGTCATTTGAACTTTGACCTTTTTTTTGCTGATGTTGCTATTTACCTTGCAGAATCAGGATCACTGAGGTCAGTGCTTAACAAAGAATCCCATTCACCCTTTGGATTGGATTCCTTCAACTCCACTACAAAGGCTTCCCCACTAACTCCAAAGCTGTTTAATAGCCTCTTGTTGGGCCCTGTGACATCTAGCAATAAAGCCGAAGGCTCCAGCCTCAGAGATCTGCTGCACACAGGGCCAGGAAAGCTTCCTCAGGTCCCATTAGACACAGGAGTCCCCTTTCCTCCAGTCTTTTCTGCAGCTTCTACGGCAAGTAATTTTGTATTCCTTTGATATCTGTTCTGTGGAAGATTTCGTGATGATCTAAATGTTTTTATAGTATCTTATTTTTAAATGTTAAAACAATGCAATGTCTCACCAAACTGACCACCCTACAAAGACACAGCAAATTTTGATGCGAATTGTTAGTGGTTTGGTTTACTACTGCTGTGGAGAAGCTATTCCTTGCAAGAGACCAAAAAAGTGAGTTATATGTAGTCTTTAAATTGTTTAACTGATAATCAGCATCCCTATAAAAGCTCGCTTTAAATTCCACATCTTTAAAAATGTTGCAAGAGCATGCCACAGAAAAAGACAAAAATCTGTGAGCAAACCAGTTTGGTAAAAACACTTGTATGTACTTGAAAGGCATTTAAGATAGAAATCAAATTTAAAGTGTAGTTGCTATTTCTGGGTTCTTATCCTGGGTACTTTGATTATCTTTAGTCTATTCTGGAGGAAATAACCTTAAAAAAGCCCTGAACAAATCAATGATTATTGAAATCCATCCCTGGCAGTGTTCAAGACCAGGTCGGACGAGGCCTTGGGTGATACGATTTAGCGTAAGGTGTCCCTGCCCGCGGCAGGGGGTTTGGAACTAGATGATCTTAAGGTCCTTTCCAACCCTAACGATTCTATGATTCGAAATGGGTAAAAGAATTTTGTTTGAGAAGAATAGATTCTGTGGAATTTATCAAGGCGTAGCTCTTCCTGGAGAATACTTTCCACAAGCACTTCAACAGGCAGAAAGAGGAAAATGATGAAATGGCTTGTCTCATAGCAGAGTTTTTGGTTGTTTTTTTTCCTCTGTGTCAGACTGGAAGGATGGAACCTTAATAACAGTTCAGAGAATCCTGGAATCCCAGGTTGGAAGGGACCTCGAGGATTATCTGGTCCAACCTTCCTTGGCAAAGCAGGACTTAGACTAGAAGTCCTAGCCTTCTGTCCAGCTGAATCTTAACAGTGCCCAGTGTTGGAGAGTCCACCAATTCCTGGGGAGATTGTTCTGGTGGCTGATAGTTCTCATTGTGAAAAATGTTCTTGTGTCCAGTCAGAATCTCCCCAGGAGTAACTTCTTCGCTCATCACGCCTCATCTTTCCCATGTGAATACTAAAGAAGGAGTGCCTGTCTTCTTTGTAGCCACCCTTTAAATACTGAAATGTGTTCCTGTTGTTTGATTTTGGTAGAGGGAACTGTACAGGAAAATACGTGACTGCTAAAGGAAAGTGAATCCAATACCACTTCCACCCCTTCTCATCACTGAGTTCAGGCAAAGAAATTGTGATCACTTGTTTAATAGCAAGTTACTCCTTCAAGGCTTGAAGGGCCTGTCTCAACTTGTATCCTTGTCCCACCAACTCCATGTGTTCTCTTACCACACTGAACCAGATCTGTTGTGTAACATCTCTTTTCACTTTCTTGACTTCTGGTCTTCACAGACTAATTTAGATTTGAAAGAACTTGAGGGTAATTCTGGTGCAGCCCCCTGCTTGAATGCCTAGATGCTTTATGTAGAATGAACATAACATACCTGAGAAGCAACAGTTGTGTTGGTCAAATTGAGAGGAATAGTAGATGGCTGCTTATGAAAAGTATCATCTTGATGTTTCTGGAGCACTGACATTCTGCTGTGAAGAGTAGTTAGCGTTGACTGTAATTATTAAACTGGATATTATCTATGGCCTCCATAGAATCAGTATAGAGGTACATTTTTAAGACCATTGTAAGCAGATGATTTTATGATCTAGTCTTACTTGGAAACAGCTAAAACCCCAAGCAGCAGTACAGGCTGGGGTCTAACTGGCAGGAATGTAGCCCTTTTGAGATGAGCCTAGAGGACAGCAAGCTGAACATGAGCCAACATTCTGTCTGTGGGCAATGCCTGTGAAGGCAAATGGTCCTGGGCTGCATACAGCTGGAGCACATCAAGGAATGTGATTATTCCACTTGACACTTGTTAGGCCACACGTGGGACACTGTTTCCAGTTTTGCTTTCCCCAGTTGAAGAATGACACTGAAAAAAATGGAAGGGGTCCAGTGGAGGGCCATGAAGAATGTTTACAACATTGCAGAGCTACACATGAAGAAAAGTTGAAGAAACTGATTTTCTTCATCTTAGAGAAAAGAATGCTTTGGGGTTCTGATTGATCTTCTATCTAAAACGTAGTTGTAGAGATCATGGAGGTACTCCTTTCACAAGGATGTGTGGTAACAAGGCAAGAGGCTGTAGACACAGGTTGTTTCAGGGGAAATTCTATCCAGATATAAGAAAAAAATTCTCACTTTACATTCAAATATTGGAATAGACTACCCAGAGAAGTGACGTAATCTCCTTCTTTGAGATGTTAGGTTTGGGTTCACCCAGGTAACTTAACCTGATGTCAGCAGACAGTTACACCAAATGATCTGTGTGTCTTCCTTCTGGCCTGGAATGAATATCTTCAGTTATGAATAGTGTTATGTTTAAATTCATAGCTCTGCATATGGTTAATTTTCTGCCTATTGATCTTTATTTTTAAAGAAGATGGCAAAATTGTTCCAGTATTAGTTCTTCACTATTTCCGTTCACTCAGCTTCCAGCCCCTGTTGTTTTTGTGTTTTTTTTTTTTTATGTGTGGGTTTGGTTTGGGGTGTGGGGGTTTGTTTCGTTTGGGTTTTTGGGTGTGGTTTTTTTGGTGTTATTTTGTTCATTTGTTTTTGTTGGTTTGTTTGGTTTTTTTGAGGGGTGTTTGTTTTTTTTGGCTAAAGTAAGAAGCTCTTTGCTGCCAGAAATCTATCACACCCTTACCCCTCCCATAGATGTCTTGTGAATAATGATCATGTTAGTGTTTATCTTCTGTTCAATATATGAAGTGTATTTAGTGTCTTAAGTATCTTGCTATAAGGCATGAGTCTTCTACTTTTTTTTTAAGTTAAGAACACGATTTAAGATTGTGTCATTAACCTCTTCTGAATTTTAAACGTCCCTTGAGGAGTTTTAAGTGTCCTTTGAGGAGCATGTATGCCAGAATAAGAGAGGCTGTCTACTAATGTTTCTGTTAACATTGCACATAGAGGAAGCACTTTCTCCTCTCTGTCAGTGGTTATTTAATGTTTGCATATGCAGCAACTTATCTGTGCCAGAGTTGAATTCACTTTCTTAGAACTTAAGTTTTCAATTCCATGATTGTTCCCTTAATATTTTTTCTAAGCACCCTGTAGCAGGTTGTTTTAAGTTTTACTGTTACAAAGTAGGGCCATAGCTGTTTCAGTTCTTACATGCCTATCTCCGAGCTGATTTGATTACTGTTAGATGTTTTTTTGATAGCAAGATGTCCATGACTAAAATCTGAATGACAGCAGATATGTGTCAGCATGCAATACTGTTTTAAGACTAAACTTACCTCTCAATTTACACCTTCTAGGGGGCCAAAGGTAAAGCCAGCCTGCCTAACTTCTTAGACCATATCATTGCTTCTGTGGTGGAAAATAAGAAGACATCTGATGCTGCAAAACGAGCTAGTAATTTAGCTGACACACAGAGAGAGGTGAAGGAAATGGTAATGGGCTTAAATGTGCTGGATCCACACACTTCCCACTCTTGGCTGTGTGATGGTAGACTCCTTTGCCTTCATGATCCTAGCAACAAAAACAACTGGAAGATCTTCAGGGAGTGCTGGAAACAAGGCCAGGTGGGTGATGGCATCCAACTCTTACTGCTTATAAATACCCTGTTATAAATTTTAACCTGTACCTTGGTTATTGACAACTCCATTCAAACTTTGGCTACTTGCTCTTGAGTGAATATGATGAAGATTTTGACTGCAGCACTGTAAACAGGAGTCAGCAGCCCTGTCCACTCCATGCTTTACTGACTCGAGCCCGTGTGCTCTTGCCCAGTGAGTTTTTCTCAGCTTGCCAGTATGAGGGTGTTTACTGTGACAGCCTTTTTGTTTCTGATATGGCTTGTGCTGAACCTGCTCTATTACAGCCCAGTAGCAAATCCACTATGCTTTCCTGTATGATCCTAGTATCTACCCCATACTTGATGCTTTATAGCCTGAGGGGAAGGTACAGCTTCCAGCTGCAGCATGTACAAGAATAAAAGTGCTATATGTAGTAATTTCTGCGAAATTTTGAGTGTGCTTGATGCCGTTTCTCATCCTGAGCCTACAGTGTGTGTGAACCCAAGTATTATTTTGAACTCAGCATTTCATGTATTGAGCACTCCTCTGGATTGTCTGAGGAGTCATCAGCTGGTTAGGCTTTCGGTCAAGAGACTGGACCTTAGACCTTCTGCCAGCATCATCACTTTTTCAGATTTCAGTATGTAGTGCTACAGTTTAGGTTTCTCCTGAAAGGTCTGGTCAGACAAGCTGAATCTCAGCCATATCTCTAATAGAATATGATGTCCATTCAGTCAAACTCTGTTCTTGGCACTTGCTTCTGTGGCTACCTCTGATGCCATTACCTTCACTAAATTGAGATCGTTGGTGCTAAACAGTTAACATCCTATTTGCTGGAGCAAGTTCTTTGTTGGCTCTTCTGTTGTTATGCTAATGTTCTTGGTGATCACATGTAGTTATTTGTGGTTGTGGACTGCTGAGCTGTGGTGGAAGAACTGATCAGGCTGCATGGTTCTGTTTTGGCACTCAGTCCATTCCTGCCAGAAGCAAATTACTTCTCAATTAAGTTTAGCATGTCCTGTGGAACTGTGTGTTCTTTGGGTCCCCTGGGCACAAGCATAAGTAGCATGTAGCCATAAGAACTGCAGAAAGGACCATGGCACCATCAACCACAGAATTAATGGTTTCTTTATCTGACTGCCCTAGCCAGCTCCTAATAGGTGGAAGAGGCTACTGTGCAGCACACCCTTGATTCTCAACACTAAGTTGAAAAACTTAGCTCAGTGCTGGCATTGCTGTTTTCCCCTGATGCAGTGGTGACATAAGATTTTTGCAGTGCATAAAGGTCTCTTCTCTTCTTTTTTTTATTCTTTTTTTTTTATTTTTTTTCCCCCTCTCTCCTGGCTTCCCCTTCCACCCCTTCTTTTTAAAAAAAGCCAGTTGCATATTTTTGGTTTATAAAGGATTTCAAGTCATTCTTTTGTGGTGCGGTCGTGTAAGTCATCTGCCTGACTTAGCAAAGAGCTCCTTAGTTTCTTTTCAGCATACTCTGATAATTTTCTCTACCTTCTCTATCGGCAAATAGTCATGTCTCTGAGGAGGATCCTAAATCTCTTGGTCATACTTAAAAATGACATGCTTATCTGTTTCTCTGCAGATGAGGCTGGTTAATCACTGTGTGCAAGTTGCTGCACATGGGTTTGGGGTTCTTGTCCATTAAAGAATCCTGAGAGGCTACTTGTGGAGTCCAGAGATGAGATTACCAATCTACTGTCAGATGTGTAGCTTGCAGTGTGCATTGCCTTCCAAGTTGTTGCACACTTGGAGTCTCTGGCTACAACTGTCATGCTCATGTACTGTTTTGGCCCTCTATTTTAGGCTTCACCCCAAGATATGCTATTGATGCTTTTGGATGACATTATCATTCAGAGGACCCCTTGTATAGGAGCAGACTATTTTCTCCCTGTAGTCTGAGAGCAGATATGGCAAGAAATGTCTGCCAACCAAGTCTTGCAACCTTAGCTGTGTTCTCACTTAGAGAGAACACTTTCTTCCATGAGAAATTCTCTGCTTAATAGCTGGAAGGGTCCTACTAGGTTAAGTAGTTTGGGTTTTGTTGTTGTTTTTTTTTTCCCTTATGTTCAATGGGTTGAGTAAATACAGCAGGGATCAAAATTTGTCATTATTTTCTTGGACTGAAGAATAATTTATCTGTTAGCCTTAATGTCTACCTGGCAGCAGTTTCTGTCCCTCCTGTGAAAGGTACTGTTATTTTATTCCTCATCCATAATCCTAGGTTTTTGTAGAATATGATTAAAACCTTTCCATTGCCTGAATGTTACAGTTCCTGCTGGGATCAAGGAATATATTTAAACTTGGGATCAGTGTGTCTTGCTTTGTGATATTGGGGAGGTTTGCTGCTTCTCAGGGCCTTACCATGGGACATAGTGGAAAGACTGCCAAAGCTTGTCTGTCCCTCAGATGTTTATCCTCTGCTGCTGTTCCATATTGGCATGAACGATAGTACCAGACCAGTACCTGAATAGTATCCAGAATGACTGTATGGCTCTGGGAGAAATGGTCATGGAGCCCAGGTGGTTTTCTTAATCCTGGCAGTGAGTAGGTAGAAGGGGTTGGCCAGTCCTGCATGCCAACCATTGTTTGTGCACATAGTTTCAACAACAGGGATTTTTGGAACCTCTCTGGGGGTTGAGGCCTGCATGGAGGAGATGGGTATTTTAGCTAACAGGCTGTCCAGCATGATTAGGAGAGCTGTAAGTCAGGAACAATAACGGAGAGAGAGTATGACCAGTGATTGAGACAGTAATTAGTTGATTGGGTTGACAAGCAAGCAGCGTGAATGTGAGATATCTCATACTCAAGAAAACAGGGATGAAAGATCTCCACCTCAAGCATATGCACAATAAGTAAGGAACTGTGTACATCACAGCATTATGAGGAAAGGTCTTTTCATGTTTCTTGGAAATCAGCATGACTAGGTGTCTTTCTGAAGTGCCTGCACACTAATGCATGCAATACAAGGAACAAACAGGAGGAATTAGTGTACATTTGCACAGCCATGGTCTTGCCAATATGATTGAGAAGTGGGGTGGCTTGTGCAACTGTAGTCTGGCAAGAGATACATAGAGGTTTTTCAAGAAAGATGGTTCAGGTATGACAGGCTGGGACAATGAGGAGGAAGCACTGCTGTTTATGTGAGAGAGCAGATGGAATGCATGAAGCTGTAGGAGCAGATGTAGGAGGTGGCCATGAGCTAAGAACAAGAAGGGCAGCAGTATTAGGAAGAACATTGTCACTATGTCAGGGGAAGTGATCCTTCCTCCCCTGCCTACTTGATACTGTGGGATGCCACACCTGGAGTAATGTGTCCAGTTCTGTCTAAGAAAGACAAGGACTTAATGGAGAAAGTCCAGTGAAGGGCCACAAAGATGATTAAGGGACTGGAGCATCTTTCATATGAAGAGAGGCTGGGAGAATGTTCAACCTGGAGAAGAGAAGTCTCAGGAGAGTGTGGGGAGGAAATCATATCAATGCGTATAAATACCTGATGAGAGGAAATGAGAAAGAGGGAGCAGTGCCGACTGACACTTGCATGACATGTCTTGCATTCCAGCTGCTCCCTCACATAAATGGCAGTGCTCCCTCCTCGCCTTCCTCGCCTGTCATACCTGAACTATCATTCCTGAACAGCCTGTACATATCCCTTGCCAGACTACAAGAGGCAACTGGCACAAACTAAAACCTGGGAAGTTCAACATAAACACAAAGAAAACACTAGTGTGTGGGTGTTCTCTTCCAACTTAAATGTTTCTGTGGTTCTGTGGAAGCTTTCTGCCTTTTTTTACCTGAAATTGACAGGACTACAGTAACAACCCCTTCTTGTCCTCTTAAATCTCACTCTTCTGGAGGTGAGCTTTCATTGCTGCCTTTTAGAATTTAAGGGCTATGTTGTGTTGCATTTGAAAACCAAGGCTATTTCTGTTATCCCCAAAGTTGCGGGTTTTCCTCCATTCATTTTTGAATGAGTAGTTTGTCCTCGCTTAGAGACTAAAATGGGTAGTAGTCCTGTTAAAGGCCATTGGGCAATGCAGATGAAGCAGTGGATAGTTACTGCAGTGTTTTTAAACAACACAACTTTCAAGTTGTTCATCTATAGCTCTGTAGGTAATCTTTGCCTAATTTGCTGATACTACTAGAATGTCTAGGGGCATCTGTGCTCACGGTTGTACTGAGCTATTCATATAAATGAAGCCAAGATACACCTTCAGGTCATTGTTAATGTATAGGGCACAGCTTGCATTAATATTTGAACATAAGTAGCAGTTCCTAACCTTAGAATTCTTTACATGGCATAGTCCATGTGCGAGTTCATACTCTTCCTTTTCTCTCAAGTCTTGTAACTCTAGAGATTACAGGGTGACAGGAACTGACCAAGGTCTTGGCAAGTGTTGGGAAGATTGTCTGGTATACCTTTTCATAGTATTGTTAGTTTAGCAAATGCCTTGAGCATTAGGGGGGAGAGGCCACTCAAATCGTGGTGTGTAATATAGATATACTTGGTTAGCCTAAACATCTTAAAATGCTGTTTGCTGAGTAAACAGCCACTTTTTTGCTACTTGGCTTTGTCCTAGGGAATTAATGATGATCCATGATTATACATAAAGAAAGAGTGAAATTGTTTAAAAAAGTCCTATCAGAGTAAGAAAATTTCACATGAGAAGGCTTTTCTACAAATGCTGTTTCTAGTGGTAGTTGCATTTGTGCATAAAAAGGAGAGGTAGCAGGACTCGACACCCAGTGTACTTACACAGGTGGATTGTGCTGGCTGCTAGATCCCTGCCCAGCTGCTCTCTCTCTTTTCCCTTCTCAACAGGACAGGGGGAGAAAATGAGGTGGAAACATTTGTGTGTTGAGATGAGGACAGGGGGATCACTTAGTGATTGCTGTCACAGGCAAAACAGATTCAACTTGTGAGAAAATAATTTAATTTATTGCCAATTTAAAATACAGTAGGATGGTGGGGAGCAAAGACAAAGCTAAAAGTGCCCTACCCCAGCCACATCTCCTTCTTCTTTCATCCCTGACTCTTCTACCCACTCTCCCCCTCAGAGCGGCACTGGGAGGATGAACAGTAATGGGCTTGTGATCACTTCACCTCTGCTGCTCCTTCCTCCTCATACTTTTACCCTGCTACAGTGTGGAGTCCTTCCATCATCCTTCATGAACTGCTCAAGCATCGATCCTCTCTATGGGCTGCAATCTTTCAGGAGCAGACTGTTCCAGTGTGGGTCCCTAATGGGCCCCAGTTTCTGCCAGAAAACTTGCTCCTGCATGGGCTTCTCTCTTAAGGGCTGCAGCTCCTACCAGAAGCCTGCTCCAGTGTGGGCTGTCCGTGGGCAGCAGCTTGTTTGGGGGCATCTCCTTCTGCTGCAGTGTGGGGTCCTCCATGGGCTGCAGTGGATATCTGCTCCACCAGGATCCTCCACAGGCTGCAGTGGGGCAGCCTGCTTTCCCAATGGTCTCCTCCACAGGCTGCCCCTTCCTCTCCTCCTTCAGTGACCTGGGTGTCTGCAGGGTTGTTTCAGTTCCTTCCCCCAGTAGCTGCAGAGCATTTTTTACCCTTTCCTATTATCACAGCAGTGCTATCAGTGTCAGTTATGGGCTGAGCTTTGGCCAGCAATGGGGCTGTTGGAGCCAGGTGAAACCATCTATGTCCAGCCATGAGGAGCTCCCAGCCTCATCTCACAAAGCCCACTTCTGCTGCCAGCACCTTGCTGTGTAGACCCAATACGCTTGCCTTAAAGCTTGTAAGTCTAATACAGTACCCCTTCTAAGGCAACTGCACATGGCCTAGAGCTGCAGTTTGCTTTGACTCTGGTTATTTGTTTGTTGCACAAAATCCAAATATAGATGGAAATAGATTTCTGGCGTCTTCTGTATGATGGTAGCCAGGAGTCTCAGGTCTTAAAGTTTGGCTGCATGTGTAAGAAATTTGGTTATGGTGGAGTAAGCATTCATCTTTGTATTCTCAGCCCGTGCTGGTATCTGGTGTCCATAAGAAGTTGAAGTCAGAGCTTTGGAAACCAGAAGCTTTCAGCCTGGAATTTGGAGATCAAGATGTAGATTTGGTGAACTGCAGGAACTGTGCCATAATTTCAGACGTGAAAGTGCGTGACTTCTGGGATGGCTTTGAGATAATACCTAGTAAGTAATACCTATGACTGACTAGTTTAACTGAGTAGTCTGTCTTACTACCAGCTTCTTTTCCACTCCTCCTTTTCCACCTATTTTCTTAAAAAATAAAAAATAACAACAAAATCCAAATATCTGTTAGTGTCATCCAAAGAAGCAATTGCTCCTTAGGTGTAGCACGCTCTAGATGATACTTTATTGGTGAAGATTAGGGCAGGGCTGCCCAAGAAAACTACTTCTCTACTATAGTGTGTTGATGTTTGGTACTTTCATGTGTCTAAAGATGATCAACTTAATGGGAAACTACTTTTTATTTTGGTGGGTTTTTTTTGTTGTTTTTTTTTTGTTTTTTTTTCTTTTACTTTGTGAAATTAGTCACCAGGTACCATTACTTAGATAATAATTTGACTACCCTTACTCCTTCCAACCTCAACTTTTATTGTAAAACTAAAGGGAACCTGCAGACCTAAAACAGACTGAAGCTTTTGGTGCTAAAACTCAGACTTGGTGGAATTCATCAACTAAGTAAACTTGACATTGAATATTATTTTGCAGTAGATCATGTATGAGTACAAACACAAGTGTATATGTACTATAAATAGCAATGCTGTATGTGTATCTCACGTGATAACACATTACTTAATGCTTGAGCAGTTCTTCAAGAAAACCTGTCAGGTATGGATGTGGAAGCTAACCAGTTAAAATTCCTGGGGATATAACTGTTCAGATTAAAGAGGTTCTGAAAAGGAGTTCTCTATTTTAGATTGTATATACCTACATCAGAGTGGGTTTATATTTACAGATGTTAGAGTTGTAATGGTTCATTGCAATGTTGCTGATTTTAGTGTTGTGAATAAAGTGTTCTGTATTTATTGCTTGTGCACATAGCGCATAGCAGGTGACTTGAGAGAGTGTTTGTTCATAGCAAACGAAGTGATAGGTTTGTAGAACAAGAATATTCCCTTCCCTAGTAATTTTTCAATAAAGGAGCTCTCAACTTTGTGTTTTCATGTGATTCCAAGTCCAGAGTCTTACTTTTTGTACTGTTAAATTTCATACTGTTTCCATTATTGCTGAGAAATAAATGGCCTAGAAGGAGCTATCGGGCTGGTCTTTCTGTGTGTTAATGGTAATTGTGAAAATTCACAAACTCTTTACTGTTGTGCTAGGGTCATTCATGAAAATAGTAAATTTGTATGTATTTGAGAAATGTTATTTGCTGTTTGTCTCCAGACAGGTGATGCTCCTTGCAACAAAATTAGTTGCTGTGTTTCATTTAGACAATATTATTTCCATACTTCATATGAGAAGTGTTAGTGATCTAGGTTGGAAACCTGATCACTTTCGCTGGTTTCTTTTAAATACTTTTTATTTAGTGTTTTTCAGCCATGTGCAGTCCTCAGTTTTGAGGAGCATTATCTGCTACTAGTCCGGAAATTTCACAAACTTAATATATATGAAAACTTTTTCAATTATATAATGACGCTGGCTTCTCTGCATTTACATGAGTTTGAGATTTCTCAAATATGTGACTGGTTCCCATACACTCACATTAAGTTATTGAACAGGTGTAGAACAGCCACTGAATTTGGAGGTGGTATGGAGATAATCCCTTAATTATTCTATATAATATTTTAGTTTTAATCTTGTGCTGTTTACTTTCAATATCTTTGGGTTCTAAGTGGACTTCTAGCAGGTGTTTTTGTTTTGAGCCTTAGACCTGCTTTTCTTTGCTAATGAGATGTTTTCTGGACTTTGATTTTGTGTGATTTGTCAGATCCGTTTGTTTTCTTCCATGTAGCTTTTTACTCTGTCCTTTCTGAATAACCTTCCTTCAAGTTTCTTCTCCATGTTTGGAACAAAGATCCTTAATGAGGTCAAAATCTTGACTACAGGAAGTTCTGAAACAGCTTTAAATTCAAGTCTAAATTCTATCTAAAATCCATAGCTCATCAAAATTTGTTTTGTTTAAATCAGTCAATTTGGTTTGCATATCTGCAGTTCTTAATTCCTTTTAAGTTCAATAAAATAATATATTGCAGACTAAGGCTGTCTTTTGTAGCCTGTTGATGTATAACACAGATGTGGGTCACAGGTCTCCAAGTCCTAGTTTCTTAGATATGCTTTCTCTTTTTGTGCTGTGAGCAGCTCTGCTAGGTCTAGGTAAGATCAGTTGCTTTTTGTTTGGCTGACAATCCTTGGTAAAGTAGTAATTAATGAAAGATATTACTTTCTGGGGAAGGGGGGATTGAAGGTGTCAGACTGCAGTCAGTACACCCCATTTTCCAACTGATGGCTTCATGTAGAGTTGTGAAGAATGTGGTAAAGAGTGAACTTTGTTTCTCTCAGAATGTTATGCTGAACTTTCTAGGCTGTTCCACGTACCAATTCCACATACACTCTCTTAGCCATTACTAACATCTGAGGCAAACCAGCAGTTGATGTGCTCAGTGCTGTCGTATCGTACATCCACTGTTGCATATGTAATCTCATCTTTCTGTGCTACTAGCTTTCTCTGTGACCAGTCAGGACTCACGTTCTACTCTTGAAGTGAAGAATAAATGTTTGAGTGCTAATTTGCGTGCCTCCAGCAAAAAAGAATTGAAAAAACTAAAGGCTTTCTCATTAGCTGCCCACAGTGTAGCTTTTTTGAGTGTAGCGTACTGTAGTTTCTTGCTTTATACTGAGATTACGGTTGATTTCAGAGCATGAAACAGTAACTAATTTTACGGAAGTGCCACTCCTCTTGAAATGAAAGATAAAACTCCTTTAGAGTTTGGTAAAAGTGGTAAGGTAGAATGTGTTGGAAAGGCTTGTTTTCAAAGCTGAATAAAACCTATTCTAAAACTTAGAAGCTGTGCAAGATCTGTTAAATTTTTACTGTAGCTACTTATATATATATATAAAAAACGTTGTTAAACTGTTGTTCAGTTGTACTATCATAATGTTTGGAAGCCCAAAGAAAAATCAAGATTGATTTTGCTGCAATGTGAGAGGTGTTGGTACAGTAGACTTAGTGCTTAAACAAGGCAATGGGCTTGGTAAAAAGATACTACATGAAGAAATCTTAATTTGTTTCTTGCAGAACGGCTACGGTCAGAGGATGGTCAACCAATGGTACTAAAGTTAAAGGACTGGCCTCCAGGGGAGGACTTCAGAGATATGATGCCTACAAGGTAAGAAAACATTAGTATCAATACCTGCAGAGCTGCTGTAGGCAATGTAGGAGGAAAACATGCCTATGTTCTCTTTTTGCTTTCTAGGTTTGAGGACTTGATGGAAAACCTTCCCCTTCCTGAATATACCAAGAGGGATGGCAGACTTAATTTGGCTTCTAGGCTACCAAGCTACTTTGTCCGTCCTGACTTGGGTCCCAAAATGTACAATGCTTATGGTATGTGAGAATAGTTCTGTAGATGTTAATTTTTTGTGTCTCTTAGGGCATGTACAAGGCTGTGGCATTAATCAGAACTTGGTGCTTATTCTAGAGCATGCTGTCATTATTTTTTTTTAATTGGTCCTGTGATAGATTGCTGTGCTAGTCCTCTCTGTCAGATGTGCTCTTTTTTGCCTTGTGGTTTCCAATAGATGTGCATATGGTAAGTTTGTAAACTACAGGGTTTAAGGAGAAACTAATATATTTTAACATAAATTGATACACATAAGATGAAAATTAGCTGGCTTCTGGGCACTTCAGTCTGTGTGTTCACATTTCTGACCAGGGCTGTAATTTTTTTAATCCATGTCTAGCAACACAGACCACAGCATGCAAGAAAAACTCTCCCCGTGTTCAGCTACCTGAGTTGGATAGTCTTGTCTTAAGACTATAATTATATAGTAGGTAAATAGCATACAAATGGAGGAAACTTTTGTCTGAACACATACCCTGCATGTGGCTGTGAAGCATTAAACTTTCAACTGATTGTTAATGTAGCAGAGTGTAGAGGATATATTAACAATTAATATCAACTTGAATTACTTCAGTTCTGAATGTATGGTCTTTGAGGTCACAGTCAAAAGCAGGTTTTGGAGACTTTTAAAAGAAATTATTGTTAAAGTTCCAGGAGATTGATTTGGAAGAACATACTTTTGCAACTTTGGGGTAAGATAAAATTTAAAGTAGTTGCTCTTTGTATATACTGAAAAATATCAAATGATAAAGAGTTGTAGCCATCTTGCAAGGCAGTTATGTGGTAGCAAACTTACCCTAATGTAACTTCCATAGTACTCTTAAAATATTGATGAGGCAGGGTTGCAGGGTTTTGTAAGGTTTTGCATTCCAATTATTGATATATCTACACTAACAGCTCGCCTCAGCTCTTTAAAGCTTTTGCAGTTCTGAGGAAGCGTTTGTGGAGTTATTTTGGGGGTGTTTAGCAGTATGACATCACAAATAAAAGTTAAAAAAATAGGAGGTTGTGAATTTAGGCAGATTTTGCTTATTCAGTATGTAGTAACAGTGTTTGATGTTTTGGTTTATGTATTACTTGACGTGTAAGTTGAGTGAGAAGGCTGTACACCAAGTGGCTTATAATGTAATTGAAGAATATACAGGAGTGTTGCAAGGTGCAAGGTATCAGTCATGGCTAACTTGGCTGTGTTTTGCTAGTTGCTGGCAGTGGAAGGAGTAGTTGCATTTTGTTGATTTTTTTTTTTTTTTTTTTTTTTTTTTTTGCACAGAATGTAACTCTTTACTGCTTCATCCTTCTTAGATGTATAGGTCTTGGTCCAAAGAGAAAAAGTATTACACTTTGTTTACTTTCAAGTTAAAAGAAACACTTAGCTAGGTCTGTCTTCAAAAACAGTTTTTTGTATCATTTTGCTCTTAGCTGCTTTACAGAGAAAATAAAGGGTGGACCTAGACATAAAACCAGCAATTCTGTCTGTGTTGAATAAGAGTAACTTTTCTAGCGTATTATATGTATTTTGGTTGTAATTATAGCTTTGTTTTCTGAGTATGGGATGGAAAAAAGCTCTCAATAGTGAGGTAGTGTCTTTCATGTGCTTGGCATTTTCAGGCAATAAGATACAAAAATTGTGGCTGAAGCTTGGTTCTTAAAGTGGTATTCAGTTACCTAAACAAAAGGACTGTTTACAGAAATAAACAGTGAAGAACTCTTGTTCCCTTCAACAGGCTTTGTGTGTAAAGGACCCTTAAATACTGATCAATTTTTATATATAAATACATAAACTGTTTAACATAAGACCTACCACTGATGTTGTATTTGTATTTCCCAGCATACTCTGTGTGACTTACACCACTAGCAAATAATTAAGGAATGACACTTCTTTAATTATATCCTGCTGCATCTGGCAAAGCATATTTTTGACTGGGAGGTTATAAGGGTCATTACTTGTGTGAATTTGTCTGGCCTGTTTTTTCTACGCATATATTATGTTTATCCATGTTTGCATTTCAGTTGTGCTTTCTTAAAGTTCATGTTTAAACAGACTGGCTAAATTAGCTACTGTTTCTGGTTGGTTGTGGTGGGTACTGTACAGTAAGTTGAGTTCCTGTCCCCAGAAGCTTGTATTTTAAATAGGAAAGAGGTAAATACAATGGAGATCTTAAAACATAACCAGAAGTCTTCTGGTCATAATCACATTCTTATGTGTTGATACGAAGATTTTTTCTATTTTAATTTTTTTCCCCATGTTACATGCTAGAGGAGATGGTAAAGTAAAAAGAGAGAGCTATTAAAGGGTCAGATGAGAAGGTGAAAGAATTAAGCAGTAAACATTTGAAATCTTTCTTGGTTGTTTATAACCACTTGAGAGGTGTAAAATCATTCAATGTATAAAGGTACAAGCATTTGAGAGTCTGCAGCTGTTTTTCCATAGTTTCCATCTGAATTGTTAATGATGAATTGGACAGTAAGTGCTGTAAATTCAACTGATCCTATGGATTTTATAGCTGAGTATGAGAAAATAACCTGCTGGAGGTTTATACTTACAGCAGTCTAGTGACTTGCTGCATGCAGTATGATGCTAATGCCACTTAAAGCAATTGGGGTTTCTCTTGTACTTCCAAGCAAAGCAAAGTGGTGCCAAAGAATGCCTACTAACTTTGTGTTATGAAAGCTATGAGTCACTACTGCAGACTGTATAAATGACCCTCAGAGAGACAAAATGGTAAAGTACAAGTTCAGGCTTTGTTTTGCAAATGCTTTTCTCATGGCTTGGGTGAGCTACATTTGCTACTTCTGTTTCCTGCAAAATTAAAATACTAGTTATCAGTAAACTTTTTACTTAAGCCACACATGACATGAACATAACTACTTTAGGTGCCCTTTGACATTGGTTTCTGCTCTTACTGCTGTCTAAAGTTAGCATTCTAGAAAGATCTTAAAGCCAGGTTATATTTCTGTAAGAGCTTAAATAGAATTTGATTTTATTTTACACTCTATTATAGGCTTAATTACTGCAGAAGACAGACGAGTTGGTACCACAAACCTGCACTTGGATGTGTCTGATGCTGTTAATGTCATGGTATACGTTGGGATTCCCATTGGGGAAGGGACCCATGATGATGGTAATGTTTGAGGAAAGCTGTTTTCTGTCTGTTAAAAATTAGTTGTGTGTGAGAGAAAGCAGACTGTACCTTTTATCGTTTAAGTTTGTCATATCTATGATGTAGAATACAAATATACAAGGCATTTTGCTACGACTGCAGCACATATTTAAAGGTGCAGTAATGCTTCATTGGTTTCCAACTCTGGACACAGCAGAATTTTGCTAGAAATTAGGTATCTCCCTGAAGAAAGGAGGAAGACTCTTTTATTTGAATAGCTGCAGTTAGTTCAGTTTGAATTCATGACTACGCTTTTTGATTAGCTATGAATTGATACATTTCCTGAATTTTGTTAAGAAAAAGCTTGATATGCTTAGAAAGGGCACCGTATGATGCAGCAGTTGCAGTAGCATTGTGACTGGATTTAGTGGCTCAAAATATTCTTTCCTCTTCTGTATGTCAGAAATCAGAAGCTTTGTAATCATATCTCTTTAATGTGGATTCCTCTTTCAGAGGTTCTGAAAACAATTGATGAGGGAGATGCTGATGATGTAACAAAGCAGCGAATCCATGAAGGAAGAGAGAAACCCGGGGCATTGTGGCATATCTATGCTGCCAAGGATGCTGAAAAGATACGGGAGCTTCTCCGGAAGGTATGTCAATTACAGAGGAGGCTTGAGCTGACAGGATCCCTTGACTAGCTTGCTTACAACAGCTGAATAATACAAATTGCTATCAACGTCAAATGCATAGATATTCTAATGCTGTCTTTGAGGACATTAATAGTTACTACATTCCCAAGTTCTCAGCCTGGTCTAGAATCTTCATACTAATGCACATGTTGCTAGTTAAGACGCAAATGAACTTAAGGAAAGTAGTGTCCTGTCTTGAAATAGTTTGTTTGTTATGTTTTTTGGTACAGAGCTTCTTGTGAGCCAGCAATGTCAAGGTGCTCTGTCATGGTTTCCCTCCCACCCCCACCCCATATCTTGGCCCTAGGTCGGAGAAGAACAAGGCCAAGAAAACCCCCCAGATCATGACCCCATTCATGACCAAAGTTGGTACTTGGACCAGACCTTACGCAAGCGACTCTATGATGAGTATGGTGTACAGGGCTGGGCAATAGTGCAGTTCCTTGGAGACGCTGTATTCATTCCTGCAGGTGCTCCCCATCAGGTCAGTATGCCAGCTTTAGGACATTTGACAAATAGAATTTAATTTGAGGCATAGCAGACCTGTGACTTAAAAAGAACTGTTAGACAATACAGCTGACTTAGGTTCCTTTTTCTATGTATGCAGTTCTTACAGGAACTATTTTAATTGGATTTCAGTAATTATATTAGTAAAAATTCTTTAGATACCTGAGTTATGTGTGCAGTATTGTGATGGAATAAAAAAAAACCACAAGAAAACAAAGTAGGGTGAATGGTGGTAAAACATTTCTGTGTAGTGAAACTTCAGCCAAGGGAACAGAATTCCAAAAAATGTGGAGAACAGCAGAGAACTTGTTTTAGGGAACATTGGTGTATGTGGGAGAATAGGGACCATGTGAGAGATGTCATGTATTTTGTTCTGGTTTTACTATTCAACACAGTTCTGTGTGAGATCAGATAGGCTTCAGTTCTTGTTTCTGACAAGTAAATGTGGAAGAATCTAAGTGGTAGTAGGGTTTGGGATTTGGTTTGGCTTGGGGGGGGGGGCAGGGGGAGGGAAGGAGGGGTTTTTATGGTTCATTCAATCGTGATGTATCGATCATGTGATCTGGATATTTTTTTAGGTCCATAATTTGTACAGCTGCATTAAAGTGGCAGAAGATTTTGTATCTCCAGAACATGTGAAGCACTGCTTCCGTCTGACCCAGGAGTTCAGGCACCTGTCTAATACTCATACAAACCATGAGGATAAACTGCAGGTAACAATTTTATGACAGTGTCACTAAATATCTCCTGTGTTCTGCCAGCTTTGTTCCGTACTAGAAACATGTGGCTAGTGATATAAGAAAAAGTAGCAACTTTCTGTAACTTTGGAGGTTCTCATTTAATAAGTATTAAAAAAACTAATAAATGCATCAATGTCTACAGCGTTACATAAACAAAAACAAGTAAAGCTTTTGGATTTCCAGAGAACATTTCCCCCTGTTGGACTAACACATGTGTCAGCATGAACAAGTCTTTAAATGGCAGATCCTGAATGACCGAGAAGTGTGCTTATTTTGAAGAGAGATGTTTATTTGACCTGGTATTTGTCTCTCTATTGCCTAAAGAAAAACTGCTCTGAAAGCAAAGGTTTGATTATTTAAATTATGGATATGGTTTAGTGGTGGACTTGGCAGTGTGAGGTTTATGGTTGAATTCGATGATCATAAAGGAAGGTCTCTTCAAACATTACTGATTCTGATTCCCAAATGGGAAAATTATATGTGTTTTGGTTTGAAGAAGTGTGACTGCTTAAATAATTGTGCACAGAACATATTATGCACTGAAGCAGTACATTGTGTATAAGACGGTAAGCTGTACAGAGAGAAGACCAGGGCAGACATTTTTGCATTTTGCCTGTGTATGCTTCTGAAGAATTAGTAGAATTAGGTTGCTGGGAGTACTAGAGATTTTTCACCTTGTCTTTCTGAAAGATGCACAAATTACAAACATTTCTAGCCTCCATGCAAAGACAACGGAATGATTTGTTGCATCATTTTAATTTATAGGGTTAAAACATTGTTTTCTTGCTCCTTTGGGGTTTGAGTCATGTGAATCTGAGTGATTTGGATCACAAGGACTTTTCAAAATAAACTCTTATGTGTGACTTCATAGTGTACTTCCTCCTTGCTCTCATAAAAGAGAGACTTGGAAATCATGTGAGTAAATGTATGTTGCTGAATAATCAGAAAATGATTTGTTAATATCAGTGCAGTTGTGTAAAATACTTGCTGTCTGTGACAGCTAAATTTGTGCTGTTAATATCCTGAAGCAGTGATAGTATATACTTTGAATATTCTTCCTAACTCCTACAGATTCAGCTGTCCGAGTTGATTGTGGATATATGAGTCTCTCCTTGTTACTCTGTAGATATGGATTTTTTTTTCTTTCCTGTTACAGGTGAAGAACATTATCTACCATGCAGTGAAAGATGCTGTTGGCACACTGAAAGCTCATGAATCCAAGCTAGCTAGATCATAGGAATTTCTAATTCCAAATGCCCTGTGAACTAAGCCTTTTGCTCACAGTACATACAGGGACTGCACATGACTGCCTCTGCAGGTGCAGGGGCTTCTCACCAAGAGCTGGTGTGGTCAGAATTACACACACTCTTCAGGCACCGTTTTGTACGCTGCCTCAACACTCAAGGTCTAATGGAAGGTTGCACTATTACATGCAGAATTCCAGATTCTAGTGAAAGGTGCCATGTCCCTTTCCTGTGGCCTTTTGCAAATTGGAAGAACATGGAAACCACTTGGTGCATATTATGGTTAGAAATGGTATAAAGAGTGTGGATGGTTTTTTTTTTCCTCATGCCTAGTTAGACTCCACAAAGTTATTAGAAGAAATGTGCTGGAGGTGGGTTGTCCTACTGCAGACGTAGTTGATAACTGCTGAAGGAGTGTGACCAACAGTAGCCCAACTGCAGAAATTTAAGCAATCTTCCCATGTGAGATACAGGCCAAGGAAAAGAATAAAATTATTCTCTGCACTCCCCTTCTTGTAGCCATTTCTCTGTACACTGTAGAGGTGCAGAAATAAAGGGAGAACCCACTTTTTTTTTCCCCATGAGACTCCAGAAATAAAGAGAATTGTGTATTTAGTGAAAAACTAGGTTTGTAGTGAAACAGTTAATATTTCATGAAAGTAGATATTTTTAGTATTTTTAAAGTACCACACTGTTCCTGGATTTTTAAGGAAAGGCGCGTTACATTTAGTCTTCCTTACAATAAAATCAAGAACTGATTTTTAGAAACCAGTCCAAAATAGCACAAAACCAGCCAAAGGAGAGCGGATAGAAATCGACACCCCACCTCCCTTGCCCATATTCCTCACCCATCCTCCCCCCTCTCCCTATGCCACTTTGCTTCCTCAGAATGAGAAGTAAGAAGGAGTATAAACTCTGTTCTCATGTGGAGATGTTGTACATCTCTCCCTGCACTGGTGACTGCAGGCAATAGTTCACCCAATACCAGTGCTAACTGAAAACATCTATCCTTTCCAAAGTGAAGGAGAAGTTAACTTTCAGTGTCAACTTTGTCCAGAACTATTTTAAGTAAAATGTTCCTGCTTGATAGAACTGTATTCAGAATTTACTAATGTCAGCATTGATGCAACGGATTTCATTGTCCGGGTACACGGAGAAATGTATCTACCTTATATCCAGCTGTACTGTAGTGCCACCCGCAGGCCTGTTAATATGTTCACGGTTATTTCATTTTTTAAAAAATAAAGTCATTTACTGTAACAGCCTGAGCAGTTTCTTTCAGACTTGTACCCTCATCGTCCTGCTTTGAGTTTGTGTCAGCCTCTGCTAGTGCCAGCTGCCTGTTAACTTCTTGCCCTGTGTCTGACCAGAAGGCTTGAGTGTTCTACACCTTGTGGCCCACATATATGCTGAGAGCATACCAAGGTACCTGTGAAGTTTGGTTCTCTGAGGTAGTTTGGGTGGAGGATCTATCTTGTCATCTCTTGTGCTGTGCTCCCCACCTCTCACTGTCTTCCTAACAGGCTGGGGTTCAGAGCTGCCCTCTCTACTGGAGATACAGATGGGGTCGTAAAGGTTCCCTGGTTTCTGACCTTGGAGTTGTGATGGCAGCAGCAGTTCTGGTCACTGATGTGGCATGCTGTCAGCTTCTCAGGTTGGTTACTGGGTGCAGGTAGTTCACACCCAGACTTTTGCTGCTTTCATACCCTTGCAGCTGTTCTGTGAATACAGGCTAATTCAAGCCTGTAGGCCTGAAGGAAAGGGTTATCCCAGACCCATGAACCATTCAACTTCACAAGCATTTCTTGTGCAGTTCTGTTGTGCTCTGTGCATACAACCCATTCTGAATGGTTAATTACAGCTGAGATTATTTGTGTGTGTGTATATATATCAGGAATTAGAATTTGGTAAAGACAAAAAAGACAAAAGACCTGGCTATGCATAATGCAATAGCTTCAGTAACTTCCAGTGGAGTGATCTACACTGAGTTCTGCATCTCATGCTGAACCTTTGGTTTGAGCATATCAAACATTGTTTCTGTCCCTTGAATTTCCTCTTTCATTAGTCGGAATAGAATTAACCTAAAGCAATATTCATCCAAAATCAGAGGAATGATTTGCACAAAAATTAGACACTAAAGAAATTTGTAGCAATCCAGATTTTAGACCAGATGAGGACAGGAAGAATCTGTAAACTGATCTGGCAAACAAGTTCTTGTACCTTACATTTTAAAACTTTCATTCTTTATCTGGATTGTATGCATTGGGAGACAGAGTACCACAACTTTTTTTGATATTGATTAAAAACGTAACAATGTAGTCTGCAAGGGTAGTCTGCCAGGGTTAATTTTACAACACTTATATCTCTTGTCTGTTTGTAAACTATGCTGAGGCAACTGAACCAGGCAATGTAAACATGAGAAAAAATAGGTACTTAATACATCAAAGGCTGTGATCCATTTCTCTGAAAGATTCCAAGACAGCCTCTTGTAGAACCTGAGGATGTGAAGTCAGAATTGGAGCAGAGGAGTTAGATGCGAAGCAGTAAGTTGAATTTACCTGCAATACAAATAAGAAGGAAGTTACCAGGCACAGATACTCTTTAAAGTTATTGCTCCTATGTACATACAGTGTCTTTCTCCTTCCTCATTTCTGGCAGCCCTTTGATAGTTCTCTAAGCTTCTACAGTTGAGGTATTGGTTGAGCTGTATGACACATGCTAGTGGCTTATCATTCATCTTGTAAGCATTGCTTTGGTGGAAAAGCAGTGAGACTACACAGTGTGTGAGTGAAGTACCGTGTGGAAGCACCAGTGAACAGTGCATTTACCGATTCTGGTTACTGGTAACTAATCTGGTGGTCATCCTCAGTGTTTTCCCAAGCTCATTTCCTGCCTATCTGGGATGCACCAGCCTGCTTGTGGCCACTTCTCAATGTAACTCAGAATTTGACATCAGCCCACAGCTTCTTTTCCTCTTCATTGGTAGAGTCTTTAAGTTCCCTATTCTCAACCTTGAAAAAGAGCTGCAAGCTCCCACTAGGCATTTGAAAAATAGCCAGGCAGAACTCTTACTTCTCTCTCTTGTCTCCCTCAGCCTTACAAGAGTTTTTGTTACCTCTCTACTTCTATATAGGCTAATACAAAACCGGTAGAGTTTCAAAAGCTGGATGTAACAAGATACAGCTGCTTCCCCTAGGAAGGTCGCTTCTAACTTAAAACAGCTTTCAATCAGAAAGCATAACAGGTAAATAAGGGAAAAGTTCTCAGAAGAATTTCCAGTTCTAAGGTCCCTCAATGTCAGTTTATACTATCAGCTCGCACTTTTGTGTTTTCCTTACACCTTCCAGCATTTGATACTCCTCCATTTCAAACTGCACCTTTAAGCTTCAGAGAGGGTTCCCACTGTGTTCTTCCAATTCATCTTTCTTCATGAGACCCTTATTTATTCTGCTAAACTTGACCAGAGACACTTTGTATTCTTCAGCCCTAATTGCTGTTCCTGTGCATTACAGCAGCATCTGCCTGAACCAGTTTCAGCAGGATCTCAGATCTGACCTGGCATTGTTTTAAATGTAGCTTTGCTTAAGCTGCTCTACTCAAGGAATGGTTCATTTGATTCCCATGCCTTATTGTTTAGGCCATAGTAGATTGATAGGTCTTTGGTCACCTATTTTAATCATTTGTAAAACACAAATTTGTCATGAGTTATTTCAGCAACAGCACACCTTCAGGAAAAATATACAGCCTTAATTTGAAAACAATCGATGAGCTGTTTTCCTGGGTAGGTCTTAAGGTCTTAATTACACAGCAGTATACAGTATTACTGATAGCTTCATATAAGGAATACTGCTAATCATTCTATTTCAATTTGACCTGCAGCTGGCTTTTGTTCCAAAAATAGCCCTTCAGTACCAGTAGTACTTCCTTGTGGGAAAGTAAGTTAATGAACTAATTTCTTACTATTCTTTATGGAAAGAAATTGAGCTGCTTATTGCTAATTGAATTGCTAGCTTAAAATATAGTTCCTGAGGTTGCCCTAAAGCTCAGTGTGCCATGTAGCAATGAGCTGCCATGTCAGACATTCCCAAGACCACCTGCTTTACTAATGTTCATATTCTGTTGTTCATAACACAGTTTATTTATAATGCACTGTAAGTCTTCCTACTGCTCCTGAACAGTTTAAAAGGTAAGGCACAGTTTGTTTAGGTGCCACTTACCCATGGTGCAGTTATTTAGCCCTCTCACACTCTTAACACATTTTACTCGCCAGGTGTCTGAATTTTCTTTCTTCTGTTTGCATCTTTCACTCACCTGAGTATGAACCCATTACTTAAGTAAGAGCTGTTGCCATGGGATTCTCTGATATGAAACTGGTGCAGTTAGACTTATTTTGGTGAAGGTTATGCATGTTGGAGTTACTTGGAGGTAAGAGCGGATTCCTTTTATTCTGTTTGTAAGTCAGTTGCACCATCAGTGGTGTAAATTGTACAGCCCCTTTAGCAATCATTTTGTGGCCATTCATATCCAGAAGCAGACTATGACAAAATGTTCTTTGTCACTGTGTGTACAGACATTTGTTTTTTCAACTCTTACATGTAATGGAGAGTTGCTAATACTTTGTATTTTTCATCATTGCTCGTTATACTAAAGTTCATGCACTCATTAGAAGATTCTTCCTTAAGCAGCTCATTGCTTTTGCTCTTACTCTTTGTTTGGTCTCTTTTCATACAGGCTATTTGGCAAGTGATGAGACTTTGCCATAGTGCCTTCCTTCAGGGTTGGGTTGGGTTTTTTTTGTTAGCAGAAGAGCTACGATAGCAGCAAATAATTTTTTTTTTTAATTAAAAACCAGCTTACATAATGGTCAACATCATCAGGAATCTGTGTACAGGGCTTGCTCCATCAGCTGTAATGCACATACAGGCTACGGGGGGGAGGGGGGGGAGGCAGAAGGGGCCCATTCATTAGCTGTGGCACTGCCTGTCGACGGGGATTCTGGCGGAGTTGAAATGTAACAATTTCTGGTCTTTTGGTATGCTAAAGCATGCACATTCCCGCCCCACAACAAGGGGGTTTCACGCTCCTTTCCCCGTTCAGCCTTGTCTGTGTAGTTAAGTAATCTCTGGTCTCTGTTGAGCTTTCCAAGAGCACCGGATGATCATGGAAACTACGAAGCCTTCATCCCTCCGCTTTGACAACGAGTTAGTTTTGTTTTACGTCCGGCTTTGCGTGGAAGCCGTGGGCCTTTAAAATGCTTTTAAGCTTAACTGCTGATGCCTTGAATTGCCCAGAGGAGGCGCCTTTACAGAAGATGGCTTCTCCCATCCTGGTCTCTATTGCTCTATCTCCGAGCCACCCCGGGTCTTAGTTCGGCGCTTTCCCCTCGGTAACTCTCTCACGCTGTGCATACTGCTGCTGCCACCGTGCCGGGAGCTCCGATCGCTGCCCTCCCCGGGCCTGCTGCCGGGGCTCGGCCACCGCCGCTCGCGCTCCCCACGGCCCCGCCTGCGCGGGGGGGCAGCCGAGCGCCGGGGGCTCCGCAGAGGCGCGGGGCGGGATGCGGGATGCGGGAAGCGTTCGCCCTCCGCGGTGCCGGCTCCGCCCCTTCAGGCACCCAGGGCGGGGCTGCGCCTGCTGCAGGACCCTGCCCTTCAGGAGCCGCTTCCCGCCGCCGCCGCCATGGTCTCCTGGATCATCTCTCGTCTCGTGGTGTGAGTGCGGGCGGCCGCGGCCGGGGGTGTGCGGGGCGGCCGGGGGATGTATGGCGGTGCCGCTGCGGGGTCGACTGCGGGGCGGGCGGCTGCGGCGAGCCCGCGCGGGCTGCGCGGCCCAAGGGCGGTGTTGCGGAGGGGGCGAACGAGCCCCGCCTTGGGGGAGTCGCGGGGCACCCGCGTCCCGCCGGGAGTGGCCGGGGCCTTTTCCCGGTTGCGGCAGGTGGCGGTCGGGGTGCTGAGCGGTCTGTTCTTCTCGCAGGTTGATCTTCGGCACCCTCTACCCAGCGTACTCCTCCTACAAGGCCGTGAAGACGAAGAACGTGAAGGAATATGTGAGTTGGGGCTGGCCGCGCCGGCGCAGCGCCCTCCCGCCCCTCGCGGCGGCTCCGGGCTGTCCCCGGGGCTTCGGCCCCGCAGCGCGGCTGCGCGGGCAGCAGCCCCCGGCGCTCGGAGAAGTTGGCGGGGAAGGGCGCGTACGAAGGCGGGAGGAAACGGAGGAGATGTGTTTTTTTTCTCGCGGGATGCTGAGTGAGGAGGGAGCAGAGCGGGAGTGCTGCGCAGTGCATGCAGGTGGAGGTCCAGGGCACATTCTTTTTTCCCGTCTCGTCCGTACTCTGTGTCCCTTTACAGCTTTTTCAGTAGAACTTTCGTTGTCTTCCGAAAAGCTGAGTAATCCTGCTTGGTTTATGTCTCCCTGCCAGCCGTGCTTGTGATCAGTGTTCTCTGTTAGTCAACGCCTTATCTTCCTCCCGTTCTGGAATCGGTTTTACCCTGTCTGTCATTACAGTTACCGCGTTTAAAACACCAAATGCTTTTTAGGGATGTGATGTGTCATCTTCGTACATCTAAGTTGATCAGTGGAGATAAGAGCTGTTTGGTTTATGGGTGGGATGTGTTTCTGTTATCTAGAGCAAGAAGTAACCTGATGGAGAAGAAATGGTGAATAGCACATAGTTTGTCAGTATTACCTTGGTGTGCCATCTGAGACTTCTCATCCCTCTCAGTCTGATTGCTCCTTTAGAAATAACACGTCGGCTATAAACATTGCAGGATCCGTTTCTGTCTCATGGTGCTTCTGTCCTCTAGAATTGCCTAGACCTTTCCCATGTGCTGGCTTAAAATTCAGCCTACTGTTTTTTGAAGAAGATGCCAGCTGAGGTGAGAGTCTTGCTCATAGTGGACAGCTTTACAAACCACAACATCTGGCTGAAGTATTTTGGGGTTTGCTCTTGAGTTTTGAGGGCTTTTTATACCAGTTTCAGTAGAGAAGTCAAAATATGAATGTTCATGAGGTAACTGATACAGTTTTGAGTGAGTATTAGAGATACAGTCAGAAATATGAAGAGCCTTACTAAATGTTGAAATTATGAAATTAGAAACTGAAAAGAAAGTATAACAGAAACTATCTGGATAATTGCATGATCCTGTGACTTCATAGTTAACTTTGAAGTTATGTATGAAATAGTATTGTATACTGTATTCTTTGGCCTTCCTCTCCGCTCTCCTTCCTGTTGCCTGTAACCTTCATTTATTGCATGAAATGTGTATTTTTTTTTTTTTTACCCAGAATTTTATTCTGGCTCATGAGTGTCACGGAATGGTTGTGTTCCAGCCACGGAATCTGTGTTGACTTTAAGACAGACTCAGATTTCAGAATTTAAAATTGTTCTGTTGAGAACTTGAGGGGAAAAAAAAGAAATTTTTTTTTTTTTTTTTTGAAACTCCAGAGTTTGCTTGTTCTGGAGCTCAAAGACCTGGTAAATGTGGAGCCTTTGAACGTGTGGCTATTCTTTACAGCAAAAACTTGCATCTTTTCTGTGGATAGGTTAGCTGTGGAGGTACGTAAATGCTGTGTTTCCTTGCAGAATCTGATTTTCTTTTGGTAGATGTTATCTAAATTACTGTAAGACTTCTCTAATCTTATGGCAAAAAAGAAATAAGACACAGTACTTGAGTATCATAAAGTTATCTTAACAATAATATCAATTTATCATCTGGTTGTGAGCCCACTAGGGCTAATGTAGAAAAGTATGGCATTCATTTTAGGGTTCTGTTTAACATTCAGTTGAGACTGTTTTCCTGATGTACATAGTTCTGCTTTGCTACAGCAGAAAATTCTCTCTTGTTTTTAGTTTCAGTGAAAATACTGGAGTTGGCTCAAGGAAACGTATTTAAACTGCTAAATCTGATTTTATACTATAAATTATTTCTCTTTGAGAGGACTGTATCAGAAATAAGAATTTAGACATTGGACTGGTATTTGCCTAAGTCATTTATGGTTGGAGGGCTTCTTCCTTAACATAAGATGGGGGGAAAACTGATCTTATTTGGAAAACAGGACAGGAGGCTGTTCTGTTCAAACAATTCTTCATATGGAAAACTTGAATGATGTGCTCTGCATTTTCAGAGCCAGCTGTGTCTATGTAATACTATTTGCTTGTAGTGCTTAAGAACCAGTGTTGGTGGGGGAGAAAGATCCTACAGGTGTATCTGTGCTAGAGTGTATGGATTGAAGGTTGAGTTGATGCAGAACAAGCTACCACAAGCAGTCCATCAGTGGCATCAGAGTACAGTGCAGACTTTCTCTTTTCCCCAGCCATGATACAAATTTGAGAAATCCTTGAGCACCTGTGACAGATTGCTCCTAGTAGCTCAGAGTAGTTTAAAAGTAATTTCTTTCTTATGTGTCATCTTCACCTTTGGTCAAATCTACCTTCCAATTACGCTTATGCATTTACTGAATTTGTTTTTGTTCTTTGTGCAACTTGGGAGACTCTGGGCAGTTAGCTGAAATTGGTGGTCATCAGCTTGAGCAGTAAGATGTGACTCCTTTTAATGGACTGAAGAAAAACATGGCCTGGTTTGACCCTCAGTTTTTGAACATGTTTGTAATCTGTGACTTAAGAAACATCGTAAGATGTTCTTCTAGTTTCTGGTCATCTGCACATCAGGGACTTCTAGAGCTAGAAGTTGAATCCTTCTAGTTTATTTAAGAGCTATGTTTGGTTTCGTCTTTGACTGCAGGGCATAGGGTTAAGGATGGCAGGAGGAGACAGAGACCTTTGCCCAGTATCAAAGATGTGAACACAGAGTATTTAAATAGTAACAAAGCAGTGTTTTTTGTTCTTTTCTGTTCCTCTTCTGATACTTCTAGCATTCTGTTAGCAGAATGAAAATGTACAATGAGCACTGAGCTTACGGTTTCATCAGGCTGTCTACAGTGACCACTTCTGAGTGGCATGAGCTAATTTATGTTATCACAATAGTTTTCAGTTAAGAAAAAGCAGATAGTCTAAGTTCATTACTTGGTATTTAATGATATTTAGTGACAAAATGTCAACTGGAGATCCATCAGTATCCGTTTCTGAATTCTTGAATCAACTCATACCTAATCCTCTGTATAGGAAAGTATCTTCTGCACATTTTTTCATCTTACTGTTCACAACCTTTTCAAGAAGATGTGCAGCACAGATCTCAACACTGATTCATGTGTGATCCCACTGGTAACCTTCCTTGTTGTGAAGAATGGCAGTTTATTTTTACCCTCTCTTTCCTCTCTTTTAACCAGTTGTTAATCCTCAAGAGTCCCTTCATTTTTATCCTAGACAATTTAGCTTCTTTGAGTGTTTATTCAGGCCTGTCAGAAAGTTTGTAGAAACACGCCCTGCCTGTGAAGGAAGCACTGTATCAAGAGCCATGGAAACCTGCAAAGAATTTCGCTACATTTGGGAAATTAATTTTTTTTTCTGAAAAAAACCATATTCCTAATTATATAGAACCATAGAATAGTTAGGGTTGGAAAGGACCTTAAGATCATCTTGTTCCAACCCCCCTGCCATGGGTAGGGATACCTCACACTAAACCATGCCACCCAAGGCTCTGTCCAACCTGGCCTTGAACACTGCCAGGGATGGGGCACTCACAACCTCCCTGGGCAACCCATTCCAGTGCCTCACCACCCTAACAGGAAAGAATTCCCTCCTTATATCCAATCTAAACTTCCCCTGTTCAAGTTTTAACCCATTACCCCTTGTCCTGTCACTACAGTCCCTAATGAAGAGTCCCTCCCAGCATCCCTATAGCCCTCTTTCAGATACTGGAGGGCTGCTATGAGGTCTCCACGCAGCCTTCTCTTCTCCAGGCTGAACAGCCCCAACTTTCTCAGCCTGTCTTCATACAGGAGGTGCTCCAGCCCCTGATCATCCTCGTGGCCTCCTCTGGACTTGTTCCAGCAGTTCCGTGTCCTTTTTGTGTTGAGGACACCAGAACTGCACACAATGCTCTGAGTGAGGTCTCACAAGAGCAGAGTAGAGGGGCAGGATCACCTCCTTCGCCCTGCTGGTCATGGTCCTATTGATGCAGCCCAGGATACGGTTGCTTTCTGGGCTGCGAGCGCACACTGGAGCCGGCTCGTGTTCATTTTCTCATTGACCAACACCCCCCAAGTCCTTCTCTTCAGGGCTGCTCTGAATTTCTTCTTTGCCCAACCTGTAGCTGTGCCTGGGATTGCCCCGACCCAGGTATATGACCTTGCGCTCCTATAGTGCAAAATGATATGTGCTAATTGTTTTTATTACTGCCTTCATTTTGCCTAATATTGAAGTAAGATTTACTGGTATGTAGCTTCTCTGAAATCTCTCGCACATTGGGATCCCTATTTGCCACCTTTGCTTTATTATTCTTCACACACTTTTTCATACAAGAGCTGATTTATGTTGCTGAATTGAAGGGTTAAACATTTGTTTAATAGAGTTGCTTTAGAAGTTGAGTGAATGATGCCTGGTCCTGTTCAAACGGATGATACAAGGGCAAAACTAAAGGCAGGAGAGCACCATAAAGTACAAGTTTTGCTACTTTCTGTGGTGAAAAAATACATAATAAAGTGGAAATAATTTGGACTACTAATCACTATCTTCAGAACCATCCACTGTGTTAGAGGAGTTGGATGCAGTATAATTTTTGTGGGGTTTTTTGTTTGTTTTTTTTTTGGGTTTTGTTAAGGAAGTTTTGGAAGCTCTTTCAAGAACAGATCACCAAATTCCCCAACACAGACAAGTTTGGGGAGATAACTGCTTTTATAACTTCATTTGCTGTAACAAAGACTGTCACTAAACTGTTCATGTAATTTTAATACATGGATTAATGTGTGGCTTTAATATGTGGAATTTCTTTAATTCAGTTTGCTTTTTGTGTCTATTCTTGATGACACTAAAAGTGCTAAGTTGATTTTAGCAAAGGTGACCTCTTCTTTCCATTTATCTGCTACTTATTTTTATGTCTGAACAGCATAGAAAACTGGCAGTTTCCCACATAAGATATCGACTCTTTTACTATTAGGCATTTTTGGGTAGCAGTTTTTATAATTCAGCTGATTCAGAGACTTGCTACTAAAACAGGATGGGGGAGAGTGTGTGTGTTAATGGGGGATTATTTTATGTTTGCTTTGAAAGAAATATCTACTGCTTGGAAGAAAGGTGTGAGAAAGTAGGGAGATAGATGACAGGCATACAGATGTACCTTAACAGCACAAAGTAGACCTTAAACAGGAAGACGAGTTTGTGGCATGTTTTTTGCTTTCTTACCTCTCTTAACGAGCCTTTATTTAAAAAGAGCTCCTGTGATTTCTGGGCATAATGATTAAGGCAAATAATGCTTACTAATAAGAGCAAAGTCCTATATCTCTTGGTTTTGTGGTTTGGAAAATACAGGGCTACAGTTTAAACTTTTGTGTGTGTGTATGTATTTATTACAATAATCATGATACATGAAAGAATATAACTTCTTGAAGTGAACTGCTAGCTCTTTTTAGATAGCTTATTTGGGGCTTTTGCACAGTTGCTCATGGTACTGCAATAGGGTGTGCATTCATCAGTGTACCTGTATGCATTTATATAGTTAGAGCACATTAATACTACATGTTTTCCCAAACTATAATGTACCATTAAGTATGGACCCTCCTCCATTATTGATAATATATGCCCTTCTTGTTGTGGAATTCATCGTAATGTGTGGAGATGATGAGTCATTTTTACTGAGAAGACGTTTTGCCTTTTTCTGGATTCTGATGGATATGCATTGAGTGGTTGCTCTTTTGCAGGTGAAGTGGATGATGTACTGGATTGTGTTTGCCTTTTTTACCACTGCAGAAACACTTACAGACATTGTTCTTTCTTGGTGAGTTCCTTGGCAGTATGGGATGGGGGGGGGGGGGTGGTGGTGTTGCTTGTTTGATTGCTTTTTAAAGAAGGGAGGAGTAGTGTTAGGATGCTAAGAATAAACTCTCTTTAGGCATTTTCAGTCCCTCTGAAGAGTCTGCAGGTTTGCAGATACTGTGGGTAGTAGTTGCTGTCTTACCTTTCTTCTGTACTGGCAAACAGTTGGAATAAATGCGCAGCATCTGTAAGAGGATCTTCATAATATCAAACATTTTTGAGAGACTTAATTGGAACTGGTGAAGTTTGAGAAACGGAGGTATAAAAGATACTTAAAAACAAAAAAAAGATGGTAGAAGGAAGGGGCCTGTTTTGCTTTGCCAGGCCCTTGTATGGAGGAGCAGATCAAATGCACCTCTGTGCTCCGAGAGGTGTTTTCCATGATTAAATTCTCTTCTACTAGTGGGAGTGGGGTGGAGTTGTGGGAAGCAGGTTCTTAATCCTTGCAGTGCTGTGTTTTGTGCTTGGCAATATGGACGCCTCCAAAAATGACAAATCACTATTACATGTCTTCAACTGAACCTTCCGAACAGGCAGTCTTCAGTTTCTTCATTTGCTTTAGTGTTTGAGCTTTGCGTACATCTCTGACAGAATACTAGTCAAGAATTCTATCTCTTAAAGAAACATGAAATGGCTACACACCACACATGCCTCACAAAAACACTCATCAGTTTTGCCTCTTCCTGCATAAACTTTCAAAGGCAAAGATCTAAAAAGAACAAGAGCTTTGGCTTGTTCACATGCTTAAAATGGACTGCTAAAACCAGAAGTCTCTTACTACTAACAGAGAAAGAAAGTTTTTGTTCACTGGTTTCAGTCTTTGCTACTGTTTCTTCCCAGAAACTTTATTGGGTGAGGGTTAGAGATGAGATGTCCATGCTGCCAGCTCTTTTCTATTTACACTGATCCTCCTGTAGAGTGTTACCTGTGGAGTACCTACTGGAAGCTTCAGAAACTGAGCCATCAGCCTTAGCAGGAGCTTCAGATTTCTTTTTCTCCATTTGAAAAAAGGAGGTCATAGTTGAAAACTTTGGAAAATGAGATGTAAAGTAATGCAGTATTAATAGCCAGGGGATACTCTCTGAACAAACTTCAGAATGATGAGAGTAGCTATCAGATTGTAATTTGGTGTGTTTGCAGGGCTGAGAGATGCCCTGTTTATGGAGTTTTCATGGCTATGGATGAAAGACTAAGTGAGACTCGGAGCAGGTATGTTCTAGGATTCCAGAGGGTTCTGCTATTATGACCTGATATATTGATTCTTTTGTTTCTGAGCCGTTATATCTTGTCTTTGTTCTTTCTGCCTGTACTGCTTTCTGCCAGTTGTCTCCATCTGTCCCTGTGCTAATCTTGATACCAGTTCTCCATCTTTCTCTCTGTCTCGCTCTTCCTCCCCCCACCCCTTTCTCTCAGGTTTCCCTTTTATTTCGAGCTGAAAATCGCATTTGTCATTTGGCTGCTCTCCCCTTACACCAAGGGCTCCAGTGTCCTCTACAGGAAGTTTGTGCACCCAACGCTCTCCAATAAGGAGAAGGTACTCACTTGTTAGAAGATACTGACCTGTTTGGGATGTGACCGACTTTTGATTCAGTTATGCTGCAATAAAAACTGAAATGCAGGAATCGTGCTTGTGCTGACATTAATCGATGTAGAATGATTCTCTCTCTGACAGCAGTGGCATCCTGCAGCTTACTGAAAATTGTAACATAGCCAGTAGTTTGCCTAATGCTTAGAAAGCATGTTTGACTAACGCAGTGTCATGAGCCCTTATTGTCAGTAGTTAAGCTCTTCGAATTACAATATGAGCAGCATGTTCTGTAGTTACGCTGTTTTTTTCACATTGTCAGTTTAAGCAGCTCCTTTGTTTCGGTTGTTACAATTTGGAAATAGCATACTTTGAGGAAAAGTTGCATTTGCAAGCTTTCTGTAAGTAGCAGAGTAGCTTCAGTTATGTGATCAATGACAGCTGTTGATGGTAGTCTGGAAGAAAGTGTCCAGATGAGCTTTGGGGCTTTAAGGGTGATGGTGGGGGAACTTTGATTATGTTTGTAACAAGCAGCTAAATGCCATGTTCCACATTACCTTCCTAGGAAATCGATGAATACATTACTCAGGCTCGTGACAAGAGCTATGAAACCATGATGCGAGTTGGCAAGAGAGGGTTAAACCTTGCTGCCAATGCAGCAGTTACTGCAGCTGCAAAGGTAATACAACACCTTCTGTAACATTCAGGAATCCCCCAGAAGTTTAGTTTTGTGTGCCAGCAATTAGTAGTATGAGTTTGTTAGAGATGCTGGTACCTGTGGACACCAATCTACTTTTCCTTTCCTCCAGTTTGCCTTGTGATTAATTCCATCCTTTGCCTTAAGAAAAGTGAGGAAGAGTGGAATGGATTTTGCTTTAACCTCTTTTCTTTTGGTCTTGGGAGCATACTTTTCTTTTTCCCTTTTCTCTTTTCCCAGAGTACCCTACTGGGGAATAGGACACCTTTTCTCTTCTTCTGAATGATCCCATGTGAGATGATCTTGGTGAAGGTGAAGTTCCCTTGACCCTTACTATTTTGCCATCTTAGGGCCAGGGAGTTTTGTCTGAGAAGCTGCGAAGTTTCAGCATGCAGGATCTCACTCTTATCCGGGATGAAGATACTGTGCACCTGCGAAGCCGGGAGCCACAACTGCACTCATCTGGTGGGAGTCTTCTTGAAACCATTGAGGATTCAGGTACAGAACACTGTCCTGGGTTCAGGAGTAAAAGGATTTTTTTCTCCTTCTTAGTAGCTGGTGCAGTGCTGTGGTTTTGACTTTCAGCCTGGGAACAGCACTGGTAACACCGATGTTTTTAGTTGTTGCTAGGTGATGTTTACTCTCACCAAGGACTTTTCTTAGTCTCATGCTCTGCCAGGGAGGAGGGGAAGTCGGGAGGAAGCATGGACAGGACACTTGACCCAAACTAACCAAAGGGATATTCCACACCACAGCATGTCATGCCTACTGTATAAACGGGGGGAATTACCCAGAAGGCCAGATCACTGCTCGAATCAGGCTGGGTATTGGTCGGAGGGTGGCGAGCAGTTGTATTTTCTTCCCTTGTTATTTCCCTTACCATCATTATTATTATTGGTGGTAGCAGCAGTGGTTTTGTGTTATACCTTAGTTATTGGACTGCTCTTATCTCAACCTATGTGAGTTACATTCTTTCCATTCTCCTCCCCACCTCTCTGGGAGTGGGGGGAGGAAGGGGCAGGGAGTAAGCGAGTTGGTGGGCAGTTCTGAGTTACTGCCTGGGCTTAAACCATGACAAACATCCCTGCTAGGCCATCTACTAACACATCTCTACTTTTTGGATTATCCTTGTTCAGGATTGTTGACATCTCCCTTTCATGTGGTCCTTCGGGATGGCCCATTTTAGATTTTATGTGATTTTTCAAAAGTATTTGCTAAAACTTTCTCTCTTATTGCTTAGCTTCCTGTTACTCCTCAGGAGAGGAGAGCAGTGTGGCACAGAGGTCTAATGGAACCCCACTGGAGACTAGAACAGACCCATCAGATGAAGATGCAGGAGATAAACTTCCTAAACGTACCCAGAGTCTCAAAACTCCTAAGAAGATGATGAAAGCTGAGGTAAGCTGGTGGGTAAATTATTCCCAGTACATATGTTGATTTGTGAGGTTTGTTGGAAGGCTCATAGTCTCACTGCATTTAAAAGCTGTTTACATGCAAGGTCCTGCACCTGGGTCGGGGCAATCCCAGGCACAGCTACAGGTTGGGCAAAGAGATTCAGAGCAGCCCTGAAGAGAAGGACTTGGGGGTGTTGGTCGATGAGAAAATGAACACGAGCCGGCTCCAGTGTGCGCTCGCAGCCCAGAAAGCAACCGTATCCTGGGCTGCATCAAAAGGAGCGTTACCAGCAGGACGAAGGAGGTGATGCTGCCCCTCTACTCTGCTCTTGTGAGACCTCGCCTGGAGTATTGTGTGCAGTTCTGGTGTCCTCAACACAAAAAGGACATGGAACTGTTGGAACCAGTCCAGAGGAGGCCACGAGGATGATCAGGGGCTGGAGCACCTCCTGTATGAAGACAGGCTGAGAAAGTTGGGGCTGTTCAGCCTGGAGAAGAGAAGGCTGCATGGAGACCTCATAGCAGCCTTCCAGTATCTGAAGGGGGCCTATAGGGATGCTGGGAGGGACTCTTCATTAGGGACTGTAGTGACAGGACAAGGGGTAAGGGGTTAAAACTTGAACAGGGGAAGTTTAGATTGGATATAAGGAAGAAATTCTTTCCTGTTAGGGTGGTGAGGCACTGGAATGGGTTGCCCAGCGAGTGCGAGGTATCCCCCCCTATGGCAGAGGGGTTGGAACTTGGTGATCTTAAGGTCCTTTCCAACCCGAACTATTCTAGGATTCTAACTTTGTTGGACTCAGTCTTTGCTAGTTGAATCCTACATCAGAGGACTTGCTGTCTACTTGCTGTACTAGTCTCTAGCTTTTGTATTTTTATCATGCCTGTAAGCCTCTGTCATAAGCTAGGTCCTCGCTTCTCTTTCATTCAGGTTTGTGTTGAAGAGTGGGAGCATTAGATATTTTTAACATGTTTCGTTTACTGTCTCTTCTTTCCTGACTGTTACAGTCTGAATATATAATACTACTGTGACATTTATCCCTGGGACAGCTCTTTCTTCTCATCTAAAATACATTAGTTCTGTACCTAGAACTAATGTTCTAGAACTAATGTACCTAGAACTAATGTTAGGCCTTCCTGGACTTCTGCATATTAGATATGGGGAAAATGTAATTTCCCCCTCCTCAACACTCCCCACACCCATCCTGCTCCTTCCCCACCTTGAGGGTTTTGTCTAGAAGTTCGGGTAACTAGTCACTGTTGCCATCTCCTCTGTATGCCATGGCTTGATCCAGGATATTTACAGCCATTCAGATGGGGCATGAGTTGCCTGTATTCTTATTATTAAACAAACCATATAGGAAAATAAAGGCAACTGTGTACAAGAGTCATTTTAGCTTAACAGTCTTTTGAGGTGCTTCTTTCCAGGTTTTGACTCATACTTGAATGTTTCTTGTTGTTTGATTTGCACATGATAAAATGGTTGTCCCTTTTTGTGCAGTGTGATCTTGTTTGCTTGATTCAGCTCAGGCTCACATTGTTGAGCTTTTCAGGCTAAATATTGAATTATTTCGAGGAAAGTAATTGCTTAGAGCATCAATTTTAGTTGTACTGTTAACCTCATCTTACAATGTACAGGAAACTTTTGCGTATAAGTACTGTTTATAACAGAATCACAGAATAGCTGAGGTCGGAGGGGACCTTTGCAGATCATCTGGTCCTACCCCACTGCTCAAGCGAGGCTATCTAGAGCCTGTTTCCCAGGACCATGTTCAAATGGCTTTTGAATATCTTCAAAGATGAACATGTACACATAAAGATGCATTTAAAATCAGACTGAATCTTTTTTTAATGCCCAGGGCTTACTTCTGAGTTGACCCCTCTTCTTTCTTCTCTAGCATATTAGACTGTATGTGAAAACCAGAGCAACAACATTTGATTCTAAGCTTTCCTAGGGAGAAATTTTTAAAGTGAAATCATGGAAAGAGAGTAACGACTCTTCAGTGCTGTTTATTCTGAATACAGAAATTCCAGTAAAGCCCTTTTGCAGGCATATTGGGTCTTATGCTTGGTCTGTTTGGAGCTTTAGTTCAAATGTAGGAATTGTAGGAGACCTTGAACTGAGATGTCTGAAATTGCCCAGAAGGTCTGAATTCATTATAGATCATAAATGCCCTCTTCTTGCCAATATCTAGAATGAAAGACACTGGACTAAAGTGTGCAAACCAGTTTAAGATATTTCTACATCTTTCGGATAATTGTCTTTGGGATTGCAGTCAAGAAGCACAAAAGTTATAACAGTGAAGTGTTATATGAATGGTACCAGTTAGAAATATCACTATGTCTAATCTTTTGTCAAGACAGCTGACTTCAGTTTTATTATCATACTTGCCCAGCTTTAGAACGTCTTACTCTTCTGGTTGCTCTTTGACGGATATGCTCAGACTGATTTGGTTACTAAAAAAAACAAAATGAATGGTTAAATAGCTTTTCTGAAAAAAAACAGATGACATGAATTTTCATCTTTGACATCTTTATCAGCAACATGGGCAGTGGGATTGAGGGCACCCTGAGCAAGTTTGCCAATGACACCAACTTGTGAGGTGCAGTTCACATGCTGGAGGGACAGGATGCCATCCGGAGTGACCTGAACAGGCTGGAGAGGTGGGACAGTGTGAACCTCATGAAATTCAACAAGTGCAAGGTCCTGCACCTGGGTCAGGGCAGTCCCAGCACAAATACAGGCTTAGTGGAGAATGGATGGAGCAGTCCTGAGGAAGACTTTATCATGTTGATCAATGAGAAGCTCCCCATGACCCAGCTTCATCATGCACTTAAGCCCAGACCCCCACCCCCCCCCCGTGTGCTGGGCTGCATCCCCCGAGCGTGAGCAGCAGCTCAGGGAGGGGATTCTCCCCCTCTACTGTGCTCTGGTGGGACCCCCCTGCAGTCCTGATCCAGCTCTGGGGCAGCAGCACAAGAGGGATGTGGAGGTGTTGGAGTGAGGCCAGAGGAGGCCACAGAGCTGCTGCGAGGGCTGGAGCAGCTCTGCTCTGGAGCCAGGCTGAGAGAGCTGGGCTGGGGCAGCCTGGAGAAGAGAAGGCTCCTGAAGGGGAGACCTTAGAGCAGCTCCAGTGCCTAAAGGGGCTCCAGAAAATCTGGAGAGGGGCTTTGGACAAGGGCCCATAGGGATATGCCAAGGGGAATGGCTTTAACCTGCCAGAGGGGAGACTGAGATGAGCTCTTAGGCAGAAGCTCTTCCCTGTGAGGGTGCTGAGGCGCTGGAACAGGGTGCCCAGAGAAGCTGTGGCTACCCCATCCCTGGCAGTGTTCAAGGCCAGGTAGGACACAGGGGCTTGGAGCAAGCTGCTCCAGTGGAAGGTGTCCCTGCCTGTGGCAGGGGTTGGAGCTGGATGAACTTTAAGATCCCTTCCAACCCAAACCAGTCTGCGAGTCTATGAATAGGGTCATCATATTATAGTTGTTTTTGTCCTCTGTTTTCACTCTGCATTCTTGTATCTTTCTGTTAGACATTTAGGTGTTAAACTAACCCAAGATGCCTCTTTTTCTTTCTCCTCAGCTTCCAGTAAGAAGTGTCAAAGCCCGTCCCAAGAAGAAAGCTGCAGGCTCTCTTGCTTCTGTTGAGTCATCCTAAGACAGCCTTCCCTTCCCCAGCACCTCTCTCTGTCCTGGGATTTACCTGTCACTTTTGAGGGGAAATTTTCCAAAGGAAGGGAGCTGATATTCATGTACATAACAGATACTGCTTTGTAGAGCTCATTCTGAGGCAAGGGGGAGGCTGGGATTCAGAACATGCAGTAGAGGATACACATCCTCAGGAATTTTCTCATTTTCATCCCTCTGTTGGAGGGAATGTTGATATGTCTGTACATAGCCTGTTGCTTTGGAATTCTCACTGTATAAACCTAGTTGAGGAGAGTCTTTGCTGGGAGAACTGACTAGGGTTAGAGACATCCTTTGCACAGAAGCTGGAAAAATATTAGACGCTGGAGTTCCACAGGGGTGAGTGGCTTCCTAAAATGTCTTGTCTTGCTCTGGGTATTCTTCTGCAGCTGTGTGTTGTGAAGAAGTGCCCACAATGAATCATCCTCCTTAAGAATGGACTGAAACCAGTCATATCCATCCCCTTTGAGAAGGTGACTGAAATGATGTATGCTGAGTGCTTTTGAATCTAATGGACTGGCTCATGGGAGGAGTATGCTAGATACACATTACTAGTACTGTAAGGTGAAGAGATTGGTTTTAATTTTTTTCCTTGGAAGGTGAAGGGAGATAATTGAAAAACTGAGTAATGAAGAAAATGTGCTCTTAAATGCACCTGTGGTGAAGTAGATACTGTAACTGTAGTTACAGTAGTAACTGTAACAGTTAGCTATTGAAAAAGAAAGTTGGGCATTGGTAAGATTTCAGCTCTTTTTGAAGCTGCTTGAATTTTATTTCAGGTTCTGTTGTTCATTTTGATTCCTGTGATACCATCAGTGTGAGGCGAGTCTCGTGGTGGGAGAAGTTGGCAGGGAGACTGTTGCTTTGCCATTTAGTGGTTGAACTCCATGTCATCCTGATGCTTGTTACTTCAGACAGTTTTTTCGTTCTGGCAGATGACTGGGGAAAATCTCAGTGTCGTCTGCAGGCATGTTGAGAATTTCAGGAGCCCTTATCCTCTACTGGATTTAGGAAATCCAGTCATCAGGGTATGAGAACTAATAAATAGCTGATGTATGAATGTTGCTAATTTCAGGATTCCTTTTATGGGGGGTAAAAAGCAGGGAGTAAGGAACATTAGTGATTAATGAGTCCTCTTGCTTTATCCTACTGCAGCCCTTGAACAAGTTTTCTATGTTTCTTTGATAAACATGTGCCATGTTTATCAATGTCCTAAGACTTCAGCAGTATGTAACACCTGGGACAGAACTACACTGAATGTAGTATATATATATTGTGGGAGTTAAATTGCAGTGTTGCAGAGAAAATTTGTATCATGCCAAGCCATACTGGAGTCTAAGCTTTTGAACATTGTTAAGGGGAGATCCCCTGTACAACTGCCAACAGAGTCAGTGGGCATTTGAGATGAGTGGGGTTCCTGTTGAGATCTGTAATGGAAGAGCACCATTATAGACGTGGTTGTCTAAGACCGTCAAGTATTCATTCAATCTTTAGTGAAACTAGTTATCAGAGGAACCTGGCTCCTCCTTCCCTACTGAAGATCATTCTTGGCTCTAGACGCAGACATTTGTGTTTGCCCACATCTTTTGCTGTCACATTTCTTAAATTACAGCGGATTGTTTACAGAGCCCTGTAATTTGCTGTTGATGATGTATAGAAGCTCTTCTGCAAGTAATAGTACACAAGTATTTCTATCTTAAAGAATAGCCCTTCAACAGTTTGTGAAGTTGAAGATGAGGACTGAATTTTTTTCTTGTTTCCTGTTGTCCTGGTGGAAAATTGTTACAAATTTACTATTTTAAGAAAACAAGTTAGTTTTATTTGTAGCTTTAAATTTAAGTCTTGACAAAGCATGTCACAAACTTGCATCTTCACAGAAATACTTGTCCTAAATTACCCAGAAGGCAGGAGAAAACCCTTGGTGTGGCTTCAAGGTTTGAGTTTCACAAAGAAAAGAAAAAAAAGGCAAGTATTTTGTTTTTTTAGTTTGTTAGCAAACAGTGCATACATGTCTCACTAGTACATGCAAAGCATGTCCTGAAGCAGGAATTCTTTCTGTTTCCAGAGGAAAGTTCTTTCTCCATCTAAGGGATAAAAATCTTTACTGATTATGGGGAAGGTTCAGTTGCGAGGAATTGATGTCCTTGATTTTACTGTACTGAATAAAAGAGAACCGTTATTCTCTATATACTAAGTATCTGTATGACCACATTTCTGGATTACTTTTTTTTCCAACTAAAAATTTCCATAGCAAATCATTTGTGTAAATCATTGTGAGGGATTTGATTTGGAAGCCAAGGATTCATTAGTCTCCCCTTATGCTGATCCTTGTGCACTTTCCGTGTGCATGTGTTGTGATATCTCAGATGGCTCTGCTTTCATAAAGTGGCTTTCCAGAATGTTTTCTGGAATCTCTTCATTTGTAGTAACTGTTCCTTCTTTGAAGCACAAAAAGAATTTCTGAAGACTCAGTTTTGGCATTTGTGTTTACCTTTGTCTTCTTGAGCTAAGTATTTTTTACTTAGCATTGTTGCTTGATGTTATTAGCCTGTGGCTATGCGTCAGTCTTACTTGTGAGTTTTGTTGTACAAGGGAATTAAATGACTTCTGGTTGCAAGAGACAGTCTGAAGTAGAGTTAAGGACTGTTATCTAGTATGTGATACAGAGCTGATGATGTCAAGCAGCAGAACTTACCCAGAGCAAGCAAAATATCTTAGCATGGACACTGTTTTCTTCTTCCAGTAGAAATGTGACTGCTGGATTGTGCTCCACTTGACCAAAACCTCTGCACATCTGCCACCACCCATGTGACCTCTTAGTGAGTTGCTAGATACAGTTCTGCATTGGATGGCATATTTTTGTGTAGAAATTCCCTTGTTAATGAGAACACTGAATGTGCTGGTTTGATAAAATGCTTTTGTCAGCTGATACTCATTGTTTTCAGCAGAAAATGTTGGAATAGTTCAGCTGGAAATGTTTCTCTTCAGTATCATCTGTGACCTTCATTGTGCAATTAAGCAAATGGTTACATCTTCACCCAGCAGTAGAACCCACTGTGTTCAGTAAGTCTTCATACCCCCTTCCTAATATGCCTGGGCAGAGATTGAAAATCAGAGAGAAAATAATACCAAAAGTTGCAAGAGGGGTGGGGGTTGTATGTGTCAAATTTTGTGTGCCTAAAAATTGGCCTGAAATACCTGTACCATGAGATACAAAGTAAAGCCATGGCCACCTTTTGGAAAGAAATGTTGTACCTCCACACTTTATAATACTATGAATCAGGGTTCTGCTGTTGCAAGAGACAATAGTGAAATGTGGTTTCCCATCTGAGAAACCTAATGATTTCCTGCATAAAAGGGAACAGTGTTTACTTGCTTGGCAGTATCCTCCACAGTGAGTAAGAAATAGGAAGAGACTACTGTCAGGTTTTAAACCTTACACTTAAACTCAACATCTTAATTTCTTACTGTTCTTTATTGAGTTTCTGATTCTCCAGCCTGATGTTTCTGGGTCCAGGGTTCTGATTTCTTTTAAGCTAGTTTCCTTGGTAGGTAGAGGATGTATTAGAGGGATGCTGGTGTTCTTAAAATTGCAAAGCTTGTGCTGGGGAAGCTACACCTTCCCCCATTTTAGTGAATTGAGTTCCAATCATTGTTCCTTTGCAGTCTGGACTTTCTTCTTTTATACATCCCTCTTGAAAGTGTGACTCCCTCACAATATATGGCCAAGTCATTTTTGCCTTGAAAAGCAAGATTTCTAGAGAATCTTAACTTCCCAGAAATTGTTGTTTATTCTTTGCCATCTTAATCAGCGGGAAATACCGTGCCTTAGGAGGAAAGCTGGATAACTATGGAATACTCCACTGATTCTCTGATCTGCACATAGCATTGTATCAAGGAGGTTTGCATGTTACCTGTGAAGTGTCACTGTATGCTTGAGAGCAGATATTGAGTTGAGCTGAGTTCTCCTGTCTGTCTTCCAAACTTGCATATGACGCTGGAAAGTGTGGCTTATTGCCTAAGAGACAAATCTGGGGAGGGGGGAATATTGTTGCCCTTCTTTCTGATGGGGACACTGTACTGTCACATTACTCTGATACTTGCTGGGGAATTGCTGAATCACATCTCTCTCTAACTTGTCAGTAGTATAGCTTTTCTTGCCTTCGCCACTAAAAATTTGCAGTGTGCCACCTGGCTGAAATATCTTGTGCTGCTGCTTTCCGAGTTGCCTCTGAAGTCAGATACATGGAAAATCAGCAAAGTATTCTGAAGCTATATGAACTCATAGAATCTCGTAGAATCATAGTCAGTGGAGTTGGAAGGGACCTCTGGTGATCATCTAGTTCAACCTCCTGGCTTCTAGGACCAGTTGCCCAAGAGTTCCTGTGTGCTATTTGTGGTCTGGAGCTTACTGAGTTTAATATTTGAGAGGTGGGTTGTGCAGAAATGCGTATGCTGTATGGGAATGTGCATCAGTGTTATTCAGGAGAAAGGATTCCTTGTCCCTTTTAATCTGGAATTTGGCACTATTACTAGATGCAATCAACATAACTCGGTCTTACATTATTTACAGGTATTGTTAACAGGCCTGCGGGCTTAAGAAGAGATCTTAAGAAGTGTTCAGAGTAACTTGTGAGAACAACTGAACAGTAGACAGTAAGCCTTCATAGCAGCTAAGAGCCTGTCTTCTGTACAGTACAGAGTTGTCCAGGAAATGCTGCTGCTCTTCTGATCCTCGAGCAATACTTAGACTCTGTGCTCTATAGATCAGAGCCTGATTCCTCTCTTACAGCACCTCTCTTTCTGTCTTATCCTTTCTAAGCTGGGCTTGAGCAACATACGTTGAGATTCTTGAACCTTTCATCACTTCGGAGCAATAAAGTTTGAATTTAACCTCTGCAGGCAGCTGATCTACAGGGAGGACCAGATGAGTATCAGGTGTCTCGCATGACTTTGCAGTAGCTATGTTGAGGGAGCTCCAGAGGATATCTTCCATCTGGGCAATTACCCCTCCCCCCAAGCCTACAGTTTTGGATGAACTAAATGCTGGACTTTGCTGTGGTCATACACACAGCTGTCTGTAGAATCCCAAAATTAAGCCAGAACTGCCAGCACTTTATTTCTGATGAGAACTTAAAATAATGAGTTAAAAGAAACAGTGGCAAGTTGGTGGGTTTTTTTCTGCAGTTTTGCAGGAAAAATTTAGGTCTCTGCTGCTTTGCTGAAAACCTTGCTGAAAACCCTTGCAAGCAAACAGTGTTTTCATGCTGTCTTTCTCAGCTCCTGTCCTTTCATGACCCAGTTAAGTTTCCCATGTTTTCATGAAGCAAAGGACTACTTGCATTTTGCTGAGTGTGGAGACATGAAAAATCCTGTCTTGTAGAGCTGAAATTTAGCGTTTTCCCATTATTTAATCTTGTGACCTAGAATCGTGCAGTCACTTGTACAACAAGGCCTAAGGCTGGATTCCCAGATGGAATCTGAGGATCTCTTGCTGATAGCATAGTTTGATGTCATTCCCTTTTCTTGCAGTGGGTTCTGGCTGAAATATGTTTACTGCAGACCCTTTGGACAAGAGCGTTGTGTCTGTATTTAGCCATATGTTAGAAATAACATTTGTGGAAAAGCTGCAAAAATGAGTGAACTCTAGAGGAGCAACAGTTCAAGTCTTCTGTAATACATAGCTTGCCTGAGACTAGAAGATTTGTGGCAGCAGTAGAAATACATTGCTATACTGACTTATCAAAGGTGGGGAATTCAGTCATGTTCTTTGCAGCAGCTCAGGGAGGAGACTGAGCCTGCATGGCAAGCATGTAAGATTTTTACATAAAAGGGAACTAAGTTTTTATCATAAGTACTGCTTAGTAACTTACCAAAAAGCAAGCAAGTTGAACATTTTTGGTGACTTTATAAAATTAGGAGGTAAATGATTATGATCGTCAAACTGGTATTGAATACAAACCCTTTGTATTCATGCTGCTACCTTTTTGGGAAAGCACTGAGGTGATGGACTCCTCACTTTGACTCCTCTGTTAAATTATTTCTCAAATGTTCTGAATGCCATATAGAGATAAATGAAACTTTTACTTTGACAGGTGTCCATTAATTCATATCTAAATTCAGGCGTGCTGAGCTATGTATGAGACAGTGTGGGTTGAATGAAAGCCCAGTAAGAAAATGGAGAAGCTGAGACAGATCTAGCCCAGTAAAGATTACTTGAAGGACCTTCCTTTAAGTGCAGAAATTAGAGGCTGTGTAGCAATACTTGGTTTTGATTCAACATTTTCATGACAAAGTTTGTGTTAGCACAGTGCTGATCTAAAGGCCGTAAGGCAAGGGAAGGATTGTGAATTGCATGTTGTCCACCAGAGGGTATAACATACAGTCGTGGAAAAGAGAGCAGAGACTTTTCTGGTAACAGCTGACAGGTTGAATGTCAGTATTTCCTGTGTATGAGAGTGAAAGTCTTACCTGGGGGAGGGAGAGGGGGGAACATGACACTGATAAACTGGGGCTCTGATGAAGAAATACAGAGTAATACTGCAGTTAACCCCTGGCTAAGGCTGTTTAAACTTGCTGGGCTTTCTAATTGAGCCACTTTCCAGTGAGGCTTGCTGAGATTATGGTGTTACAGAATACCTGTCCTCAAATCTTTTTGTTGTCCACTCAAGCTATTTTCTAGCTCCTGGAAATATGGTAGTGCTTGTGACTTATCCCCCCCCCCCCCCCCCCCTTTTTTTTTGCGATTAGTCACTTTGAGTTTGTTTATTCAGTAGTGTTGCCATAATTTATACTCTGATTTTTTGTTTAGTATTTCCTTGTAAGAATGAGTAGTTTCTTTCAATTGGATCTGTATTCTGGCAAAATAGAAGCAATTTTAGTCTAAAAAATACGTGTCTGACAGTTATTATGATAATTTGTGACCATGGCAACAGAGAGTTGACATTCTGAAGGACAGGTTCATTCTTTGGTTGTTCGGGGTTTTTTTCAGTCACAATCTAATTACTGTTGCAAGCATTTCAGGGAAAACTCTGACTACCTTATTTCTTGACCGTACAAGTTCATAAAGGGACAAGGGATTTTGACATTATCTCACAACAGATTTTCATAGAACAGGTGATGGAGTATGGGCTAAATGAGCAGAATGAGGTGCATAAAAACTGGCTGAATGGCCAGGCCTGGAGGGTGGTAATCAGTCCCAGGGAGCCTAATTGGAGGTCGGCAGCTATCAGCATACCCCAGGGCTCAGCACTGCGTCCAGTCCTCTAACATCTTCACAGTGGTCTGGATGAGAGGGCAAGAGTGTACTCTCTAAGTCTGCTGATAATGCAGGACTGGGAGGAGTGGCTGATAGGCCAGAAGGTTGCACAGGAAGCAGCAAGAGGTATGTAGAGTATCTGACCTTGCATCTCAAAATAGATGGAAATCCTAATAGGAACCTAATTCGTTCTGCTTTTGAGAAAGAGGAGGTCTTTTATTTTCAGCGTCCTAAATGGAGGTTTACAAACTGAAGGAAGGTTCAGGACATACCAGAAGGTTGGAAAGAGAAATAGAATTTAGACTAGAACTGGGGATTCTTTATTGTCAGACTTCGTAAAACCAACCAAACAACCCACCAGCAACAATAAGTGATCTGTTTCTGTTCTGTTTTTTTTCCATCATACGATCAGTTAAATAACAGCAGTGCTTTCAGGCAGGTGCTAAATTTCAGCTACAAGTTGTGGATTGCCCTGACATATTTGAGATCCCAGCAGCACGTATTCCATTATAGGAATGCATTTTTAATAGTGATTTGAAGAGTTGTAAGAAATAGATATGTTACTGAGGGAAGTAGGAATGAGCCCTCATGACTGAGTCTCATAGTTAGTGAATGGCTGTCTCTGGCAGCATAGAGCTTTAATGTAAAGGCTGTCTACTATCAATACTTAATGTCAGTTTTATAAGGAAATGTGCTGGATATAAGTATAGCCAAAGCCAAATCACAGTATTTTCCAAGCTTCCTCTTTTCCTAGGCCCTAATGGGGAATCTAGCAACTGAATGGAAATTACAGCATTGCTCCTATCACTTGCTAATTTGGGGCAATGAATATCTTGAATTAAATAGAATCTAAAATGCATTTAAAAGCCGATTTTTGTAAAAGCCAGCTGTTGTGACCATTCTGTATTTGCTGCAGGATTATAGTAACTGATAGTGGAGCCACTGTGATGCTCAGAGTCTGTTACCTCAGAAAAGGAAAACCAGAAGAGGCCAGCCCAAACTTATCTGGTTCAGCTAGTCCAGTCTCTTGTCTGATACTGCTCAATCTGTTTGATGACCAGTGGGCAGTCTGGAATTACACACACTGGAAAAGCCTCTTCCTGACTATCACTTTTTTGCCCATGCTGTGAGGCATGGTGATGTTAAATGACTGGGTTACTAGGGTTGGTTTTTTTGAGGGGAAAAAGTTGTTCAACTTCTTCCACTAGTTTTTTGTAGTCATTAAAAGTTTGGTCACTTACTGCAGTATGACAACTTAAATGTAAAAAACCCTAAGTCATCCCAATCTTGTATTGAGCTTTGTTACCCATACTCTTTCTAGGTATCTTTTTACATTATCTTTTATGAAGACCATTAAAAAAAATCTTGTACTATCTCTTCAATATCTTGCTCATTTGCTCTCATTTAGTTTCTCCTACTTCAAAGGACCTGCTGTTTTTCTTCCATTTCTTCCCAGAGTATGATAGAAAAGGTGTTATCGATGCGGATGTGCTTTCATTCCACGGGGTGGCAGCTAATCTTCATTTCCTTTCTCAGTTATTTTGACATTTCTGCTGGAAGCATCTTTCCTGGCCAAGTTCCCCTTTGAGGCGTTAAGGGTCATAAACATGTAAATACAGCCCTTCTGTTGGGGTTAAAGAGTGTTTGGAAAAGCTTATTATATTGTGTCTGTTTAAGCTGTATCAACTTGATGAAGACTCTAGCAGCTGACAAGGCAAAGCATCATGCAAGGGCTATATTTTGAATATTACATATTGCTGCCATTTTATGTGGGTATCTTGCAAGTGGTGCTTTAGGCATAACTGAACACAAGCAGAGGTGGCACCTTCTAGATAGAAGTTACTTTGCTAGAAGCTTAGTTATTGATGTGGGTGGGGGAGAGAGGTTCTGGAAGTTAATTATTAACTTTTTAGTCCTGGTTTATTTTGGCAGGTAAATGTCTTGGATAATTTGAATTGAAATCTCCATGTGTCACTAGAACAAGCATACAAGTTTATGAGTATGGGCTTTTGTTCTTTGCTATCAAGTTTACATAATTTCCTCCCACCCCCTGCCCTAGTTTCTTATTATTGATGCCTGTAAATATTTTTCATTAAAAGGCTGCTGGTTTTTTATCTTCTCAAATTGTTATAGTTTAACTCCATGTCTGTCTTATGTGTTTAGTCTTCTGCCATTCTACCCTTCCATTGTTGAATAAAGATATGAAAATTCATAGAGTCCTGCTGTTTCTGCCGTGTGAAAATCAAGGCAGGTTAGGAGAATGTGGTTTGTCCTGGCTTTGTTTCTTCACTTAGATGGTGCCTCTCAGTTAAGTTGCATCCACTCCTGAAGCTGTTAACTGAGGACTTGAATTCATATTGCATTTGTTAAGTAGATTTTTTGCTCCTGCAGGTACAGATCACAGTAAAATCAAATACTATTACTTGTATGCATCTCAGAGTCCTGCATAAATTTCAACTGCAGACAACTTCTTGGGAGGACAGAGGGTGGGATGAATTTATATGTACAGAGTTAGAGTGGTGAATATCCATTTCTGGGTGGAAGTGCAGAAGCATGCATGGTTAGTCAGTACTACATAGCTACTACACCCAGGCATGAAATACTGCACTGGTGAGGAAATAATTGCAGTTTGCAGGGCAGGTAGCAAGAGCTCAGCTTGCTTACTGAAAGCCTTGTGGTGCAGGCAGCAGACAGAGGGTGTGTGAAATTACAAGGAAAAAAAATGGGCTGTGAGAAGAATTTTCTGTGGTTATCATCAACAGTTGATCCTCCACAGGCCCTGCTAAAGTTGGTAGTCAGGGCTAGCAGTTGTAGTGACTGGGATAAGAGAACACTCTCACAAGGTTCTACTGGCATCAAGTAGAAACTCGGTGGTTTGGGTAGTACTGAGGTCTCGAGCTGATGAACTGTGGTCTCTAGATTTTAACAACAGCGCTGATAGACTGAGTCTTTGGTTTTGATTGAATTGAAATCCTTTTTGACTTTAAAACTCAGCCTAGTCCCCACCCTCCTCCCACCACTACCCACCCCTTGCAAAGTGTAGTTTTCCTTTGGGACTCTTGTGTAGGTGGAGCCTTTCTCTTCCTCTCCCTCCTTGCTGTCAGTTTGTCCCACCAATGCTATGAATATCTTAACTCGTCAGCCTTCCGTCTCCATGGATGTCCTCAGGAAGGAGGCAGATTTGCTGCTGCTTCTATATGAGCAGCTCAGGGTTGAGATTCCCAACCCCAGCAGTCAGAAGCTGAAATGTTTATGTAGTAAATAGAAGGTATTTGACTATTTCTGGGAACGTGCAAAAAATACTATGTGGTTATTTTGCTGTCTGAGCCTAATATTTCATATCCCCACTTTTCCCAGAGGACAAGTGTATAATCCTATATTTGTTGTACACTCAAATATGGTACAACAGCACTTGACCTATGCAGAATTATTACAGGAGTAGTTAATGAGCTGCACAGGTTTGGACTTTGAGTTTGCCTGTTTGTTAGAACACTGGCAACTCTGGAATTTCAGCCTCTTCTCCTGGGCTAGCAGGCTCAAGTGTAAAGTACCACTAAATCTGTGAGTTGTAATCAGAGATGATTGGCAAGCAGTTTAGTCTGCCAGAACAGTGACAAGAGAGAATCCTTTTGGATCCCCGAGGTGATTTATCTGGTCAAGAGCATTTGTCCTGGTTTATGATGTTTACTCACTAGAGCTGTCATTATTTAATAATGTGGATAACCATGAGGCTTTGGAACCATTCTGCACATTCAGTAGGAGGTATGTGCACTTTCATCAGCCTAACTGCCCATGGAGTAAGAGTACAATTACCTATCCTGACCTGGCATGCTTTTTTATACCATTTGTGGGGGGCTGATTTGTGTTCTTCCTAGCATACGGAAACCATTAGAATTGTTTCTAAATAGTATTTGTCGTTTGGCTACATAAGACAAGGATCAAAATGGAAACAAGGATACAGAGCAATTAATTGTCTTGACTATGCTGTATTTGTTCTTCTGCCTTGGATTTGACATGTGAAGCCAGGTCTTATGTTCCTTCTAATGGGCTACGCTACAGGCAGCAATCAGTAAAAAACTACATTTCATTTTAGAGCTTCTTCGCTGTACCCGATACTACCGCTTATAGCCAGTAGACGGTATATCCATGATGTTCTGATTTTAGCCTTAAAAATGTGTATTGTTGCATTTCATATAACTGTGCCCAGCCGTTTGGATGCTTGTTATCTAATCTGTTTTGGTTTGCTTGTGTGTAATTTATTAAAAGGTTTTCTTGGCCAGTTTTTAGTGGGCAAAAACCATTTTGAGTGGGTACATGTAAAGAAAAGGATTGGAGAGTCTACAAGAGACGTTAAGGATTATTTAAGAATATATGTTTAAACCCTCCAGACGGCTCTTACATGCGTTTGTATAATAGCAAATTACTGGTGAAGGAAACCAAAATTTCCAGTTCCTTAGCACCAAAAAAATATCACTCTAAACTTCCAAGAAAGCTGGAACAGTAAAACCTCTGGTAATTATGGGCAGGTAGATGGAGCTTTTTAGTTAAAACTTCATTCTCTTAAGCAGTGTAAATTCTGTGGCACACAAATTAAATAACTGTGATTCTATGTATTAGAATTCTTTTCCTGATAGACAGTACAGGAGCAATGTGGTTCTGGTAGGAATGCAAACATGCTGTTGCTATGGAGCTTCTGCCACCATCATAGTAAAAGACACTGCAAATGCTACCATGCTCATCTTGCAGAAAAAAAAAAAATAAAAACCAGCAGTCATAGCTTTAATTGATTTTTACAGAATTCAGTAATAATATGTTCTAGCAGTGAAATAGGAGAAACAGTCCCACCAAAGACGTTTGGATTCTTTCCAGAGTGAGCTAACTCATGTGCCAGGATTTATGGCAGATTTCCATGCAACAAGAAAGCAAAAGCAAGAAGCGGGGAAAGAAGACCTTATCAATAAGCTTGCAGGTACAACAAAACAAGTGGCCAAGGAGAACATACATTGGTTGAATGAAGTCACCATACACAGATGTACTCATCTGTGGTAGAAGAAAACACCCATCCTGAAGAAGTGGCTATAAGGAAGATGTTAATTAGAACTATGAAACCTGAAAAAATCTGGCCTGTTTAAGACTACTCACTACAGAAGGAGGAAGAAGTAATTTGAGTACATTGTTTAGTTTAGATTATTCATTTAATTCTAACTTGACACTGCCATTCCTATTGTGCATGCATCTCACCCATGCATCGCAGATGGATTTGTGGGCATACAAGATGGTATTTTACTAACATTTTGCATACATAAAGCTTTAATGGTTCTCTTATAAAATACACTGTTTTGAATTTAGTGAATTTTGCCTGAACCCTTTTTTTTTGCAGAAGTGTTCAGTAATGAATGTAGACTCCTTGAAAGCAGAATGACTGACTCCCCACATGTGAGATTATGCAAATATAAATCAAATGCAGTGATTGTTTCTTGCTGCCATAATATGTATCGAATATTGATCCAATGATTTCTTCTCAATACATCTTGTTTTCTAGAGTTCTTTGAAGGTGATTAAAGACATTTCTTGGTAGATATTTACATAGTCCTTTGAGGTTGCGCTTTTTTCTTTTTTTTTTTTTAATTCACTTTTTGTTGTGACTTTCCTTTTAACCCTCTGATAGCCTGTGCCCCTGAAATCGAAAGGAATTTAACTGTTAATATTGTAGGTATCTTTGGTTTTCATATCTATGTTCAATAGCTTTTACAATGCATCTTAACCTGCATCATTAGTGGATTTAATATATGATTCACTAATGATTCTGTATCAAGTTTTAAAGTATTCTACTCAGTTCCTTTTCAACACTACTTCTGTTATCTTTGTAGGTCTTTCTCAAAATAATTGTTTCCTTGGAAAATTAAAAATCTGGATATATAATTAAATGTAGTAAAAGGTCTGGTAAAAGTTCTTAATAAAATTGCTTTCTTCCTTTCCTTCTGAAATTGCCTGTGAGGAAGCTTAAGGGATCTAATTTCCAGTCATATATAATATACATACAATGAACCTAATCCCAGCATTCCCAGAAATAGTGTTTTTTTTTCATATAGTGGGTGCTTACTTTGTGACTAAAAAAGCAATACTATGTCTTCCTTGGTGTCTTTGAATGTGCTGCTGGCCTCTCACACAGTAAATTATGCAAATTTGTTCTTACTGGCCTTACTGAATCCAGAGAGCTTTGACTTTCCCACTCCAGATAGTTTCATTATGTGTTTAAAATATATTTCCAAAGAAATAGCCGATGTGGGAAGAATGTTTGTGAGGTCTTTGACTGCTACTTACCAGGGGATCCCATGATTTCATTTGTCTTTGTTCCTGTTGTATTTTACTGTGACTCCAAGGACAGTTTGTAGCGGAATCACTTACAGGACACAGATTGGTACCTTCCTGTCTGTAGGCTTGTGGGGACAGTTGCTGGATTTTGAAAGGTATGACGAGGTATTAGTTTTCTTGAGATGGGTCTTTTCCATCAAATACTGTGTAATTTGAGGTGAGGCTAGTCTCTAAACTCTGCAGTGGTGTGAAAACCAAAATTAGTCTGTGGTTTTATACTTGTTTTGACACTTCCAGTTTGATCACGTTTGTTTTGCCAGTTGCTAGCCCTGTTCTAAACATGGCTCCTTCCTTGATCTCTTTCATGAAACTGTGACAAGCAAGGAAAAAAATTTCATCAGATTGACATTACAGAGATCTTAAGTGTGTGCTCTTTCAGCTTGAGTGTTGCTCACTATGCACCTTAAAATTTGGCAGTATTTTTTTCCTAACTGCAGAAAAAAAGGAATTAAACCTAGGAGATATATTTCACGCTGCTCGTGAAAATGCAGCTTTCTCTTTCTAGTGAGCTGCCTAATCCATTGTGCTGTGAAATTTCTATTCTTCCCTTTCTTACTGTGCACAAAGCAAACATTTTTAGTTGAGTTTGACAAGCTCATAAAAGGAAGCCATTTGGAAATGAGGAGGGCTAAAGTTTCGTAGAATTTCCAAGCTGCTCTGCACTGAATCATCAGTCCCAAGAGTACAGAGACGTTCCATAGAAATGTCACATAGTCCTTCTGCATATTGATGAGGAAGCGACAATGAGCTTTCAGTCAGGTTGATTTTAGAAGTCTCGCTCAGCTTGCAATAAAAACTTAGCATTTAGTAATAGAGCAGTTCAAGCAAACCCAAG